GGTTTAAATTATTACAAGTTTTTATTTAAGAATTCCTGGAGAAAAAAGAATAAATCATGTTTTTTTTAAGCAGAAATTTTAGGAAAAACACAAAAAATAAAATAAATTATAATAATTAAATAAAAAATTATAAATTTTTTAAATGATTTTGTTCTATCTACTCGTAGCCTTGCATAGATAATTTCAAAAATTAATCTTCTCATCAACATTAAATAAGAATTTTTTTTCTCATTTTTTAATTTTTATAAAAGTCTATTAATTAATTATAACTTTATTTTTTGGAATAGAATATTATGAAAATTATATTTTAAAAGTTTTTTTAAAATTCTTGATTAATATTTTAGTTAAAATTATTATATATTTTTTAATTTTAAAATCAATCCATGAAGAAGAATTATTTTTTTTTTAAGCAGAAAATTTATTAAAAAAATTAAGTGAATAAAAAATTATAATTTAAAAAATTTAAAAATTTAAAATAATTTTCTTCTACTAAACCCGCAACGTAACGCGAGCAAGTAACTAATATCTAATATATTGAATCATATTCGATACATGTCCAATACAAATACACAAGCTTTTTTTTCTCTTAAAGTATATGTCAATTCTAAAATTGTCTTTGTATTTTATCTAACATCCCAACACACAATGGATCGACATAGGCATAGCCTCTTTACCTAACAACACTAACTTTTATTTGTTTGGTCATGGAAAGATAAAATTGTTCTTCATCTCTTTCGGTGATTAGTGGTGTCAAAAGAGATATTTGCAAGCTCATGGCGTGGTTACTCCTCCAAGTTTTTGTGTGTTTGTTCCTCTTTCTGGATTAAAAGAAAATGTTTAAATCAATCTTGATTTTTTCGATTCAAGATCGTGTTGAAGATCAAACTAAAAAACGGTAGAAATAAAAAATTCCTTAAGTGATGAAACGGCGAGGTGATTGGGGGCTTGGCCGCTTGCTATGGTTACTTCAAAACATTATAATTATAGTATTTTTATGTTTATAAAATAATAAAATAGTGTTATAATATAATAAGTGTAAATAATTATTAGTTCATAATTATTTAAAAATAATTTCTTTACAATTTAAATCGTATTATTTTTTTATATAAGGTAACAAGAAACTTTTTTTTATTAAAATTATACTAAATTGTTATTAACTATTATAATTACAGAACAATTTGCTAAATTACAAAAATATAAGATATATAATTTTTTTTCAGTTCATTAAGTGAATCTATTTTTTAAGAGTCAATAATAACTTTTTCTTACAATATGAATAATATTTATTTTTCTTTTAATAATACCGCTTTGTTTTTTGAATAGTAAATATAAAAATATTAATAACTACCATAATACCTATATAGTTAGTTAACTTACGATATAATAATTACAAATATTTAATAATTTGTAATTTGGAGGCATTATAATTATAACTCATTCAAATAATTGCCACAGTGATTGTGTTGACTTTCCTAAGTTTCATTCCAAACAAAAAAGGAAAAAAGCCACCATTTTACTCCGTCTTCCAACAATCTGTCAAAAATAAGAGAGAACGATAAATTTCAATTCAATAAATTTTATAATGAAAATAAAATTTATTTCTAACAATTTCAAATGTTTTGAATAATTTCGAGAAAAAAAAAGGATCACATTATTTAGTAAAGACAATGATAACAGATAATTTTATATAATTCTGATTAAATATAAGTGTGAAATAATATCATAAATATCACTATAGTTTAACCAAAATTAATTAAAATAGATCACTTTGTCCAATTTTAGACAGTATATTATTTTATTTTTAAATGATTTTCTATATATTTAAACAGTGTTTTTAAAAGTAACTGCAAAGGAAAAAAGTAATTTCCGTTTCTTCAATCTTCTAATGATAGAAAATTTACTACTTCATGTAAAAGAAAAAAAAAGTTTACATATATATGATAGTATTAGGTACTAGCACGCATGCATCAGATGAGTCTTTTGTATTAATTGTAATAATTATGCCTGTTGAACGACTCCAGCTTCTGCAAACGCATCTGCTTATAAAAGAGCTTTTTGGTTGTACAGATAGGATAACTTAATTTTTTATATATATATATATATATATATATATATATAAACTGAAATGTTATTTTATAAAAAAAAAAAAATTGATATGTTATTGTATTTGATTGAAATGAATCCTATTTGTCATATAATACCTTATTATGGAAAATAAATTTAAAACTATCTTATTATAAAAAATAAGATTTAAAAATACTTTTTAAAAAAAAAAAACTCGCTCTTACACCCCCTTTCATATAATTTATAGATCGCCTATGTCTGTTGTCGTGATGCAGTTTAGATTCTAAAGTAGGACATATGGAGATATCGAATAAGTTTGTAGTTATCGGACTAAACAGATTAAACCGAATTGGTATGTTAGTTGTAACAAGTCCCTCGCACAAATACAACACTTTCAGGCTACAACTAAACCTTTAGAATCTCTCAAGAAACAAGAACAAATAATAGAAGAAAAAATATGTTTTATGTATATATATCTTTGTATAATAAAATATCTATGAAATTATACAACTGTCAATAAAATATTTTAATTTTCGGAATAACTGTTGTTCAATTTAATTTTAACAACCACCTATCCTAATAAATTATTTTTTAAAAAAAGAATTAATCTTGTTGAAAATTTTAGTTCTAAGGTAAAAGTATCAATTTTTTAATATTATAAAATATTCATATACTAAACCCACCAAAAAATGCACAAATAAAAGTTTTGAATTGGGAAGTTAACAGTCAATTAACACCATTAGTGACAGAAGAACCGATAGTGTTAACAGAGCTATAGCAAAAAATTTGAGATAATTATATTATAAGTATATCAATTTTCAATCTTTTCTCAATAAAGTATATAAATTTTAATTTTTTTTGTTTGAGTCTATTATTTTTTTAAAAATTATCAATCAAGTATTTCTGTCAATATTTTAGTTAATTGATGATGTGTTAGTTATTCTCAGAATATCAAATTAAAATTTATCATTTTTTTATCAATAGAGTACATGAGCTTTAATTTTTTTAATTTAGTACATCAATTTTTTTAAAAATTATCAATCAAATATTTTTGTTAATTTCTTTATTAATTAATAATGTATCTGAATATCAAATTACATTTTTTTCCTCTATTGTTGTAAGCAATTTTTTTTCTTAATTTTTTTTTAAATTTGACAAAAAAATAAAAAAAATTATTTTTAGTTATATACATATACATATATATATACATATATCGTTATGAAAAATTGACAAAGGTACTTAGTTGACCGTTTTGAAAAAATTAATATATTTAAATAAAAAAATAAAATTCACACACACAGATATATATATATATATACAGATATATATGTGTGTGTGTGTGAGAAAGTAATGATGATGGACCTTATTAAAACAAAACCGATAGTACAAAGACTCACAAGTCCGTTAACCCTTCGTGTTGAAATTTTGCATCGCAATAACAGGGAGACTCAATTTATCTTCATCCAATAAAGAGAAAACAATACAATCCTTAGTATAGGATTCGGTTTCAAATATGTTATCATGTCAGCTTCCATAAATACTAACGCAAGCGTTATCCAAATTAAAGTAATTTAAAATCTTATTTACAAAAACGAGGACCTTAAATCTTATTTATTAAATTAAGATTTTTTTTTGTCATTTAAGCTTAATTATCCATGTCATTTTATGTTTAATTGTTTCTAATTTATTTTTATAATCAATAAACACTGTTATATTAAAAAAAAACCCTAATTCAAATAATTATACAATATTTTTGTTTATGTGCTGTCAATCTCTTTTTAAAAAATCAATCCATCTGTCTAATTAGGTAATAAGATAAACATCATCATTAAATTATTTATTTGTTTTACTAAGAAATCAATCCATCTTCTAACTAACAAGATAAATATTGTTATTAAATTATTTTTTGTCCCAATTGCTACTTTCTCCTTCTCTTTCTCTTTTGCTCTCTCTCTCTCTTATCAAATTTGGAGTTAATAGATTTTTGTAACTCAAAGAATTTTGACTTATTGATATTGCTTTAAGTAATTCATTATAAAGTTAATGTAAATCTATCAATTAACTATTTTTGACTTTCCTTCTGTTTTTTATTATCTTGTCTCTATTTCTTACTTTTATATATATATATATATATATATATAATATAGTTGAATATGCATATATAAAAGACAGAAAAGCTATATAACATCAAGATAGAAAAAAAAGTATTTATTTTATTAAAGTTTATTTTACTGATTTCTTAATTATTTTTTACACGACATGGAAATTATTTTGAAAAAAATGACATAAGATTCAAAATACTTCTTTATGGGAAATAAGATTTGATCAAAGTATCATAGTGTGAAAAATAAAAAACTCCGTTATCCCCTGCGTTTCAGTTTGTTTATCCAGGTTATCCCCTCCGTTTCGGTTTATTTGTTCATATTTATATTTTTAATTGTTTTAAAATATTAATTTTTTTTATGGAATAAAAATTAATAATTACTCAGTGAATAATATAAAATTTCTCACACAGTACTTGGATTTGTTTTTTACTATAATCCTTATTAAAACCATATTTATTATGTTTTTTTAATCCCGATGAAAAATCAAAATGAAAAAAAGTCAATATCAAAAAACTAAAACAATTTTGATGCCATACCATATTTATTAAAAGTTAATATGCAAAATAATAATAATAATAATAAATAAATGGGACAAACAACTCGAATAAAAGACATACAAGATACATATAATTAAATGTTATGTCTGGAAAAATAATTTAGTTTTTTTTTTTTTAAATTCCAAATAGCCGCCACTAATTTCAAACTCTATTGCATTCAATATTTTATGAATTATACTACAAAGTCCAACGTTTTACTCCCAAAATGTCACAACGGCGCATAAAAAAAAAAGATATTTCTTTTCCAAAGACAAACGTAAAACTTTTTGCCCCGCTAATCTGACAAGGCGACTTCCTTGTTGAAAATCCAGCTAAACCTCACGCCATGTGGCTTCATCATTTTAGCTTTCTCATCGGCTCGCTCCTGCAGCTTCCTAATCCTAGGCGCTAACCCACACACAAAATCCTGTGCGCGTTTTCCCTCACCCGTCAATCCTTCCAGCTTCTCTAGTCTCCACCGCCCAATCAGAAACTCCAAAATATCTGCATAATCATCGGCAGTGTAAACTCCGAGCCGCTGGGCCACAGATGAGAAGTGCTCGAAAAGACGTGGGTCCTGACCATCGTACATCAAGTGGGCTGGCATCGTGATTTTTTTACGCATCATATCTGCTATAGCCAGCATTGCGCCCGTGGGGTCCACCTCAAGGAGCTTTTCAACGATCTTAGCGTAGGCGTTTTCGTGGCGTCTCTCGTCTGATGCAATGGTACCACAGATACGCGCGAGCACTGGATCGCCACCCTCTTTGGCCAAGCGAGCCGTGTTCCCATGTGAGACAAAAGTGGCTCGCTCTTGAAATGACGTGTACACAAACCCCAAATATGGGTTGTTTTCTGTCCCAGGATCCTACGTGTTAAACACACTCATTAACCTCAAAAAAAAAAAAAAAAAAAAAACGAATGAATTATTCATGAATATAAATAAATAAACGTTAGTACTACATCAAAGCATAATTAAATTCTTTCACATGACCGTTTGGGAGAGGGCACCAGTGGGATGGCCATGGATGAGTACTTGTTTCATTACTTTAATTTTTTATTTTATTCATTAAAAAAATCTTACCTATTATTCATTAAAAAACTATTTGACCCAATTCACATCGATATGTAATAATTTATCTGTTTATTTAATATCAATTAAATAATCATTATATTTAATTTATTAAAAATATTTATTTTAATTCCTATAATTTTTTTAAAAAGTTTTTTATCTTAATTTTTTTTTACATTTTGATAATTTATTTTTAAGTTGTTTTATCCTCTAAGTTTTTTTTTAAAAAAATATTTTGAACCTTAATTCTTAATTTTAAAATTTTATTTAATTATTAAATTTTATAAAATTTGATCCTTAATAAAAAAATTTAAATAAATTGATGAGGATTAATAAAATAAAAAATAAATATTCATACATTCAAATCATATTAATAAAAAAATATATTTTTTATCTTTATTTATTTTAAATTAAATATTTATTAAATAAAATAAAATAAATATCTATTTTATATCCGATCTATTGCTATTGTCATCCCTATACACGACTACTGATTAAGCTAAAGTTATATTAGTGGTGCGTGCAAAACTATTTTTTGATGAAGAGTTTTTTTTTTTAGAATTTAAAAGTAGAATAAGCATTCCTTTATATGTATAAAACAAATTCACTAACTAATAAATTCTTGTTATTGCAATTTAAATATTGTAACCTTACCATGCCAGCTCCAATCAGATACTGAACTGTCTTTTCTATCGATAGCATATCAACCCGACCCGACAAATATAAATACGTCCTGAGCAAATCTCCATGCCGGTTCTCCTCAGCAGTCCAGGCCCGGGTCCAGGTGGCCCATGGGTTCAGGCTGGCCCCAGTCTCATCTCTAACGCCATCGAGCGTGTTGATCATGGTTTGATAAGTAGGCAATGCGTCCTCGGTGATCATGTCGCCCACCAACACCACAAAATACTCATCCGGAAGCTCAGCCGTCATATCGCGTAGGGCCCGTACCTGATCAGTGAAATCAGCAAATGGCAATGAAGGATCAGGCAAGAAGCTCTGGGGTTGCCAGCATTGGTCTACAGGTTTTAGAAGTGGCAGCACATTTTGTGTGGCCCAATTCTCCAATGACTTGAATATTTCTACTTTCTCTGATGGCATCGAGTGTGTCTTTTGGTGCTTTAGTAGTGGTGGTGATGGAGCAGCCACGGCAGAAGTGATGGGTCGACGTAGTTGTGGAGGGAATCTGATGGTGGACGATGGGGGTGAGAAGCGGTACTGGTGGGTTGGGTTTAGGCCATGTGGAGTACAAGGAAATTTTTGGTGGCTAGTGAGGAAGTGTGAGGCTTGCATGGCGGCTATCGTCATTAGCTAGCAACTTGCGACCTTTTTATCAGTGAAGTGGAATGCCAACAATCATGCAGTACTGCGGCAAGATATATATATTTAAACTTTCTTGGGAATGAAATCACGGCAATACCCTTAGGGAAAAATCTTATGCACCCATGAAATAAATGCATAGAAAACAGATTTGCAAAGAGAATTAGAGGGGGTAGTAAAGTCTTTTCGTTAAGGGTGTTTGTAAAACAAGGGGTGCAGTGGTTTCACCGAAAAAGGGGGAAAATGATAAAACTGTGGGTTGAACCTGAATGGACACGTTTCTATGGGAAAGTAGAGATTCTGTTCTGTAATTTGGTTGTTAGTTTGACCAAATATAGCCAAGTGGTACTTGGAATTAGGGCAATTTTGTCCATTTAAATCCCAACTGTCACCATCTCAATTCAACGAGCTGGTGGACAGCATTTTGGGCCCGAACTCACTATTTTAGAACTTGTTTCTGGCGGAGGGGACTACAAAGTACAACCTGCTCTTTGTGAGCACGTCTTCGGTTCGAATCTAGATGGGAAAGGTGAGGACAGGTGTTCTAACCTGTAAGATTAATAGGTTGTAGGACATCTAAGCTTAATGAGAATCATACACTCCTTTGCAATTATATAGATTTGGTAAGCAAGACTCGTGGTCTATTTCCAATTATGATTATAATTATGTTTGTTTAAAATGATCAAATATGAATTTATTTTGATTTTTCTAAGTGATAAAAAAATAATGGTATTGTTTATTTTTTTTTAAATTGATATTTTGAAAAATGAAGTACAAATAAAAGGAAAAAAAGTATAGAATGAGGTGGGGGGTTTATATATTACTTTGAATTCTAATAAACACATGAAATACTATCATAAAAATTGAATGGCAAATATTATCTTGATATAGTCAAAATTCATTTTATAATATTAGAACAAAACATTGAACTTACAAACCAATTCTTTTTGGAAAACATTAATCGATAAATTCGATGTATTTTGTATCTTCCAACTAATATCCTAGAACGAGAATAGATGGATACTGATATTTAAAAAATCAAATCCAAGTTGATAAGATTTAATTCAAAATATGTATCAAACAAATCTGGGCATAGATATAATATAGTTTCATTTCAATCTTACCCTTAATGCTTTTAATTATTAGTGGTCCCTATGAAGAGGATCAAACGTGGTCCATTTTTTTGCAAATTTAAATTAGTCTCTAAATCAATTACTAAACATTAATAAAAAAAAAATCTTCAATTAAATCTACCTACTAGGATTTTTAGTTGAGTTCTTTCATCTATTTTCATTATTATTACTCTTTTTTTTTAATCTAAAATGAATATTTTATACGATGAAACAATGCCGTTTAAAATGAATAGATCAACTTGACATTTATTGGCGGCCAGGGATCCTATTAAAAAATTTGATAGATAGGAGATACAATCGAAACATTCGTTTTAGAAACTACATGCAGAATTAATAGGTAACTGGGAGACTACTTTGAGGTTTTAACTTTTTTCTTTCCCTTCTGTCCTTTTACGGCAATTTAATATCTGCAAAAGCAGAAAATAAGCTAATCTGTAATCAAAGTAAGTCTCAGACACTCCTTTCCTAAATTGAATCTGATTCTTTGTTGCTCGCTTGTAAACTATACAGTTCAAAATATATTTCGTACCAAAGATAGATCGGTGTGTGCTTTTGTCTTTTTCGCTTTCTTTTTCGAAAGGAGGGTGCTGTTGTTAGTAATTGGTTGCCAATCACCTACAACAACAGGAATATATCTAGGTTAATTTAGATTTAGGAGTTGGAGTGATGGACCCACCCTGCAGGGCGAAGACTGAACAGGGAAGACGGCAGAGATGCACACAACCAATAGTGAAATGCAAAAGAAAATATCTTTAATTAAACATTGTTTCAAAGATGTCAAGTACAAGTACAAGGACAATACATACTGTACTGTATTGTCCCCTAATTACCTAGCACCAAACATGAGACGCGCGTTCTGTACCACGTACACATGGTCAAGTTGAAGGTTTTGTTATTATGAATAAATTAAACACAAAATTAAACAAAGGGATCCTGAACTTTGTCATCCAGTTTTTCACTTGGAATTTGTGAAATTATGGCCGCAAGACACACACACACACATATGATGAGATAGTGTAATGGAAGATGATCCGTATACATTCATGGAGTGACTCGTAACCATCAGACCTTGTGTTCAAGCTGGGGATGGTTGTTAGACCCAGGAAAGGATGATGCTGCCGCCTGATCAACGGCACTAGCATTGCCCTCTATAGCCTCAACACGCAAACTTTCACCTACCTTCTCCTTCTCTTTCTTCTTAATTTCTTCATCAACATGCACGTCATCAACAATCTCTAGCAAAACGGCTTTTGGCCCGTGAGGGTATTCTACTACGACCTCTTTCACCTTCAAATGTTCACCAACATGTACAATATCGGTTTCTTCAGGAGTTTTCTTCTTTTTCTTCTTGATAAAGCACCAAAGAGCAGTAGCAAGGAATGCAAGGAAAATAAGGCCACCGAATGAGACAAAGACAATCACTATTACTGTGGTGCTGTCACTTGGTGATGGTGCAGGCGGCGGCGGGCGGATATGAGGCGGTGGTGGACGTACATGAGGGGGTGTGGGTGGGAAGTCAAAGTTATTGGAGGAAGCCATGTCAAGGGCAGCTAGTGGATGTTTGATGTTGATAATTAATTGAATTTGTTGTGGAGAAAGTAGTTTTGGATGCCTATTTGTAGTGAAGGGTTTGGGTTATTTAATTTATTTTTTTTTGGGCTAAAATTCATAACAAGTTTTTAGTGACTTGACTCTCATTCTAAGATTTGTGGGATAGGGTTGTTTGCATTGGAAAACACTTCTCAGCTTCCCTGCACTCAAAATAATCCCATGTTTTTTACCTAAAGCTTATTGCTATATGCCTACTCCAAAGAATTGGCAGATTTTTTAGCGACTCTGAAAATTAAGCTGTGGAAAGGCGCCTGTTATGATGATATGCATTAATTATTAGGTAGTACAATGAGTTAAATTGAAGCGTAATTTATGACCATTTGTATAAGTTAACCTAGGATTATTGGTACCAGTGTTAAAATAAAAATAATAATATTTTTCACTAAATTGTACGTAAGAATTTTGAATCAAAATTTACGGTTTAATTAGAAAATTTAAACCATGATAAGATTTCAATTTTTTTGGGTAGAATTGACAAGTTGAAGAAGAATATAATCACCGGTTTCTCTGTGGTTGGCCTTCAATCATCTCATACCCATTTCCTTAGTTGACGATAAATCAGACTTGGATCAACGGTCTAAGTGAATTTGTTTGTTTTTCATTTTCTTCCTTCTCCTCTTCTTTTCTTGTGCTTCCATCAAATGAACGGCCGATTCCAATGGAACTTCAAGTGAACAACATCCTTCTACTTACCCCTCAGATCATTCTAGAGCAATAAACAAATGTGTGGAAAAATATCACCAAAGATATGTATACATTTTTCCAATCCAGATTATTAACCATGGTGTGCACTCATACAGATACTTTGAAATGATGATCAATTTGTAGAATGAACATGAATTTTCACTGACCAGATGCCAATACAATTGTTAAAAGGATTCAAGTTTGCATTCCAAGACCAGCAAATAAACGTGGATGTGAAGCGTTGACAATCTCTTGGGCATACTCTCAAGCCAAATGTAATCTGAGCATCTTAGCAATAATGCTTTTTATAGAACAACCGCAGAGTGATATCCGTTCATCTGTCAGCTACGGCTGATAAGAAAACATTACAAGTGAACTCAACAACTAGATCAAAAAAAATCAATTAATTTTCGGATCCCCTGAACAGTACGTCAACCAATATTTGTAAAATATACACAACTTATCGGCGGAGTAAATCTTGTACGTATTGAAACTAGAATTTACGAGTAGAAGTTTTAGGAAATTTAGGGGGAAGAGTATGAGACTCAAAGTTGCATTTTTTAGCTTACGGAAAGAACGGCCTATTAATTCTTGGACAACAGATACGACAAGAGAATTTCGTTCCACATATCAGGTACTCCAGGTAAGCACCAGTGGCTGCAATCAGGCACAGATGGATTGTCACTCCAAGTGCCAACATGCGCATCACTCCGGAATGCCCCCATGGGTGTCACGTGCAAAACTGTTACGGGAACGGTCATTGTCTTTGCAACCTTGATTATGATGTCGGAAATTGGGCTCCGGTGCCTCCCTCCAGTTCTTGATGATGGCCGCCGAGTCACTTTGCAAGAAAGGCGATTCCGACCACTGGTTACAAATGCAAGAAACACTATCAGTCATAAGCCCGTCTGTAAATAAATAAATAAGCAAGTATGGCCTTTTACCAGATCATTACGTGATGATTACCAACAAAATTAAGATTTCTTGACAAAACAGAGGAGCCAAACAATGAAGGACCTAATGGAGTTTAACAGAACTAGACATACTATAAGTCACCCACTGAATTCAAAACATGATCTCGTTGAGAATAAGCATCATCTTTGTCATAAATGTATCAGCTATAATCAGGCAAGAATCCAAACCCTTGGATTCTTTCAGATTAGAAGTTACATCACCAAATAGCAAAGGAGCAACTGCTCGAGGTGGCTTTCTCTAGTATTGCTTTGGGTTGAGGGTTATCTGGATGCAGAATAATGCAATCTTCTTCATATGGCTCCGCTTTAGGAGAGCTCCCAATGTGTGACAAGATTCTTATTTGAGACAGTTCAATACCTCAAACCAAAATATTTCAACTTCTGCTTTAGCTTGTACGGTAACAAGCCATACCAGTCTATGCTCCATCCGGAATTCATCCTAGCTTCTTCATTAAGTTTGAAGGGTACAGAATCCATTTGCAATAAGCATAGTTGATCTACAGGGAATTGTATGCATCATTTTCTTGTTTGTTAGAGGCCTTTTGGCATTGTTTAAACTTTACTAAGGAATTATAAGGTATAAAATACAACAAAAAATCTATATTAGACTTTCTTCCCAAAAAGAAGATAATTTTGGAGCCATTTACTTTGGAAAAAAAAATTCAGCTAACATCCAGTGAAGCGCCCACAACTTTAACTTCCATTGGCAGCTAAAATAAATTACTTGAACTCCCTCGTCAATGGGGAAAATATGGCAGCGGCAAATAAGATGATAGATAACACACCTCCAGTGGGAAGATTCAAAAGTGCGAAAGAACACACTTGTTCTATTTGCATTTATGGTAGTATTAGCCCACGATGCCCATGTGTCCAGTGCCCTCTTGAAGGCAGAAGTTATAGGCATTCCTAGCTTCAGCGATCCGCCAACCAGAAAATAACAGCCCCTGTCTGAGAAAATACATTAGGACTCTGTGCATTCATTTGCCAAAAGACCACTCTAAACAGCAAAAGATCAGTAATAAGTACTCTATGGTTCGGGTGTTTAGCAGGTCTATTGATAGAGATCAATCGTTTTTTCCCAGATGCTTTGACATTCCCTTTTTTTTTCATTCTAGTTATTAACACAGGCTGAAGAAGATTAGAGATAAATTAAACGTATCTAATTACTACCCCTCCTTTTTTCTTATTCAAATAAGCTATAAAAGAGAACGAATAAAAGTGGATAAAACTCAGCGAAACTGGAAACTGGGTTCAAGCTTCAAGTACATTTTATTTGAATTAAATTAACAGAACAAAAGTGGAAATGCAGTTAGGGACTGGCACTCTAATTGTGAATACATTAGAACTTGAAAAACATGCTATAATATACGAGAACATGAAACTCCAATGGATTCTAGATGCACATAATTGTTGACATGGAAGGACAGAGCATATCATGTCTTCAACCAATCATGTGTATACAGATTTTAAACCTAACCAGAGTTGAATAACTTCCAAGACTTGCTGTATTCAGGAAATCATTACCTATATCTACTTCTTATTTGTAAAAGCAAAATGTGCTTGGTGCTATTGAACCATTCATCTTTTTAGCCAAAAATATTGGGTAAGATGACTACAAAATGAGAATGCAATGCAAGCTTTGTGTTCAACATGCATTGCTGCGTCACACGTAACATTATCAGAGTTAGAAATGACAAAATAAAGGATGCAGAAAGAGAAAAAAATATAAGGCAGTCATATTTGCAACCGAAGACTCTTTAAATCAGCTCAAACCAGAATGCACATCCCAATTCTCAAATATAGTTTCAAGGACCATCGCACAAATAGTTCATCAAGATATATCTCAGACAAGTAAAGTAACTTACATTTCAAAAAGTTTACTCGGTGTCCACCAATGCCCTGAATTAAATATTAGAACATCAGAATCAATCCACTCATTGCTAATATCGTCCAACTTATCGATCTTGAGTGTTGATTTAACCCTCTTTGGTGCACGTCTAGGCGCTGGACCAGGCTGCACCAGAAAAACTGATCTATAGAAATCAACTCTCAAGTCATACGAACTAAACCGTACACCTAAAAACCTAATCTGTTTAGTGATCTTATTCCCATTGACTTCATAAACACTTCCCTTGTCCTCCACACCGGTCATGAGCATGCATATCAAAGACTCCCACTGTGTTCTACTCAACGAATCACCCACAAAAACAATCCGCTTCCCACGCATCTTTTCAAGAACTTCACGCGCATTAAACCTCGGAATTTCACAATTCTTAGGCTTCCACCTCCATTTTGTATAACCTCTGTCTCTTCTCCCATTAGCCAAGCAATTAAATCCACGCTCCGCAAAAGGGCAATGGGATGCATCATATAGGGGGTAACTCTCATCTTGTGTCCAATTTCCCTCAAAATAATTGCATTCACTAAATGAACTATTGGAAGGGGGATCTCATAACTCTTATCAATAACAGGCTGAAATCTTGGAAACAGAATTACATATGCATATGCCATGGCTGCAAAGAAAGATAGCAATGATCCAACAACAATAACTCCATTGAATGATTGAGAGATCCAGAATTTACAATGACCCTTTATTACTCCCTTGCAAGAACTCAGAACCCCTTTCACAAAAGGCCTTAAATGGCCAAATGACCAGTGATTGAAACTATCAACCATCTCGATCATCGATCTATCTTCACAATGCACACCCATAAAACAACTCAATTGCCATCATTTCATATCTTAAAAATGAAAAACTAGCTTAAAATTCCAAATTGCATAACTTTGATGATGGAATCAATGCTGATACATACCTATTCAACCATAAACAGATCAGTACAGCAATAACAGCTCAAATCAAGGCCAAAACTCGAAGAATCTTTAAGAATCACAGTAGCTGAAGTTAACACTCAATGAAGAGAAGTTTCTGGAAATGGGGAGGTGAAGTGAGGGAGGAGGTAGCTTATTGAATGAGAGTTAAAAGGTGAGGGTATCCTTGTCATTTTCGGTAGCAAAGTTGAGTAATTTTAGCAGTTGAGTTAGTTTGGACAAGGACCTTGCGGACAAGTAACCATTACTGGAAGAACATGACGACCATAACTGTTAAAAAAAGTAGCACGACACAAGAAGCTTTTCCGTACATTGAATTTGTTGTTTATTTACATTTTTATACACGGTTGGAGAGGTGGAGCCAGGCCAGAAATCAGGATAAAATGAAGCCTACGTGGGTGATCTTTCTTTTCACTAGATGAGAGAAACAAATTTCAGGTCCTTTCGTCTCGTTTATTATTACGGGTTTCCTTTTTTTTTAAAAAAAATATATTCTGTATCTGTTTCTAATATTTAAATTTGGATTTTTTAATTAAAAAACGTGAAACAAAAAACCGCCGTTACAAATTTCAGAAATAACTTATTTTGTATTGAAAAAATTTTGATCTCCAGCTGTCGATTTTTCTGTTTCTATTTTTGTTTATAATTTTTTTTAAAAAGAAAAAGAAAACGTGCGGTGAGATGTTAGACACGTGTTTTACAAATTGTTGGAGTGTTGTGGAAGCGAGCCCCACCAATTTAACAATCACACGTCTTCAAGATTTTCTTTATTTCTAAAGACACCTCAATTTAGTCCCAATAATCATTCTCAGTTGAATCCTAAATATATAAATGTTATCCATTAGATCCCAAATGTTTTTTTTTTAAAAAATTATATCGAAACTTTTTGTTAATTTTTTAATCAATTTTTCTTCAAATTGATACTTTTTTATTACATAAATATGCACATTGGAATGAAAATATTAATAAAATTCATTTACTTTTTGTCAAATTTTCTTCCAATTAACATAATTTTAGTGTATAAAATATGCAAATAAGACTTAAACTATTAAAAAATTGGAAAAAAAAAAGACACATTTACAAAATATAGGAAACTTTTTAGACTTCATTAATAAAATTTATAGGTTTGGAATAATTGAGAACGGATAAATAAATTTAGGACTAAACTAAGGTCTTCCCTTCTTTCCTTTTGTCATAAGAAAATGGACTCCTTCAGGCTTCAACATCACCTACTTTGCTTGCTTGATTCCACCTGACAGAAAACAAAGATAACAACAGTCAACATCCGATATTAAAAAGCCATCAAAGCATGGTATCTGCAAATTTTACAAGATGTTATTCAGCAATCATCTTCTTATTCTGATACTTATGTCTTTATATTTGTTTTTTCTATACAAATTTCAGTAGCCTTTTAAATGTCTTTTGATGCACCACCGTGGATAAATATAAAAAAAATTTGAAACAAACGGATAGTTGACTTATCAATTTTTTTCATTCAGCCTAATTCAATATCATATGGACTAAATGAATACACGATAAAGTTGGAGTGTGTAATTAAATAATTTGGAAGAGTTTGGGACAAGTTAAGTGATTTCTTATTATTTTTAAATCTTCACTTATGGCTTTTAGAATTTATAACATTATTAGGCGATTATCCTCCCTATGTTAACTACTGTTGTGGAGAAAGAAAAGGTCTTAAACAATTAAATCCATTTGGGCTGGATTAAAAATGAGGCAATAATCATAATGTGTTTGGAAAATTGCACAGAGTTCAATGATGATTTTACACCATACGAAAGTTTCAAACGAATGTTCGCAAGGCTTTGATGATTTTCTTGCAAGGGACTTCTTATCGCTTCCTTGTTGGGTCCCCTAAGCGTGATTTCATCATTATCTTCTTGAAATCTCCATTTCTTGGTGAATTCTAACATCAGATTGAGCTACTGTTTTAAAGAATTGCCAGTGGATCATATGGATTAGGTAAAAACATAATGTAAGTTTACTTATAAAGTTGTATGTGAATGTTATGGAATTGTTTATTATTGCAAATGCCCGTCGTGATCATGTTTAAAACTAAAAACTAGCTTTGCAGGAGTTCTACTTATTAAATTCTTTACTGTCTTCTTAAGCCTTAAGGTCATATTGGATGTTTGGAACCGAAGCTTCACTTCGTCAAACCAATCAGGAAAGTCCCAAACACTGAATTCCCATTTCTAAAATAGCAAATTGAAATGCCCAATCTCTTTGCAATTATTATTGCAGGAAACCCAATGACTTCCTTGCTGCCTCTTCAGGAGGGGAAGTTTTGGAACTATGATATGCAACACAACTAGAAACGAAACTCTATCGGGCTGTAATAAAATGGTGAAAATTCTCAATCACCCATTGTAATGTGTGTTGTATTCGGCAATCTCCGGCCACGTACGAATGAACTGAACAAATGCAAAGCTCTTGATGGTTGTGCATAGGGCACCATATGGGCAGCAGCTCTCACTGTGGCAAAAGTCAATAAATTTCCATATTCTGTTGCCCAACCTCCCACCTGTACAAGTAATACAAGGTCAGATCATTATACATCAAATGCGCAGAAGAAAACTGGACAAAATATGATGAAACTATCTGAGTACTTCTAAGTACCTGGCCTTTGTGAAACCAAGTTCCATAGGGGACTGTAATCTTGAAGTCTAGATCTTGAGCAAGTTCTTTGACAAGTGTTCTGGATCCCAGCAGTGGTACAACAGAATCTTGATCGCCACTTCATTGGTCAAATGGATTAAGGTTGTCATACATGATGATCACATAGGTAACCAAGCAAAGTAGAAATTCCTTTTCGTCTTTAAAACATAGAGCTTACCTGAAAACCCAAACTGGAATATGATTTTGAATGATCTTTTTCAGAATGGGAAGTATGTCGATATTACCATCAGTATCACTGTAGTTTAACACTCTGCCCAATAAACCAAGATGCAAAATTAGATTTCTTGTTTATGCTTTGCAGTAATTATACAGCATATATGGCATGAGAAGGAGCAGTACACCTAAAAAAGGACTCGTATTTATAAAGTAATTAAGACCATCAAGAATTATCAAAAGAGAAGCATCTGAACCATACTTCTAATGATAATTTCATACAGGAGGTAAGATGACAGAGTTAGGATAATCTAAAAGAAACCAAGGGAGCTGGTCTTTAAGCGATTTAACTTCATGAACAATACATGCCTTGTTTGAATCTGGCATTGTTTTCTTAATTGGTTGGAAAGAGCAAGCATGTCACTTACTCGCTGCACATAGACCAGGGATAAGGTAGTTTGGTCCGATTTGCGTGAAGAGCCTTCTGAACCTCGGGAAGATTGACATAGAAACGTCTTTCATAGGTCATACACACATCAACACCAACACTTATCTTGGTAGCCTGAGTATATTTGAAAAAAGCAAAGTGGCTTAATTATGTCACAAAAATTATGAACTTACAGCGAGGAATGAACAAATAAAGAGGGTAGAAAGAAGGGGGAGCAAACCATTTTCCTCAATAGCAGTTCTTGATTTACTATAGAAGGATAACAAACATCGAGGATCACATCATAATTGTTTATGTAACTACCAATGATGCTATTTGCTTGAGATATCGCTTCATTGCAAGAATCGGTTACATTATGCGGACTTGCAAAGGTGTAGTCATCAAATTCGCATTCATTCATGATCTGGAGACCGATCTCATCGGAAATCATCCCATGGGACCAAAAGAATTCGTATGTTGCCGGAACATCCCGGTCAAGTCTAAGAAGTGGATTACCAATCTGACCAAATATGTTGAACAAATAAAAAATTAAATATACAGTAAAAGAAAACAAGATATACAGAAGAAAGGGCCAGAAAACACAGAGTAGATATGTTTTATCACAGAAGCAGAAGTTGTCAGGTATTCTTACAGCAATTCCTTTGATATTGAACTTGAAATCAGTTGACTGTGCATTATGGTCCAGAAGAACGTCAGCCAGCTGTGGTATGTAATGCCCTATATGACCATTTTCATACATGTAAGAAATTTACAAAAACACACCAAGCAGAAGTGTCTTGTTGTCTTCTTTGAGCTTGGGATGACTAGGTATGACTAATGATTGGAAATCTATTGATCTCAGTTGTCACTACAAATTGGCAGATAACATTCAAAAACAGGGGTGCACTTTGACAAATTTTGCATCAATAACAAGTATAAAGCAAGAATAAAAGGTTTTCAATGCATTTAGTCACACCTGCATAACTTTCTCCAGTAAGAAATAATTCTCGGGATTTGAATTCTGGGAACTTCTCATACCACTTCAATAAGAACGTGTGCATATCCTTGGCTGTCAGAACAAGAGGTGTTACTGAGTTAATCTAAAATAATCCATAAGCCAAAATTAAGGAATTCTACATAATCATCTAGTCCTTTTTTTACTTAATCGATAAGAAAATCTCAGTGTTAGATAAATTACGAGAAATTAATTTGGTGGTTTGCAGTTTTCTATACCTGTTTTGGCATCCCCAGTAGTATAATCGGAAGTTGTATTTGAGTACGACCATCCTACTCCAGCAGGAGACTCGACAAAGAGGAGATTCGATGCTGCAGAGGATGAAAGATGGAACAAATTCCAGTTGGAGTTGATTAAAACAGGTATTTGTATTGGAATTTAGTGTTTTGCTAACCATATGCTACCTCTGTTCCACGACATCGAATTCCTTCGAAGGCCGCGGCCATCCCCTCTAGGAAAGAATGGACCCAACTCTGTGAAGGCTCCTCCACCAACAGAGGAACAACCTGGGCCTGAGCATGGAATATTAATATTAACAACTTGAATCCGTCAACATCATGAGAAATGCATTCCATCATTTTTCAATATTAGGACGGTACAGGTAGAACTCGTTCTGGAGTTCTAGATCCATGCTAAAAGACAAGCTCCTTTACAGACAATAGTTTGGTTTGGACATAAAAATTAATGGCAAGAACTTTGATTCAAACATCATTGAAGACTTTGATTTGAATATAGAGCAATCCTGCTAGTTTTTCACTGCAGCAGATTCTTCATTAATGTCTAATTACAAGTCAGCTCCAGGCCCACGAGCAGAAGAAATGGTTGATTTATAAAATTTGTCTCTGATTCGGCGAAAAAAACCTTGGATGGTGATAGAGCACTGTAGCTAAAGTTTCAAAATGAAAGACGTTTCGATTCACCAAAAAAAAAAATTGTGAACCTTGCAACAGTTCGTGATAGAGTACTGTTGCTATAATTTCTAAGTTTCCATTTTCTTTTTCCATAAATTTCTCACTAATCAACCAAAGCGTAAACTTTGCATACATCAGAAAGCCAGTGATTTGAAATGTATACCAATCTTGGAAGTTTAAAACGTACTGCTGCCGACTGTTGAGTGACAGAATTATCCAACTCTGTAGTTTTGTCAAGCATTACCAAAGTTGCATTTCAAGAGAATCGTCAAAATCATAAACACGTAGAACATAGAACAAGTACAAAATTGAACAGTCCAGATTTTTGGAAAGAGCGAAAGAGAAAGAAGGAAAGAGAAAATGAATCTTGAATGTAGAAAGCAAATTTGAAGGACAAGACCAGCAAGTACAGTTAAGATAACAGCTAGAGCTAAAAGTCAAGTAAAAAGAAACAAAATGGAACCCCGTTAACCAGACATAATGCACAAGAAAGATAAACATCCTCCAAATAAAAATGTCGTGTGAAAGACAAACCAATTACCTCCATTGAGCCAGAGAGCTAGGGGCTTCTGGTCAGGGTCCTTGTCAGCCTCGACAAAGTAGTAAAACAAGCTCCTCCCATTCTTGACATCCACATCAACATAACCAGCATACTGCCTGAAGCCAACCTTTGGTTGACCAGGCAAGTTGAGCACCAGATCCTCAGCTGGATATCCATCCACCACATTACTCACCAACAGCCCAAAACGCAACACAGCAATGAATATCCCACCAAACCAACACCTACCCATCTCACGAAACCCCGTGACCCTTTGGTACAGTACAAGAAGCACAGCCACGCTTTTATCCTAAATGAAATCCTTCTCTATGTAGGACTAGGAGTATATTATACCTCTATATTAGAACAAACCACCGAAAAGAAGAAAAGTTCAAAAAGTATGACGAAAAAAAGAAATCAGATAATGATAATACTCTATTACATGTATTGTATTCTACACATATTCCTTGAAACAAATTCTGTTACAACAGAGCACGTGAATTCTGGACCTGCCTTTAACGAAAAGGCGTCTCTGTATTTATAGCCCAGATCTGCCCTACCTTGTATAAATTTTTTACTATACCTATGTGTAATGTATGTATTATGGTTGTTATAAATGATGCTGATACAACCTATGTAGAAGGAGAGAAAGACGTTGGGAAGTTGCAGGCTGCTCAGGTCCTGCTTTACTTCGGTAGTGAATTTGGAAGAGAGACGTTGGAAATATAACTTAATATTAGTTTTTTTTTTTTTTTCTGGTTCTAGGTTAAAGAAGTAAATCCAAAAAGAGATCCACTTGGTATCTTCCAAATTCTGATAACAACTCAACTGAACCAGTCAAATAAGTCAAAAAAAAAAAAAAGAATAGAATAGGTCTGGTTAGCTATCTTCTTTGGCTTTCTTTTACGCTTTGGGCGCTTCATGGGACAATATAAACAGCATTCTATTAATTATATCTGATAAATGCCATGACCACTTGCAGTTTAGAGAGAATGTAATGCACAGACCAATCAATGAAGAGAAAGAAAGAAACTGAAGGGAATCTTCGTAGATATTTTATACACTTAAACTAGAGCGAAAAGTAGAGACAAAAACAGCCGTTCTCATTGGCTGTCCTTTTTTCCAACTGTAGAGGCCCACATGGCCACAACCATTTTGTTTTGCTTTTTGTATGGTTGGAGGCGGGACTAGCCCAATCAATATTGCAGATGAGGAAGTTTGGTCAGAACTTAATAATCATGGGCAAGAAATTCGAACTTTGACTACAATTCTGTTTTTTATATTGTTTCTCCTTTTGAAAAATAGGGAGTGCATTATCAATTCCTGATTATGGTCTTGATTTGTTAAGGACCCTTTACGATTATAAGGTTCTCTTTCTCCTTCAAGGACGGTACTATAAATTAAAAAGATAAAAGGAATTCTAACGGGAGCCAATCAACCATGCAAGGCCAAGGACACAACATTAATCACCTTTTCGTACTTAATTTTTTTTTTAAGATATTCAGAACTAAAATTTTATACTAATTTTAAATACATAAAACGAGAACAGTTATCTAAAAATTCTTTATATATAAAAATTTAAATCTAAGATCAATTGATTATATGGCTAAAATTTATTTCACTCAAATTAATTATCTTTCATCTTTTTATATTTAATTTGTCATCACTATTTAGAACCTGAATTTTTGCAATTAAGTTCTAACCTAAGTTTGATAGTAATACCTTGCGTAAAGCAAAGATAGATGGGTAGCCCACTTTCAATTCCCGGCGCCCATCATGAATTTCTAGTTTTGTGCTGATCGTAAATTGACAAGCAAGCAAATACAATCGCTTATAGCTAAGACTGTCGACTAGTATATATAGTCGTGTCTGGCCACCAGTGCCCTAAGTCTGTAGATGGCCAAGTTTTGATGCTCATTAGTCAGAGTGCCAACGACAGTGTCCACAACTCGTGAAACTAGTTTGCTAAGCAAACGTTTCTGGCCTGGCTGTAACATTTACATCGGTGATTAAGTGACGAAGTTTGAAGTTTTGCCTAATGACCCGCTAAAGAGCAAAATATTCAAGAATCAATCAAGAAACCCGCTGGATATTTTGAGAAACTAAGCAAGCCTGACAGTTTGGGAATGACCATGGAAAATAAAAGGCAATATGAACGCAACACACCTCAGGAATCACAGCAGCAACTGGGGACGAATGGTGAAAAATAGAGAACGGAGGGCGCTTTTGGATTTGTTATTGGGATAGAGAGAGAGAGAGAGAGAAAGCAAAATCAGTTTTGTCTTTAATTATCAGGAGATAAATTCCGTGAAGAGAAATTGTATTTGCATAGGTTTCTGAGCAGAAAGTGAATTCAAGATCTCTTATTAATTATTTATCCCTGGAGAAGCTCAAGGGTACTTTAAGCAAATTGTGTAGCTCCAGAAAGATTCAATGATTGGTTTGGGATTTATATGCATATGATAATTAAGCACCCTCAGGAACTTTAGGTCTCATAAGTTTCCATCTACCTTAATATGAGTGAATTATCATTATATTTTCAACAAGAAGGAAATCTGCTTTATTTCTAACGAAAATTTCTTTTTAGATTAAAACCGAAATGTTAATAATATGATAACATGAGAGACAAATACACTTATGGCCTTGATCCGACAGTTTAAAGGTTAGAAATCGAAAGAATTACAGGTCCCTGCTAGTGGTACTGGTTGGGGTTCTGTCCTCCTTTAACAATTAAACCCACTTTAAAGAGTATCATAATAATAACAAAATTTCTTGGCACTAACATATTTACGACCCTAGTCCCCATGGACTCGGCTGATAAAAGTCGAAATTGTGACCTCGATGTCACGTCAGACCCCCGATTTGGGAAGCTTTTTTTGGCCAAGGGAGATTTTAAATCAACACAGACAGCCATATTGATTCCATAAGCCATATGTAAGGATCATCAAAGCGCAACAATATAGCATCACCCCAATAACAGCACTAGCACCAACACCAACACCAACACCAACACCAACACTAACACTAGCGCCATCACCACTACCACCAACAACAACAGCTAGAGTACTCCATAATAGGAAGACACCAGAATTGACTCAAGGACATAGAGAACAATGCATAACAAGTCATCTTTCACTTGTAGGGTCATAGCAAGTGGGCAAAATCGCACAGCAGAATGATGCACATATTTGAAATATATCAGTAAAAGAATGGACAAAGATTTGGATAAGAATCCTAGAAAGCTCTAGGTTTGTTGGTTTGCAACTGGGACCTTCTAAATATATAGTTCCAACCAAGCTTTCATATTCAAAGTTTAACGTGTGCCTTTTTTTCTTTCTTTTTTTTGGAGGGGGAAGAATTTTTTTAAGGAAAAGAAAAAGGGAAAAGAAGAAGTGTATAATAAACAAGTTAGAACCTAGTTAAAACAATTCTTTCAGCCAGACACTATTGGTGGACACCATAATAATCTCAAAGCCATGGACTCAGACCTCCAAGTGCAACGAATGATTATGCAAGTTCTGGAATCACATTCAATAATATGATCATGCATGCCCCAGCGTAATTTAATATAATATCCAAATCAATATTCTTCTCTTCTCTAACCTTAATGAAAATTAATAAGGAAGTTCATAAAGTAAAGACCAAGATTTCTAGAGTGTTCGACTTCTGTGGGACAGTTTGAAGTATAGACCCGAGAAGCAGGCTTGCATCTATTTTAAGTCTTGTATCTATAATGAATGAGCCGAACAGACCAGCTATAGCCTTTTTCCCTTCACAAAAGAAAAAGGTATATAAAGGAAGGGTACATTAAAGGTAGAGTTTTGAATATTACAAGCTGTATAAAGTGCCAATCACTTTCTGGTCGCCCACCATTCTTCTTTTGTATGCTGCCTTCTTTTTTTCCGTTCTCTACAAGTTTTGGTGAAGGAAGAACAAAAAAATCGATTACCATAGTACGAGTCAGAGAATGGCAAGAGAAAGAGGTGCTTAATTTCCTAATTCATGAAGTTAAACTTTGAACTCCTAAGAAAAGCTCATGATTGTTATAATATGCTTAGTATGAAATATTTTCTTTTTAAGATCTGTAGTAAATGGTTTAGATGAACAAGAAAAAGTAAATTTTAGCAGCATATGAGCTCATCAAGTTTGTGCCACCATTTATCTGTATATCAAAATTCCGAAGGTCAAAAGCTAAATTCAACGACTCTTGACTAAAGTCTAAAAACACAATTATTTCAATCACATAATATGCATACCATAGCAATAGCATATACACTCACCATGAAGGAACCTTACTTGTCGAGTTGCAACTTCAATTTGAAGGAGGTTATCACTTCTCAATCATAAATAAAAAAATCAAGCCCCAGAAGACAGTAAAAAAGAATTAGCAACTTCATAAAGTATGAATTTGCAACACTCCAGTACAAATAGGCATGTAGAATTAAACAGTGGAGTGAGCCAAAGAGAAGTAGCTGCGATGACCTATTAGGCATTCCTGTATTCCACCAGGTTTAATCCTTGTATCCATGAAATCAAGTTAAACGACCATGAAACAAAAATTGAATGTTCATAAATTTTAAGTCTTAAGTCTTCTGATAACTAGGTGTTTGATTTACTTGAACAAATTGAACCCTGCTCTCTTACATGCCACAGCCATACTCAAGAAACATTGGTTTTAGAATACGAATCTCAAGGGAGGCTAAATTTAAATGACATAGTCAAACCCCAATTATGGCTGAAGCATAGGACGCCAAGCTCACCCTGATTGCTGTCAAGGCACAGGGTGCCTGGCTCTGGTTCATATTGAGATTAAACAGGTTCCAAATAGCTTCACTGGATAAATGATACTGAAATGGCATCCACATGATATGCACAGCATTTTTTTCTCATATTGAGAATCACTGCATCAGAGAACACAAAAGAAATTGGTTTAATTCAGTTAAAAGATGGGGTTAAGGAGAGAGACAGATTCTAGTCTCCTGTACCTGAATAGAAATATTTAGTGCTATGAAAGCCTTGGCTCAGTTTTTACCTTTTTAGCCCAGCAAGGAGCATAAAAAGTTTCAAGCTCAAGAGGAGACTTCGATCCACCTCCACCATACCACCATTCAAAACTTCTCAGGTTAAGGTAGCTGGCATGCTCATGTCAATCTTCAACATTAGCATATTTGTACCCATTTGAACTTCCTTTGATTAAAAACAATCGAGTTTTAGAACAAAGAATTGAGTCTTATTCAATTACATACTGTACAGTAATATCAATACAAATCACAGTTTGGAGTGCCAATTAGGGGGACAGAGGCGGCAAATTCAGAACTAAATCCTTGCAACCTTTGGACAGGCATCTGTGAGTATTTCTGGAGTTTCCTACAGATTTCCATCATGGATGAACAGAAAGGAAGGAAGAAAAGGTCGTATTCAATATTCAGAATACAGTCGAACCAGACGCAATGAATCGAAAGCGGTGTCCAAGCGCCACTCTCTTTGCTTTTTGCTAAGAGGTCTTCCCTTCCCAGCTTTTTCTCTATTCATCCTTACATCTGCTAATCCCCAAGTGCAGTATTTCGTTTCTATATCGAAAGAAATGATCCTAAAAACACCATCACTTTCTGAGGATGAATCTTTTGCATCTGCCTCATTTACATATCTCACATACATAGCCCGATCCTTGAACCGATCCAGCTCTTCTGGAATCCGAACTACCCTTTCAACACCAGGAGAAGATACCTGATGCAAAACACAACTTTTGAATTAACAGATAAAAATATCTGATTTCTACAAACACACACATCATTCAAATCTCAGCTCTAAAGCATCAGCTATCTCTCGAATTAGTGTTAAAATCTACTAAACTGATTCCACATTTGCAACAAACAACCAAATATGTATAACACCTACTATGAAATTTCATTAGTGTAACAACTTGGAGGCAGCTTTGTGCACATGCACCCTTGAATTTCATTGAGGGTTGTTCTGACTTGTGTGCCTGCCCCTAAAGCATGCATTGTTAGGGGGGAAAAAGCAAAGAAGTAAATAGGAAATACCACTACCTCCAAAGTAAAATTCTCAGGTATAGTTTTAGCAAGTTCAGCTTCATCCAACTGTGCTCTATAGGTTGTAGAAAAAGCTTCAATATCTTCCATATTGGGGGAACCAGACCTAGAATATATCATTGTGTATTAAAGTCATAATCATTCTTTATTCACAGAAATTTTTTTAAAAAAAAAAAGATATTGAGAAGAAAATAAAAACCTATGACATGTAAACAACTAACTAAATTTTAACTCCAATTCAAAAGATTAGTCCATCTTGCTCAATTCATTTGATAACATTCAAGGCATTGCATTCTAGATAAATTCTCAGGAGGAAATGTACAAATTCGTTGCCATTTCTCATAAATGGTGTTAAAGATAGCACTCACTTATTTGTAAGTCTCTCAATGCGGACTTGAATGTAGGAATTAGACAATGTCTTGAAGGCATAAATTTTCAATTCCCCATCAAAAGATAAGCAAACCTGTTCAGCTATTTTTAATGCTTCTTTATCCCACCATGTCCCAGCAAGTGCAACCCCACCTCCACCACCTCCATCACCAGCCTTCAAAAGAAATCAAGATCCATCACCAAACTATCCAACTTCAATCTAAATTAATCAAGAAATTAACGAAAAACATATAATTTAACCACAAAAACTCACATATAACTTGGCTTCGTCTTCCAAAAACTGTTCTTCGTCGAAATGATCATCATCACCATCCATCACTGCCTCTATACGATCAAAGATTAACACTTTGAAAGAAAATTTCAATATACAGAAAAAAAGAAGAGAAAATGGGTTATTTTGGATTTAAGTTACCATCTTCAAAATCATCAAAGAGCAACTGTTCTTCTTCTCTATCTTCATCGGCTCCTGATACTTCTTCAATTATGGTTGGTTCAAGGACTGGCTCAGGCTTGGAGTTTCTCTTCTTGGCATGGACTAGAAATGAGTTGGTGGGAATTATGCGACATGGGTGTGGCCAAAATGGGAAGGAGAAGGTATGTTTTGTGAGTGAAGGCTTGCAGTTGCGGTAGGAGAAGGTGATGCTTGGTGGCATTGAAATCGGAGGGTATCTTAAATCCCATGGGGAAATCAAATTCATATTATTTTAGCGTGGAAATGGAAAGTGAAAGTGATTGAATTCTCGCCTCTGTCTGAAGTTCGGGAAACTGGTAGGGGGTTTTGAAAGGGGACAGGGAGCAGAGTAACCGTCCCTGCTAAACTCTAATGATAAGAAAATTAGATTGCAAATAAAAACGACACCGTTAAAATGCATTTTCCTCAATCGAGGAGTTTTGACGTGCTGGGGACCCTATTGAGAAGATTTTAAGTTTGGGGACGCAATTGAGATTCGATGGTGAGGACTAATTTGAGGTTACCATTTTTTTCTCTTTCATTAATGGAGAGGATTAAGTTGAGATTTGGTAACTTATCTACTACTTAGACAGGCTGACAGCACCATAGTACTCGTGGATATCTAAATTAATCCCTCATTCAAATAAATTAACAGCACACAAATGGTTTTCGTATTTTTTGTTATTAGCTAATCACATGATCACCTAACTGGATCATTTTGGAATTGGTTGCTTCAACAGAATTTGAATGATAACGATTTATTTGAAGAGGGCATGGGCTGTTCAATGTTGATGAATTTATGTCAAAAATTGATTGATGATAAAGACTTAGAATCTGTCCTATGACAAAACAAAGTTAAAAGCTCCCAATTTTTACAGAAATTAATGACTTTCAAAGATGAGAAACTCTGCTTCCATCGATCAATCTCAAATCCAATGAAGTTTAACAATTAAAAACCCAGATACCCTCTACCATCACCTAGTTTGTAATAACGTCTAAAATCTGCCCCATTCTATGTCTGAAGTTGAGATGTGATTAAGGTGCATCCACAGCTGCATCCTTCCGGTCTTCTTTATCCATGCATTGAGCAAAACTTGGCCTGCAGGCACTAAACTTCTTCCTGTGGATATTGCAGCGAGAAAAAATCAATGCTTGAAAAGAGAACCAACAACTGATATGTAATAAAAAGTGAAAGAAAGGCTTACCCAGATATAAAAGTCGGCAGATCAAACTACTGGAGTCTCCGATGCAATTGTTATCAGCACAAATTTCAGGGGGTGGGATCCTGACGGGTATTCAAGCATCCCAATCTCTTAGGAAACTCCTTCAGTTAGCTTCTTCGCTATAATGTTGTAAACGGAAGGTGATCACAATGTTGGTCGAAGTGCATAAGGCAGTGAAAGAAATCTGAAGGAGCCGAAAGCAAAGCAAATGATAACAACTGAACTCTGCAGTTGATAAGGAAGATCACTAATTGTCAGGATCATAACCAACAAATAAGTATATGGTCGGTTTAATTGTGTTTTACCTGGATGTTTATGATGTTTATCAATTGCTTCAGGCAGTCCCTCCCAACAAGTCATTTAGTGCCATCTTCAAGTCATCAAGGAGAAGCTCCTCTTCTTCTTTATAAGCACGTAGGCATGCAGAGACAAAGGACTGACCTTTTCTCAGTATTCATCGTGGCCAAAAAAATCAATCTGAGCAACATAGTCATTTTCTCTCATCAGCGGTGTTAAATCTTTCAAAACTGCATCAATTTCTGATGCACTTGGATGAGATTTGTCTCCTGCCACGAACAAGTTTGTCTCCTGTCCCACTACAATCCAGCTACACCCAGGCAACTTCTTCACTCCTTTTTCTCTCATTTCCCTTCTCAAAGTATTGACCTCATCCCAGTTTCCTGAGGCAGCATAAATGTTAGAAAGAAGTACATAGGGTGACGAGTTTTGTGGTTCAAGCTCAATGAGTTTTTCAGCAGCTTGCTGGCCCTTGATGTCATCTCCATGTATTCTGCAGGCCCCAAGCATTGTAGCCCAAACCTTAGCATCAGGTTCAAAATTAAGTTTGTCAATGAACTCTTCAGCTTCTTTAAGAGAACCCCATCTGCCTAGAAGATCAACCATGCAGGCACAATGATCTGCTCTAGGCTGCATCCCATAGAAGTTAACCATCATGTCAAATATCTGGCGCCCCTCTGATACCCTCCCTGAATGACTACACGCATTGAGGACACCAAGAAAGGTGACATCATCTGGTATAACATGCGATTGCTTCATCTCATCAAAGACTCTTAGTGCATCTTCTGCATATCCATTTTTAGCAAATCCAACTATCATTGAGTTCCAAGAAATAACGTCTTTTTTGCTGTTCATTTCCTTAAAAACTCGCATGGAGCTCTTCACATCCCCACATTTGGCATACATATCTACTAGCGCACTACTCGTCAACTCATCTGAGTGAAATCCAGTATGGAAAATCAAAGAATGAATCTCTCTACCATCTCTTATAGAAGATACAACAGCACATGCTCTAAGAGCGCTAACAAAGGTAGCTTGGTCAGGTAACACGTTGCAGCTGCGCATTTCTTTATAGAGTTGCAAAGCCCGCATGCTGCAATCATTTTGAGTAAGTCCTGAGATCATAGCAGTCCACACTACAGCACTTTTTGTATTTGAAAACTCTGAGAAGAGAATACTTGCATCTGTTGTTCTCAGGGAGTTCATGTACATGCCTAAGAGAGAGACGCCCAAGAATTCATCATCAAGCTGAAGGCCCATCTTTAAAATAAGACAGTGGATTTGCATTCCTAGATTCAACTTCTGTTGCCCATCACATGCATCTAAAAGGCTTGCAAATGTTATTTCAGTGGAGTTTATTCCGTCAACTAGCATCTCTCGAAACAGATTTACTGCCTGTTCCAAATTAATTTGACAATATCCTGCAATCAGTGCATTCATGGAGACCACACTCCACTCAGGCATGCAAGAAAGAATTTTATGTGCAGAATCAATAGCCCCACACTTGGCATACATGTCGATGAGGGAGCTTCCACAGTAAAGCTTTGTTTCTAGACCAGATTTGACTGAAAGACAATGCACCTGTTTCCCTTGCCCAAGACCTTTAACACTTGCACAGGCACTCAATATACTGGCCAGAGACACTTCATCCGGCAGAATCCCAAGCAAATTCATTCTTCGAAACAAATGGAATGCCTCAACTTCATCTTCTTCTTGCACATATCCAACAATAATTGCATTCCAAGAAACATTGTCTCTGTTTCTTATCAGCTCAAATTGTTGCCTTGCATCCTCCAGAGCACCGGATTTAGCATACATATCTACCAGTGCATTTCCAACAAACAAGTTGGACGCAAATTTGTTCTTGATAATAACTGAATGCAATTGACGGCCCAATTCTAAATATTTTAAGCAAGCACAGGCACTCAGAACGCTGCTATAGGTAAAATCATCTGGGTAAAAACCACAGCTCTTTATATTGAAAAACAATTCCATGACTTCATTGGCATACCCATTCTGCACATATCCTCCAAGAATTGCATTCCACAAAACTATGTTTTGCTCATCTAAAGCATCAAAAACTTTCTTTGCTGCTTCCATCTTCCCACACTTGGCATACATACTAACCAATGAACTTCCAACATAGACATTTGAGTGTAACCCCTGTTTAATTGCCTCAGCATGAACTAGCAAGCCAAAGTCAAGAGCTGCTAAACTTGCAATCGCACTCAATACACTTCCCAATGTGGACCTAGTGGATTTAATGCCAGCTTTCTTCATATTTTGGAAAAATTCAGTAGCTTCCGCCCCATAACCTCCTTTGGCATGGCCTGAAATCATCAAATTCCATGCCACAACATTCTGGTTAGGCATCCTGGAAAACAAATCAGAAGCATCATCTAGCCTACCTAGATCAACATATGCATTCATGGCAGTCAAAAATGCTACCTGGTCTGGTACCCGTCCAACCTTCTCCATCTCCTGGAACACTTTCACTGCCTCCTCAGGCAGACCAAATTTAACATACCCACCAATCATCGATGTCCAAGAAACTCTATCCAATTCTACTGCTCCATCAAATATCCTTCGAGCGTCACTCAAAAATTTGCATTTGGCATACATATCAATTAAAGCAGCCCCACAATAAGAACTCGACTCAAACCCCGTCTTAACAACATTACAATGAAGTTGCCTACCATACCCAACCATCTCCAATCTTGCGCAAGATGATAAAACAATAGCAAATGTGAACTCATTTGGCCAACCCCCAGAATTCCTCAACAACCCAAAATACTTAACAACCAAATGTGGAAGTCCCTGCTTTGAATGCATTGATAAAATCGAGTTCCAGGCCAATATATCTCTATCTTCAAGCCTTTCGAATGCCTTCTCTGCATAGTCCATATCACCACACTTGGCATAAAGGTCAAAAATTACATTACCTAGAGCCCCTTTTGACCAAAAACCAAGTACGAGGCTGTGGGCATGGATAATTTTATTGGTGGTTGAAAATTGTGATAGTCTTTGAGGAATTTCGTCGAACAGGTTCGGGGTTTTGACTTGCTTGCATTTTCTCAGGCAAGTCCGCACGAGATAGGTGTATATGCGAGTTTCAGTGGCATGAGAAGGATGAGCTGACCCATGTGAGATCGTTGAGAATGTGAGTTGGTGATGGAAGGAGAGAAGGTTTGAGGAGGATAAGGTTTTGAAGTAGAATCTGCGACGCATTGAATCAGGGACCAGTCCAACATGACTCGGAAAACAGAGCCAATTGATGGGGAAGAGAAAATAAAATTTTTTGTTCAAAGAATTCCTTGGACCTGGAATTAATGGTAGATTACGAAGCTGGCGGCAAAGCTTCAGCTTGCTGCATTTTGGAAGGGAGAAGGAATGCCGTTTTCGCAAACGACGTCGTACGTTTGATCAGCAAAAGAATGTCATTATGATTTAAGAAGGGTGAGCAAAACACCGCTAACGTTCAAATATGGTGTTTTCAATGACTTGGGCTATAAAAATATATTAAACGACCATATGGTTTTTTTATAAAAATGTTTTAAACCTTAAAATTAAAATTAAAATGAAATCCCCTCGCTTTCGGAGGCTTGCTTGGGATAATAAGTGAGTTTGTTCCCCTCCTCATCATCTCCATTTTGAATTTATGGCATTCGATGGTGGTGGGCTAGAGAGCAACAGAAAACCGTAGTTTAGCTGTTTAACCATGCCTTATGGTAGGATGGGTGTAAAACGCATTATGTACAATTAATTTAGTAACATCATTACGAGAAGTTCAAGCAACTAAAAGATGCGCATTCTGATAACATAAATTGACTCTCAAATTGTCAACACAGTTTCTTATAACAAGGCTTTATCTCAATGCATTGAACCTTGCATCAACTAAATGTGAATTGTATGTATGAAAGAATGGAGTAACCGATCACTAAGATTAGATAGCTGTGGAAGTAACAGAGGGTGCTGATGGAGTAACAGTTGCATTGTCTGTCCAATTCTTTTCACCCCAATGCCATAGCATGCTCTCCCAGAAGCAGAAATCCTCAAAGCAGGTTTCCAAGCGTTTGTCTTTTATCTTGATCTTCCAATGACCATCAGTGTAATTGGCTTTCTCAGCTTGCCTCCGATCCCACTCCAATGCTGCCTTTTGCTTGGACCTAAGCAAGCAGTACTTGTGCAAGTTTTTGGGCATGGCATCATGCACCTTCCACCATGTTTTGTGAGCAACATCACTAGCAAACTCCTGCAAAATGTCCACGTTCCAATTGCAGTCATAATCTCGGAAGCATATCCATGGTTTGTTACCCAGATAGTGGAGAACATAAAGGATTGGGGGATCAGCTCCAAAGAGTCGAGTTTTCATCTGTTTCTTCTCCTCCTCATCACCTTCCCAAAAGTGTTTCAAGAAGTTCATGTGTTTAGGAATCCGGTGCCACCAAGTGAAGATTTCATTTAGGTATCCCTGGTCCCCGCCATTGTAGGACTCAATCTCATTGATGTGATCCATTAACAATTGGAATGTACAGTTTGATGGTTCAACGACCATAACACCTGAGTTGAACAGGGTAGCATTGTTTCCTGTTGCAGATATTTCTGGCATCTCAAACAAGAAATCGATATTTCTAAGTATGAGCATGTCAGCATCAATGAAAATGATCTTGTCATAATCTGTCAATTGCCAGAGACGAAATTTACTGTAGTTCCATTCATTGTAAGCATCTCGTTCAGCTTTTGGGTTCCTGATTCTTTGGATTGTATGGATTTTCCAACCTGCAGCTGCTAAGCCTTCCCTATGATAGTTAGTAATTGTTTCATCAACAAGTATCACAAGATCCCGTGTTGAACCTGCCATGCGGATACTCTGAGCTGCAGCAATGGCCCCACAAACATACACATGTGCAGAATGCAGAATCGTAGCATATGCTTCCCTGTGTGCTCTTTCAGAGTGAAAATGTTCTGTTGAAAAAAAATCAATGAGTTTGTATTTAGGATTTTGTGCTAGTTTTGCAGTGAGAAAGCCAATGCAGTCTTTGTAAAATCACTCAGCTAGTTAGAATTAAAAAAATTTGTGTCAATTAATTCATTGTCTTGATCCCATGGCAGGTCAAACTTACAGATCCAAACCCTGAACATGCTGCCATGCTAATTCGAATTTTTTCATTTATTCTGAATTTTTGACGTACCAGACTCCTCGTACAACATTATAGACAGAAAGACATGGATGGGAAATGCAGTTGACCCAAAATTTAACTAGCTCAACCAAGGGTAATTTCACTATAATCTAAGAAATTTCAGTAGGCTACAGAGATAGATAGGAGAGGAATTAGATCAGCTGTTTTCCAATATCCCACTACCTAACACGAAATAAAAGAAATAAACAGCATCAAATCTTTTAATGCAAAAGCTTCACGACTGACCTTTAGCCTTGAGAGGAACTGAAAGTTCACATGATCCTACTGGGAGCTGTATCTTTTCTCTCAAGGTGTTGAGGTTAGGCCGATACAGCCATAAATTCCCCTCATGCAAAATAAGCTCCTTGCAAGTGAACAGATTTGGGGTCGGGAAGCAGTCAGCCAGCAAAAGCACACGCACAGGATGGTAACTTTTGGCAGAAGCAGCAAGATTTGCAGCCGCAAGCTGCAAGTGCAAACGAGCCACATCTCTTGACCATTTCCCTGACTTGTTGCATGGAAGCTTCACAGCAATTACATCAATGCGTGGTTTGCCAGGAACTTTAAGTTTGGGTAGAACAGGACAAGTGGGAACCTCAAATTCTTCCTCTTCATCTATCCATTCAGGGTAAAAGGATTCCCAAGTTACATCTTCCGCTGCATGCTCCAGATGCAGAACAACATGCTCAACATTAGGTAACAGCAGCTTCCAGTTATCAATCTCGCTTTCATTGAAGTTTAACAAGCCAATTCCCTGATACTCATTGCTGTCATCTAGTTTGACAATAGTATCAGAAATCTGGTCCCAGTCAATGTCTAAAGTTGAGATATAGCGTGGATCGACAGCAGCACCCTCTCCTATCCATCGATCTACAAAACCTGGCCTGCAATCATTAAACCTCTCCTTCAGGATATTGCAAAGAAAAAATCAATGGTCTATTGGTCTGTGCCTTCTATCTAAACTTGCAGAGGCTTTCAAAATTTTTAAAAAGGAAAGGCAAGTGCGTCTGTGCTGATTTAACTCTGAGAGCTGCTCTAACCTACCATACTACTTAAACACTCGAAACAAGGAAAAAGTTCAGGAAGCAAATATAGCATAATGCCAAACAGAAAAGCAGAGGGTTTGATTTGGAACATCGCTAAACTAAAAACAAAATAAGAAACCACCTTGAGAGAAAAATAAGACGCGATAGACAATAAAATTTGACCAAGTAAGCAATAAACATACCGAGATCCAGAAGCAGATGGCTGGTCTGCAATATAAACTACTGGAGAGTGGTAGAGTGTCACTAAAGTTCCGAATGCAATTATTGTCAGCACAAGTTTCAGTGTAGATATCTTGCAGTTCAAATTCTTATATTGGATAGGAACCTGGAAGGCCTTCTCAACTTCTCTAAGATCCCTACCTCTTAAGGACCTCCTTCTGCTTGCATCTTCACTGCCTTTCACAAGAACATTAGTCCAGGAACATAATTAGAATAATAAATTCACACCCAGACACGCAAAAAAAAAAAAAAAAAAAAAGCACAGAGGTTCTCATGATAGCAGCCAAATCAGAAAATAATAAAGAAGGTCGGAACTCCGAGCAGGACAAACAAACAAACCAACAGGCAAACAAAAATACACATTTGGTAATTGGCATCCCAATGGAAGGAACTATTAACTGAGAGACTATAAAATGGAAACCAATGTCTATCCTCCAACATTTTTCCATGTTATTTTTTAGCTTAGGCATTTTGCATAATAAAATGGCGAGACCACCGAAAAAAAGAAAAAATGTATGTACAGATAGAATGGTGTCAAAGACGCTAGCAACTACAGATTATCAACCCAAATCCTCTCTTCTGCTTTCACCGTATGGTCTTACATGGATCAAAATTATTTTTCAACTACAATACCAAGCTAATTTTAAAAACCCAACTCGAAAATCATGCAAAGACCAGGAATGAACTAACTTAAGCAACAATAAATGACCAAAGAAGAAGCGAAAACAAAAGCATATCGTACCATAAACAAGCAGATCTCAGTAATAGTTGATAGTGAAAGAAATGGAATGCTAGGTAGCGTGAAACATGCTTAATCAGTAATCAACAAGCTGATTTATTAACTAAAACCATAGAGAAAGTGATTAAAAATAGAAGGATGAGAACGAGAGAGAGAGAGAGAGAGAGAGAGAGAGAGAGAGAGACTGACGAAAAAGCAGAGGATCGGTGTCTGGACTCTACGGAACTAGAACTGGGGGAGGTCACTCCTACTCCTCTCATCTTCTTCTGCTTCAGGTACAGGGAGGTAGCATCTATCTCACTGGAAAAGAATCAAAATGACAGAAAAAGAGGAACTCTATATTTGAAAATACAATGAAATGAAACCGATTTGTTTCAGGAAACATCGAGAGAGCTGCGAGCGTGTATTAGCTGTAACTATAGATTTGATTAATTGAATATAATGGTTAGTTAAGACTTAAGTCTACACCAGACAGCGACTAATAGATGACGATGCTCAATAGTATTATTATTATTGTCGTTGTTGTCGTTCCGGGGGAGTTGGTCTCTCTCAGTCTAGCGAGAGTGTGAGACTAGTCAATGTAAGAATCTCTTTTCCTAATTTACCCTCAGCTGTCTCGCTTGAATTCCATATTCTTGCAATTTTGCTGCTGCTGCTTCTCCTTCTTCTCCTTTATTTTTTGTTTTTTTTTTTCCGATAATAAAGTCATATTTGTAATCAACCTTATGGTATTAGTCTATTTTATTCATAAGTAAATATTAACTTCTAATTTAGGTTTAGAATTCAATCTTTATAACTAATATTTTTTAAATTTTATTTCTAAAATATTCAAAATCATACATTAAAAAATATTCTTTAATCAAATCCAGATAAAAATCGCCTTTTTTATTAAAAAAAAATTATTTTTATAATGATATATTTTACAGTTGAAATTAAGTTTTTTTCGAAAAATTTTAATGACACACCATCTATATTTATGTATGAATGTATTTAAAAAAATATATATGATAAATTTCTTCGGGTGTTGATTTTAATATTTGAATTTTAAATAGAAAATTCATCGACTTCATATATTTCATGTATGCAAATGGTATTCTAATATATTCAGCTATGTAGTAGGTATTTTTATAATAAATCAAATCAAAGATACTATTTTTTAATACATATGTAATGAAAAATTGTGCTTAACAGCCTTTCTTTCACTCTTATAATCTCTTTTATTTTACTTTTTAGCTTTTCTTTTGAATTTATATAAAAAAAATTGTATGGATTTTTTCTTTAAATTCATACCTTATCTCCAATGGTTAGAATCAAAAAACACTAAATGCGAAAAAAAGTTAAACAAAGCTAGTGAAATTAATAACAAGAACCCATGACAAGGAGAATAATGATTTTGAGAGTGAGTTCAAAATTTCAATATCGTTTAAAGGGCAGTACCAATTGAACCGTTGCATTTAGATAAAATAATAGGAAGATCTATTAAATTCAAACCCAACAATTCAACAACATCAATATTTTTCCAGTATCAATATATTATAATAATCCTCATTTCATCTATCAATCACCAAAACTTATAATTGATGGTTTAGTTTACTCATTACTAAATAATAATAATAATAATAAAATATTTAAATTTTTTACTATTCATTTACTATAGCATTACATTTTTTTTTTATCGTTGGCCAATAGCCCAATCCTAGAGAAACAGACTCAGTCGGACCTAATAGTTGACTCAGGCAGGCTTGGCCTGGCTCACAGACCTACACAAGCTGTCTCGTTTGTCTTTTTTTTTTTCTTTCAATAATTTATTTTTATATTTTTTAATTATAAAATTAGGTGTGAAAATATAAAAAATATTTTTTTTTTAGTTTTATGTATTATTTAGAATAAATTTTAAATAATAAAAATAATATAATCACATATATATGTTCAAATTAAAATATTAAAAAATATCATATATATTCTATCAACATCAAATAATACATAAAACTAAAAAAAAATTATATTTTGGCACCTAATTTCACGATAAAAATATAAAAATAAATTATTGGAAGGAAAAAAAAAAAAAGACAAACTGGACTGCTTGTGTGGGCCTACGAGGCAGGCCAGGCCTGCCTGAGCCTGCTTCTCCAAGGCTGGGCCTTCACGCAGCATGCTTTTATATTTTGCAATCTCAGCACAAGGGACTGGTTCTTCCTCCAATGTTTCCATGCCTACCCCAAGCAGTTAGCCCCGGTGCCTTCTTCCGACCAATCAAGATTCAGACGCTTGGCTTTCTGCATCATAAATTGAGCATTAGCATCATCGTCACCAATCCAGAACAATCCTTCTAAAACTAAGACCACAAGGAACTAGTTTCGTCTGTAACCCACACCTACCATGGCATAGTTTTTGATGAATTTCCATTGTAAAAAAATGATGTGTGACTTGATATTCTCCAACACAATATTTTTTGGAATCTTTCTTCTTCTTTTTTTTTTGAAGTAGAAAATCCTACCATCGTTATACCATACAAGTTTTTTTTAAAAAAAACAAAACCATTCATTTTTCAAATGGGCCCAGTAGAACCCGTAATACCAAAGATTTTTCGAACGGGGCTGCCCTAGGCCCAGTTCAGTTTTTCTTTTTTTGGGAAAAAAATACCGCAGTAAGTCAGTAACTTGTTTTTAAACTCAAATGCTGCGTTGACAGCCGGTAGAAGAAATCATCAACAGCCGCGTGAAATGAAATGGCGCGATACCGTAATACGTATAACACAAAGAGAACGGTGCGTTTTTTAGTAGTTCGTGATTCCCAATAGTCTACGCAGATCTGAGTAAAATCACACCAAATTCTCGTCAATTTCCACCATCTCCATAATCGGTAGATCTCAACTTTCAAGCTTCGCCGATCACCAAAAATGGTGCTGGTATCGGCCGCACGTGATTATGTAAACCGGATGTTGCAGGACATCTCCGGCATGAAGGTTCTCATTCTTGATTCTCAAACGGTAATTTCTTTTCCTCTCATAATTTCACTCTTAAGCACCGAATTCTATCATTTTTTTCTCTATCAATTCGCTTAATCCACTCAAAGTTTATGTAATTACTGCTGATTTCTCGTTATAACCCACGGAATCAAAGCAATTGCTAGGCACAAAAAAAATAATAAACCAAAACCCTAGCTGATAAACAAGTATTAAAATAACGAAGTTGAGAAATGTGAGTTTCATTAATTTTTTAATAATGTGTTTCAGGTTAGTATTGTAAGCGTTGTGTATTCACAATCAGAGTTACTTCAAAAGGAAGTATTTTTGGTAGAATTGGTAGATTCTATATCGAAGTCGAAAGAATCAATGTCACATCTTAAAGCAGTTTACTTCCTTCGGCCAATATCAGAAAATATTCAGAATTTGCGGCGTCAGCTGGCAAATCCTAGATTCGGAGAGAGTCATTTATGTAAGTTCTTATTGAAGTGTTTGGAGTTTCGGTAATAAATTTTTTATTTAAATTTTGTTATTTGATGGTGACGTATTTGCAGTTTTCTCCAACATGTTGAAGGATACTCAGATTCATATTTTAGCTGATTCGGATGAACAGGAAGTGGTGCAGCAAGTTCAGGTAAATCACTTCCCTTAATTTTTTATTTATAAACTCATCTATAGTTGTAATTATGTTTCTTGTTGTAAATATGTAGTATAATGCACATGCAAATTGAATATTTGACGTAATTGGATCCTGTTATGCAAGAAAATTATTCTAGGTGCCATCTGTGGAATTGTAGAACTCATGAAATTCTCAAGCTGCCAAGCACAAGTGCATGGATTTCTGTCATTTAATGCTAAATTGCTGAGAAGAAGGGATTTAGGTCGGTCACGTTTTGTAGGATATTGCTTTCATGGTAGTAGAATTAGCTAATGTCCTTTTGCTTTAACACCTGTCCAGAGCGATGTAGATACAATTAGGTCATCGTAATAATGGTCTGATGTTGACATAGATTTGCTTATATTTTGTCTATAGGAGATAAGATGCTCTTTATGTCTCTGATTAAAATGGCCTGCCTTCTACTTGGTGAATGAGAACAGAAGTGCCGTGAGTGCTCTTGGTGTGGCAATGTGGGGGTTGTCAAACATTATTGTGGCAATTCATTAGATTTAGAGAATGTTGAGTCATGGTCTATCTGTAATGATTGGGAAACTTCAGCCAGCTGTGGTTATTTGATGTGATTAAGGAAGCATTAAGTGAGCATTGCCTTTGAGCGTTAATGTTTTCATTGATGTTTAGGACCTGATGTAAAACTAGCAAAGAAAAGGTGTTAAACTCAATGCGTTGGATCAAATATTGTTTTCTGTACTAGGTTGAATGACAAAGATGTTTATTGTGCCACTCCTCTTTTGACACGTGAACAGGCTGGCTTTACATGATAAATGTTTTGTGAATTTTCAATATGTGATTGTACTTGCCAGCAATTTGTTCCATATCCTCCTTCTTGCTTGGTCTTTGATTTAAGATTGCCTTAGATACATTTTCCTTTTCATTGATGATGCAGGAGTATTATGCAGACTTTGTTGCAATTGATCCTTATCATTTCACTTTGAACATCCCTTCAAATCGCATGTATATGCTCCCAGCAGTTGTAGATCCCCCAGGTTTGCAGCAATTCTGTGATAGAGTTGTCGATGGCATAGCAGCAATCTTTTTGGCATTGAAACGAAGACCTGTTATTCGATATCAAAGAACCTCTGATATTGCAAAAAGGATAGCACAGGAAACATCGGTGAGTAATACTTTGAACTGATGAAATTCGAGTCACATGCCTTACATATAAACATTTTTCCGGAAACAACTTTCCTATGTTGAGTCACAGTTTCTCCTTTTTATTTTCCACATTCATTTCTTAAGGTTAAGATGTGTGTGTCACATGTGCATAGGTTACTCCATGCTTAGTACAATAGTAGCTTTTGCTGCAATACATATATGTGTAAAAGAGATGTCTATGATTTTACTTTACCTTATTAACAGTGAACCTTTTACTTTTTATTTGAAGATCAGTGTCATAGAAAAACTGATATTTTTGGTTATTAACTTTTGGGGCATGCAGAAGCTGATGTACCAGCAGGAAAGTGGCCTTTTCGATTTCAGACGCACAGAAATTTCTCCTCTGTTGCTTATAATTGATCGAAGAGATGACCCTGTTACCCCGTTACTAAACCAATGGACTTATCAGGTTCAAGTCATGACTATGATATGTGATTTCTGTTCTTTTCAAATTTCAAGCATGCCTTGTGAATTATTTCCAATTTATTCTTGGGCAGCTCTTTGATTATGTTCATTTATTTTGTAGGCTATGGTTCATGAATTGATAGGCATTCATGATAACAAAGTGGACTTGAGTAGCACTGGAAAATTACCTAAAGATCAGCAGGTTGAGTTGTTTTTTTCCCTTTCTGTAAATATATAAAATTTCAAAAATTTGCATGATATTTTATATTTGTGTTCCTTGCCATTTCAGGAGGTTGTATTGTCATCAGAGCAAGATGCCTTCTTCAAAGCTAATATGTATGAGAACTTTGGAGATATTGGAATGAACATCAAGAGGATGGTGGATGATTTTCAGCAAGTTGCAAAAAGTAATCAAAATATCCAAACAATAGGTTGGTATTTGGCAAGATTGGGCATCCATTCATTTGTTAATTTCTATCGCTGCTCATGGCTAGGATTTTCAATTTAAACAGCAAGTATTTTGAATTACTGCAGAAGACATGGCCAAGTTTGTTGACAATTACCCTGAGTACAGAAAAATGCATGGCAATGTTTCAAAGCATGTGACATTGGTCACAGAAATGAGCAAGATAGTTGAAGAGCGAAGACTCATGTTAGTTTCAGAAACGGAACAGGATTTGGCTTGCAATGGTGGGCAAGTGGCTGCATTTGAGGTATTGCATGTATTCTGACATATTCCAGGTTGCCCTTATTTCTTTGCTCAATATCTGCATGAGTTTTAAGCTAAAGTCAACAATAAATGACAGGCCTGACACATCTAAACAAATTGACCAAACTGCATGAAGAAACTGATCGGGGAATTACTGTGTTGGTACCTTAAAATCATGTTATAGATTAGCACTCTCGTGGGAGATGTTAGTAACATGTATGCAAAATGAATATGGAGCAGAATAAAAAAGAAAAATTAACCAAGACTAGAAATGTTGGGGGCTGTGTAGAGATTAGAAGCCCAGAAATGTTTGTTGGCTTCATTTTTCAATACAAGAGATGGGGATCAGGTTCCTAATAGAGTACAACGTAACATTTATTTACACCACTCAGGTGATTGAAGGGGTGTTGCATTGTTATTAATTAATCTTAGCAAAATTAGTGTTAATTATAATTTATATGGTAAATAAGAAATAATAATATGTTTTTTTGAGCTTGATTGGTTCTTTACATGTCAAAAGAGATGTTTGATTTTTTTAAACTAGCATTGCATGTTACTTCTTACAGAACATTTTAGTCTTTAGAACTTTTTATCAGTTGATATTGTTTGCCATGTGCCTTGCAATTTTTAGAAACTATTAAATTTTTCACCATTATAATTAGTGATATCTGATTTCACAAAAATATTAACTGATAAGATCTGAAGCTATATTCAGAAATATATGGTGCAAGTTTCAAAGCTTGACTTCCTTTCTTCACATATTTTTGCAGGCAGTGACAAATCTTCTCAACAATGAAAGTATTTCCGATATTGACCGACTCCGCTTGGTGATGTTATATGCATTGCGCTATGAGAAGGAGAGCCCTGTTCAATTAATGCAGCTTTTTAATAAACTGGCTTCTCGATCTCCCAAGTACAAGCCTGGGGTAATTTATCTAACCAGAATCTTGCTAAATAGTTGGATTTGCCTCTAGCCTTGCTGTATAAACCTGGGGTATGAGTGATGTTTGGTGATGCATAAAATGATTGTCATAATAATAATGATGATGTTAGGAGCCATCGTTTTTCATAAGAAATGGTGCTTAATGCTGTCAGAGAGATATATTTTGGATCATTGATTGTTCTTCCCTTGTCAAACTCTTGCGTAAAATTACATAACCAGCCAAAAAAGTGTAATTTCATTTTCTCATTTCAAATTGAGGCTACTTTAACTTTATGGTTATTGTTTGACATTTATCCTTCTCTATGAAGCTCTGTCTTACCCTTATTAGATATCTTCTGTCCTTTGATGTGGCTAGATAAGAAAGCTAACTGGTTAGATATATTGATTATCATGAAATGGCAGCTAGTCCAATTCCTCCTGAAGCAAGCAGGCGTGGATAAGCGAACTGGGGATCTTTATGGGAACCGAGATCTTCTAAATATTGCTCGTAATATGGCTCGTGGTCTGAAGGTTTGAGGAAAAAACCTTCCTTTTTTTCTTTTCCTTTACGTTTCCTTTTTTTTATTTTTTAATCGTTATCTGTATGTAGATGCTTATAGTCTTATATCTTACTGTGATAGGGGGTTGAAAATGTATACACCCAGCATCAGCCTCTTCTTTTCCAAACTATGGAAAGCATAATCAAGGGACGGTTGAGAGATGTGGACTACCCATTTGTCGGGAATCACTTTCAACAGGGAAGGTTAGTATTCTAAATACGGAGAAATCATGTTTATTTTTATGTTGTACTTCCTGAATTGTTCCAAGGGCATGGCAGACAGCTCAAGTTGATGTGATGCTGTGGTTATTCTCCCATAAATAAAGCCAAACTGATCATGATGATTTCCTGGTAGCTATTCTGCCTGCATATTAGAAAATGGAAAATCACGCAATGATTTGCGTTCTATTTCAATGATTTATATTTATTCTTGGTGCAGGCCGCAAGATGTGGTTATTTTCATTGTTGGCGGAACAACATATGAGGAGTCACGCTCTGTTGCCCTTCAAAATGCCAGCAATTCTGGAATTCGTTTTATCCTTGGTGGTTCTGCGGTTCTCAGTTCTAAGAGGTGAGTCTGTTGTCATTGTGATTATATTCTCATCAATACTCAGAACAGGACACGATGCGTCCTTGAACTGATAGCAACCTTTTGGCTAATGTGGCCTCCTCCTTTATTTGGGAGTGTGGACAGGCTGAACGGAAGTTCACTGTTGCAGTGTTACCTATGCTCCATGCATGGTACAGGAGTTTCAGAATCATATTCTTAGTTGACCTTCATATATTTATGTCCTTGCCTCTGAAGGATAAAGGAATTATTTTAAGTCTATTTACTAAACAACGTGATATTTAGGTCAGGCTCATATCCAGTTGGCTTGAAAGCCTTTCTGAGGTGGGATTGTTCACTCGGCTTCTACTTGCCTATTGGTGGAAGCTTGGAATATTGTTGCATCCAAAAGAGACTTTGGTCCAATCAATTAGTAATTTAAGAGGAGTTTGTTCATTTTTTAGGATGAATATAGGGATTACTGTTGATAGGAACCACTGTATCCACACTTGATGAGATTTCCTTGTGCAGATTCCTGAAAGACCTAGAAGAAGCTCAGAGAGTAGCTAAATCCAGCACCAATGTCGTTTGAAGTGCAATTCCCATCTGTAGCTATCTGAGAGCCTATGTAAATAATTGCTTGCTGCTTTATTAGGTTTGTGTTATGATCTAGAAGTGGGAAAGTGGTCCAGTGGATTGCAGCAGCTGCATGACAGACATCACTGCTGTTACTCAATCGGGCAAGAGTTGAATTGCAATATTTCACTCCCTTGCATGATTCGAGTAGTGCAGAATTCCGAAAGCCCGTATATCTGTCAAATTCATGTTAAAGGATGGATCTCGCTTTTTCCCTGAACTCTTAACAGGACGACTTTGTCTCAGTTTTTGTTCTGTTTAGCCAGTCAACCAAATATCTGTTAGTGCTTGGATTACATTTTATCTGATTACATTTTCATACACGAATAGAGGAACCCAATGCTTTTCTATGTGGTACTTCTTACGTTGGTGTCAGTTTTTTTTTTAAAAAAAAAAAAAAGAAAGAAAAAAGAAGCTTCTTTGTTGCATACATCTAAGGGCTGCCTCTTCTCCAATTTTTTGAAACATTAGCATCGACCAGCAAAGTCGAGATAATTGACTTTCGATGAAACTTCGGCCTTATCTTGTGAAGGTGACTTTTTTTGTTTTGTGGAGAGTTTCAGCATTGCATGTAACCAAGGATGACTTTCTTATCCGTAAAATGATTGGGAAGTCATCATCTCACTACTTATGGGAAGTATGATGCAGGTAGGATTATCCATTCATTCATGGATGTGTGTATGTTCATATACATGAGAGTTGCTAACTTAACTTTTGAAGGTTTGAAATTGAATCCAACCTTCGATTTGTGATACGACAGGGACTACTGCACGATTATCGGAAACGAATAGATGTTCTTAGCCAATTTCGGTGGCTGTTGGTTATCATGGAAGCGGCTGTATTTGGCTAAGCAAAACCTACTTGGCGTAGGCTAGGTGGCTTCTGCAAATTAAATCACGAAACCCTAGGCGCAGTCTGATAATAGGTAACAACAGCTCCTCCAGTTGGTGCGAATGAATTGGCTCGCTCTACTTACCACTTCGCACCGCCATAAATGGCAACTTTAAACAACTCGTCACTTTCCACGGCTTTATGTCGGAATTTGTTTACTTCTTCCTGTCTTGGAGGATTGATTTTTTACCCCCACTTTGGTGATCTTGGCTGAGTAATGGCTGCGGTGGGTTGTGCCCTGACTACATTTATTAGGCTTCTGTAGCACAACTTAAAGATTCTGTACCAGTATCTCTTTGTAAACTAGAGTTGAGTGACGCCAGTATCCAACGTATCTGTATAGTAATCATTATTCCTGTCACGATCTCTTTGTATCTTTCTTATAGTAAATTCAATAGTTTCTTGGGTACAGTGTAATAATTTCCAGCATTCATATTACAGTTACGTTACATTACGGGGTTAATGTCACTTCAAATATTGTTTTGCAAGTGATAAGAAAAAAATACACCATTAAATTATACAAATCAATCTGAATTGTTCAATTTAAGAAAATAAAAGATTTTTTTGTTTATCGTCTGTTTAAAAAAGGTTTTTAAGGTTGCATTTAAATTACTACCAAAGATTATTATCAGAGTGGTAGTAAGAATATCTTTATCATGTCAAAAATATGATTATCGACTTTAAGATTTTTTTATATATAATATTGGACACGAATCGTTAATAAGTTTAAAAATTTTAATTTTTAAAATTAATTAAAAATTAAATGATTCAATACTAACCTTAACTTATAAATTATTAAATTTAATTTCGATTAATATAAAATTTGTTTTTATAATATCTCATTATCTATAAATGTCTAAAAAAACAGTGATATTTGAATTTAGAAAAATTAGGAGCGTGCTTAGAAATATATATATTTTTTTTTTGGGAGAAAGTTGAAAAGAAAATGGCAACTTTTCATGTTATTGTCTGCCTAACTAGAATTCAAGGACTAGCCAGCAAGAAGGCGACTTGAACAACGCATCGTCGAAATTTTCCTTTCTTTGGTTGGCCTAGGGTTAATGCTCAGCAATGCCTGGGCCTCCAATCCTAGTTTCAATTTTTTTTTTTTTTTCTAGACTTCCAAGCCCAGTTTCTTGTCTTTTTTTTTTTTTCAATTGATTTTTAAAATATTTTTCAATTTTGAATTTTATCATATTCATTTTTATGCATGCAATAACAAGAAGTTGTGTTTTTTTTTTCTAATATTATTTTTATGTGATTTTATGTGTATAAAAGTAATTGTTTAACTTTTTTTTAGTTTAAACTATTATAATTTTTGTAGAGAAAAAATATTATTAAAAAAATAATTATGCATAATATCATATAAAAATATTTTCATCCAGTGTTCCAATTTTAGATACAAAAGAAAAAATATAAATTATTGTATATATTTTTATTTGAAACGTGGAGAAAATATATCTGTTAAAAAATATTCAAATGATATGTATGAAAAATGTTTAAACCTGAAGCATAATCAGTTTCGTCCTCAAAATTTCGTCTCCTATTGTCTCATCTCCACCGGCTCATCCTTTGAGTCTTGCCTCTCTATCAAATCCTATCAAAACATTATTAATGAAATAAAAACAAAAATTATTATTGCTGTTGTTGTTATTGTCATTGTTACAATGGAACACATGTCCATCTTCTCGAAAAAGGTATAAGACTGGAGCCTCTCTTCTCTTTTGTGACAAATTTAATAAATAATTATAAAAAATGTTGGATGATTAACAATATAAAAGTGTGACTAAATAAATATTTTTGTTGTCGTGAGTTGTTAACACTATTACATGATTTGCTTGTTGTGGTACTATAATTATTAATTTTATTACATAGTTTCATTAATTTGTTATAAACATTTGTTTACTGGTAGTATGATTTCACTAAATACAATTGGTTACCTTTAATGACATGATTTGTTTTTTTGTTATTCAACCATAGAGACACATATTTTAGTATATGGTGTAATCTTTTAATTTTATTATATAGTCTGTAAATATTTATATGGTGTATTCATGTTTTAAAACACAATCAACACAAATAATTGATTGTATTTTGTTACATACTTGCTTCATGTTTTTACATAATTTAAGTTGAATATCGCATAATTATTTTATGACTACTATTTTCTACATAATTTATAATCTTCATAAAATTTATGTGTCGATGTTTAGTTTCTTGTTTGCTTATAAAAGGAATATGATGTAGTTATTCTAAAAAAACAATTAAAAGAAAACAAAGAAGTGTTGTAGCAATTTTTTTGTTCATTCGTTGTTTTGCCCCTTTCCCCCCCCCCCTTTTCTTCGGTTACATGGTCAGGAATTTTGTTTTCATTTTGATCCCTATTTTGTTAATTTATTCACTATTGATCCTTTTTTTTTACTTTTCTGGGGTTGCTTAGCCAAGAATTTTTTTTTTCATTTTGGTCCCATTTTTGTAATATTTTTTATTTTAATTATTAAAAATTTATTATATCATGGTTAGCCTCTTTTTCAGTTATTTAGCCAAGCTTTTAGGGATTTTTTTTTATTAGTCCCTGTTTTGTAATATTTTTTATTTTAATAATTAAAATTTTATTATATTTTATTTTTATCCCCATACCTTTTAGTGAAAATTTATGTTTTTTTTATTTTAGTTGTTAAAGTTTTATCATACTTGATTTTTATCCTTACTATACTAAAACAAAATAAAGTTTACTATCCTAAACTTTTTTTTTCTTTTAGTTAAACTTTTATTTCTATTATAATTCTGGTTTTATGATTTTTTCTTTGTCTTGGCCATTAAATTTAATATAATTTTATTTTTATTTTAATCTCTCGCTTTGTAATTATTTTTTATTTTGATCATTAAATTTTTATTATATTTGATTTTTTTTCCTATAAGGAACTATTTTTTACTTTTAGTAAAAAAATTTGTTATGTTTTTTATTTTTGTTTTCTAATCTTTCTATTATTTTCATCGTTAAATTTTTATTATATTTGATTATTATTCATTCTACACTTAAATTAAATACAGCTTTCACTATTCTAAGTTTTTTTTTTTAAGCTTTTAGTAAAAAAAATACTTTCTATTTTGGTTCTTATTTTGTTAATTTTTTTTAAAATTTTAGTTATTAAAATTCTATCATGTTTTAATTTTATTCCCAACTTATGCATAATGAATTTTTTTTAAGTCTTATTGTTTATAAGTTTTTTTTCCTCTTAGTGAAAGTTTTTTATTTATTTTGATCATTTTTTTATGATCTTTACTTTGATTTTAATCATTTAATTTTTATAGTGTGTAATTTTATCTCTATTTTTTTTTTTTTTTGGTCAAACTCTCGATTTGACAAAGCTTTTTTGTCCTTTTGTGTTGGGTGGTCTCTCTATCTCATTAACAAATTACACTTAAATAATATATAGTAAAAATTAATCATCTAAAATTTAAAAAACCGTAGCATTATTATTTTAATTATTAATTATTATACATATTTGAAATAAAGTATAAGTTTATATCAAATAATATCTAATTAGTAACATTATATTACTCAATTTTGTAGACTTTTCGTTTAACTAATTCGAGTAACAAAATATGAAATATATTTTTTTATTTTTTTCATGATTCTTTTAAATAATTATTTTTAAATTTTATATTTTTTATAAATAATACATAAAACTATTATACAGTTTATTCGGCAACAACGAACGAGATATATGCTAATTAAAAATAGACAGGATCGATCGATTGGACTGAAACTCCAACAATCCTAATACCGAACTTAATTTATGAACCCAATTCTACAGATTTGCATGCATCATGTGATGAAAAGTGGCAAGCTAGAAATCTTGCAAGTGGCAACTCTGGTTAGTGTTAAAAAAACAAACCCACCTGTACTATTAATAAATCGGATGACACGTGTCGTTGTTATGAATAACAATGATATTTAAAAGAAAAAGCGGCTTTGTAAAATTAGGTGATTTCAAGTTGAGCTGGAGAGAAAAAGCGGCACTCCAGTGCTGTAACTTGTACTCATATGATGAACTACGTGATCTCAACCTCGAGGGCTGCTGTATAATTTTAAATGTTTTCTTTTATGTTTAAGAGATTGGCTTGACAGTTAATAACCTTATTTTTTTCCTTAATTGTTTTTTAGATTTAAATCTTAGGATTAACATTTAAATTTTTTTATTAAATTTCTCTTAACATACTAAACTGATGCTAGGATTGTGCTCTTAGGATTATACAAATAAAGACTTAATCTTGATTAACTTATAAACTAATTCTATTATTCACTTAATGTCAAAACAAATATATTTATTTGGTTATTTGGATCTTAAACTATTAATTTTTGAACAAATATTATTCCTCTCTGTTATTTACAACAATTAAAGTGTTGATCCTTCTTTTAAGAATTGCTTTTTTTTAATAATAGCTAATTTTAAGAAAACTTTAAATGACGTATACTATGATTGTGCTCTTAAGACTCGTATAAAGAAAAACTTAATCTTGATTATGCTCATAAGATTACAGGAAGAAAGATTTAATCTTGATTAACTTGTAAACTAATTCGATTATTATCTTAGTGTCAAAAAAAAAAAAAAATTTGTACCAGATTGATACTAGGATTGTGCTCTTAAGATTATATAAAGAAAGACTGATATTGATTAACTTGTAAACTAATTCGACCATTCTCTTGGTGTCCAAAAGAAAAAAATGTTTCTTTGGTTATTTGAATCTTAAACTATTAATTTTTGAATAAATATTATTACTCTTTGTTATTTATAACAATTAAAGTGTTGATTTTTTTAAGATTTTTTTTTTTTTTTTTTGTAATAACAACTAGTTTTAAGAAAGCTTTAAATGATTTTGTTGTTTATGGATTTTACTTTTGTTGTTAGATAATTAATGATGTGTGATGAATCTTTTTAGTAAAAATAAAATAAAATTGAATTACTAATTTTTTTGAGAATTAAAATTAATTTTGGAAAAAATAGTTAATAATAATTAGCTTTTAAGATAGCTTGCATTATTTTTTTAATGGATCATACTTTTACTATTAGATAATTAATGATGTGCAATGAATCCATTTAGTTAAAAAAAAATTGAATTATTTTTTTAAATTAATTTTTATTATAAAAAAATAAATCTGAAATGTTTTAAAAGTATGATTTGAGGTATTTAAGTTAATGGTCGATACTTTGACTATAAATAATAATAGAATATAATAAAATTTGTTAAAAATTAATAATTTGGGATTCAAACAATTTAAATTAATAATATAAATCTTATTTGGCTATAATTTCAATAGTTTGGAGGTAAATTCTGTTATTAAATCAATATTTTGACCTTTACAAATAACTGAAGAAAAATAATATTTATCAAAAAAATAATAATTTGATATTCAAACACTTAAATTGATGATATAGGTCAGTTTGAAGGTAATTTTTATCATTAAATTATTAATTTTTTATTTGTAATCTTGTCTTATAAAACCTAGATGGCTGTCTGACGGCGGAATCTGTCACTAGAAAAATGTAAGATTTTCACTTATTAATTTTAAAACCAGTCACTTACCCCTTGTTTGGATAATTCCTCTTGGGAGGGCATAGTGTACGACATGGAAAAACTGGCCCATAACCAAAGTCAAAGCATCCAAATGGTTTATCTCTTTAGCCGCATCAATCTCCCTTATTCTTCCACACCCAGAATTCCCAACACAAATTTTTTGCTTCTCCCAACAATTAATGTCAATTTTTTTTTTTTGTTAATAATTGTTCTGGGTGAGGACGAATTTTGGGCTGTTGTTGGAGGTTTGGGGCTGACAGCGGGTTCAAGCGGGGCTGTGAGAGAGACGACAGTGTCAGTGGTTAGCGCCCGTAGGTGTGACGACTGGTGCATGTTCGGGTGAAGGAGAAGAAGGAAACGGGTCGCGCTCGCTGATTCAAGTGGAGCGGTTTTTGGTTGGATGGCCCTCGACGACAACGAGAGAAGGCTGCAGTGGCGACTGGTTGTGAGAGAGAAGCTGGGTTTGATTGATTTTCTGGGTCTTTTAGGAGATCATAGGTACAACCTTGCAAAGAATGCAAGAGAAGGATCTCCCAGACGAATAACTAACAAATCAGAAGAGAAAGACAATTTTGAGAGGACACATGCAGTTCCTTTTACACCAAGTTTAGTGAAGATTCTGACTTTGTGGATGGAATTGAGAAATGGAGAGGGACGGATGAGGCAAATGAGATAAGGACAAAAACAACAATATAAATATTTCATAGGTTTCCCTGTCAATGTTGCTGTGATTTTCCTCTGGTTTCCTCCCAATTTTGGGAGGAAAATGGGTCCCATCAAAAAACTATTTATTTAATAATTTTTTTTCTCTCCACTGATTTCCTCTCAAACCAAACGAAGGAAATGGTTTCTTTCCTTCCTATTTTCTTTCCTCTCCTCCGCTTTCCTCTCTATCCAAACAGAGGGTTAGTAATTCGGGTACTTATTTTATCTGACGCTGCATACGCGATCTGCTGTATGAAGGGTCCCTCGAGTCTCATCATGATCCGTTAATCAAAGTACAAATTCTCACGTGAACTTGGTTTGTTGAATCAGAAGTATAGGGGTTACTTTTCCCATCAACAAGTGCTCAGATGTGACCGGCCATGGAACAAACGCTCAACTATTCCTTGTGTCTATCGGTTTTGTAGGGTTTGGTGTGCAGATTCAAACTAAATAATCTAATCTAATTTTGTTATTTAAAATAAAAATAAAAAACAATGTAAACAATACCACTATATTTTGATTTATCACAATGATCTGTTGCAACGATATATATATATAAAACTAAAGATATTTGGATACAAAAAATTATCTATAATAAAAAATTAATTGAAAAAATAAATTAAAAATTTAAACAATATTAAAAAATATAATATAGAAGTAAAAGCAGATTGAAAATTCAAACTATCGTATAAAAACAATCTACTTATATTATCATTATTATTATTTTTTATCTCATGAGAAAACAGCATTGTAATGCAACAACACTATGTTTAGGCACCTTTCATTAATACATTTGATTTCTAACCGTCTACAAAACAATCTTAAAATACCACAGCCACTTTTGGATTCTTAAAAATGAACTGTTGCAACAGTTATTTCTACTAATTCATTAAATCTTTTAACCGTAAAGGTAACTTGAAATGTAATAATCTTTTAATCTACTATCTACCATCTAGTATCTACTGTTTATGTTTGGATTTGTCATATCTCGAGGTTATGATTTGAAAAAACAGGATAAATGCAGGCAACCAAATGCCAATTAAACGTTGCAATTACCATTTGCCACATTGAAAATGCTTCTCCTCCATGTATTGAAGGCAATGGAGAATATTTAGAACTGATGAGAAAAAGAAGTAGAAAAGAAAATTGATTGAGCTTTGGGGGGCACCTTGCTTTCTCCCTTAATTTATATGCTTAGCTGACACGGAACTTATGAAATTGGAGGATATACAGATGCTTGTAATTCCTCGGATATCAAATAAAATTGCCTATCTTGTATTAATTTTTTTAAAAAAACACTTGACTACACGAGCTCTGGTGAACATTTCTTGTACCAAATAAGCTGCAACGATAATCTTTTTTTGTTGACTCCATTTTCATTGGACACACTCTATAAACTATACAGTACGTATACTATGCCGTAAAGAAGCTGAAAAATGATCTAGAAATTAAACAAGATTAGCCTCCTAATTTAAAAAGCGGCCCAATCGATCACACAGTCTGCCTACGTTATTCTTCCGTTGTCATTCTTATCAACACGAATTACAGACTTTATTATAGTTTTTAGTATAGTTCCTCCTACCTAATAATTCCCTCGAGAATATCTGATCTCCCTCATCAATATTTTATGGCTTCAAAACTTCACTCTGGACTAAGTCTCGAGATGAGTCATCATATTCTAGTTACGTGTCATTTTTCGTTGGTTATCTATAGAGTAATGGGCACAAATACTAAATACGACATTAAATTGGTTTTAAAGAAGACAGCTTGTGACAGAGACATAAAAGTAAGATCAAAAGATCAGGATCCGCCTCAAGAAAACTCACCCAAAATACATTTATAGCAAATGCAGATCATCACATGGGTAACAAACTCTAAAACTTTTAGTTAATTTTTGCTAGCTACAGTTCATGATCTCCGTCTAAAGAAATTGGGAAAGCTCGCAGAATCAGATAACGATAGGCCTCTGATCGTAATATATATGATTTGCAGACACGTACAAAATGCAGGACTGAGGTCTGCCTCAAAAACTGACCCAAAATTTAATTTTGAAAAATATTCGATCAAAAGATAAAAAACTCCAAACTAACATGTAGTAGATAGAGGTTCATACTTTATACCTATGTAGTAACAAAATTGGCTTGTACTTGACTAAAAACCCACCATGCACCTGTATTTCTTTCCTCCTATATAGGCTTTCATGATTTGCTAGAAGTTATTGCTCCTCTGCTAAAAGATGGAGGGACAACACGTGGTGCTGTTTTTCTCTTCGCTTGCATCCATGCTCAGTTCAGGGTTCGGCACGATTGAGACTTTTTTGCAGTTATTCGAGAGCCATTTTGACTGCATGTACTTAGCTTTCCTCCATGGAGGAACATGGAGACCCTTTTCTTTGAGCGATTCTTTGGCAGCTGAGCACAAAAGAGAGATCACTTTGTCAAGCCTCTCTTCAGTGCCGACAAAGACTGAAGGAAGCGTGTTAATAAGCTCTTTGTATGTTTGTGTCGGCCTTGCCAACTCAAACTGAGACCTAAAATCCATATCCACTATCAGCCTTGTTGCTTTGTTGCTAATGTTTTTGTCCATGATCATCACATCTATGTACTCATAATCACCTGTGAAATGGAAAACTGAAACCCCAAACAGATTTTTAAGAAGAAAACATGATATTCAGTACTGATCATATTGTGCAGTTATTGCTCTTTAAATTTGATTAAAAAGCAAAGAGATGTACCTTTGTGGCCAAAAGCGGAAACCCAAGAGGTTTTACAAAGAGAAGCTTCAAAACCATCCATTTGCAATCTCTTGACCACCCATTTTTTGAGACTACTGGGTTCTCCCATACCTCTAACATACATCAAGGCCTTGTCAAGAACCTGAGTCTCAATGTCTTTTGCCTCCAAAAGAATATCCTAAACAAAAAGCAAAGCATGTACCAAGTAGCTAAAATCAGACATCAAGGATTTTTTTTCTTTTTCTTTTTTGGATTAAAGACATCAAGGATTTTAAACCAGCAAAACACAAATGTAATGATTATGCAAATAACAGATAATGAAGTGATTTAAAGAAAACCTGCAAACTGGATTGAGATTTTTTGGGGCGAAGCTTTGAAGTTCTCACTGAAAGGGGTGCAATTGATTGATCTGATTCCCAGTAGTCTCTGACCATTTGCGCAAGCTCTTCCTCTCCAAGGCTATCCATCATGATCCCTTACAAATTCTATGTTTCTTTTCAGGAGGATTTATGTGAGTTTTGTGTTAATAAAAGTCTTGAAGAAGTCAACTATTGTTTAAAGTTTGTGTCACAAGCTTCTGTGGATATTGTAGACTACTTTGTATTATTTCATTTCATTTCACGCAAAGCGTATAAAGTAATAAATGATGTCACTGTGAAAAGAAAGGCACCTGTTGTCCTCTTTTTATCACATACATCATATGCATATCCCAGACCAAATAGTCATATGTGAATATAATGCCATCGGATCCACACATGGTCATGCTTTAACTTCCCATGATTCAAGCTCTCTCCACGTCGCCGTGGCCTCAAGTAGATATTGGTCTTCCTGCCATTCCGTTGGTTCTCCAATAGATTGTGCACTCCCATTGGCTTGCCGAAGCTGAAAAGAAATGTGTTTTTTTAATGGGAGTAAAGATGGGAATGGTGTCATGATGAATAATTAATGAAGAGCCAAAAAAACACACTTCTTTTTTCTTCTTCACTCCCAAGTAGTCTCTCTGACCATTAATTACCACCTCAGCGTCAAAATTACTAGCGCCTTGCCAAAAATAATGGCTTGCAACCTGGGCTAAAATATGAAGGTTAGATTATTATGAAACCATAGTCATCAATCAACCCAAAAATCCATGCAAGGTACGGGGCAAAAGGCTAGTTTGTATACAAAATTGATGAAAACAGTTCCAAACTTTTAACTAATGAAAATCTTCTAATTGATAAAATAAGGAAATAAAAATATTCCAATTATAAAAATGGACAGTGAATACATGGATTTGAAATTAGTCATGGAATTATCTGTCATTTTTGGACAATGGATTGATTTGAAATTAGTCATTGAATTATCTGTCATTTTTGGACAGTGAATGCATTGATTTGAAATTAGTCATTGAATTACCTGTCGTTTTTATCGTCTGGAATGGGCCAAACTGGCCCAATTTCCAAACCGGTTACACCGTCCAAGTTTTGCACTGGCAGATGGATCTCAACAACCGAAACCTACCGGTCCATTAGCTGACGTGGACATGCAATGTAATTAACCCACGACCACGTTCACATGCTTACGTGGAAAAATAAAGAATCGTCGGAATAAAACCACGGCTCCTAACAAACACGAGCATCACAGGCACATCATCATCACCACAAGGAACAAAAAGACAAAACCCTAACTAACCTTTGAAGAGAGGGACCAGATCTGACATTAAAACAATGGTTCAGATCTGCCTGTGATATGAAAACGTGTATGTTACGGTAATGGTAGCCTCTTTGAATCCTAGAAGGAAACAAAGTTGCCAACCGCCTAAGCAAAAGTCAGTTTACTTCATTGACCACACAACAACAACAACACAAAAAATCCCATAAAAAGAAAAAATTTCGTCTCTCACGAAAATTCTATACATTTTCCGAGACTTTTCTGGGAAAATCTCGACAATCAGGTTTGGAACCCTAATTCTTAATCACACGCTAAGTGAGCTCTCTCTTATCTAACCGAACTTTGGGATTCGTTCTTGATTTTTGTGACTGCCCACGTAAGTTTGTTTGATTAACGTGCGTGTATTCTAGGGTTTTGGTTCTTTTTTTCGATTCTCTAATGATATTGAGGCTTCAATATATTTTGTGATTCAAGAACAAGCCAATTAGAAACCTAGTTCCAGCTCATTTTTCTTGAACAATATGTTTTTCTTTTTCATTTTCTTTATATTTGAGTTTTTTTTTGGTTAAAAGTAATTAGTATTAAATAATGGTTTTATAGGCTAATTAAGAAGTTAAATTTGATGCACTTAAGCCATCGCACTTGATAATCTCACGAAAGCCTCGTGATTATAGATAATGTGGGTCTCTGGTGCTTTGTTTTTCGAGTTTAACTATTTTAGTGATATTTGATGTGATAATTCTTGGTGATTTTTGCGGGTTGTTGTTGCAGGGACTCTTTCTGATATAATGGTATGTGCGGCTTAGGTTGCGATCAACATTCGCAAGGAATTGTGGTAAAAAAGAAGTGGGTTTTTGTTCTTCCAGTACCGTAACTATCTGCAGAGTGGTAGATGTATCACAGTTGATGGTTAGAGAGCATTTAGCAGCAGTTGCTTGAGTGACATAAAGCCTTCAATCACGTAGTATTTTGCCTTTGGTTGAGCTATATATACACGGGCTTGTTAAGTAGCATCTGTTGTATGGTTCTGCCCCATGGAATGGAGAGGGGCCTTTTGTTCTTTGTTTTTGCTTTTCAAGTTGGTCGAGTCCACAAGCCGATCAGGGAAGGTTTGGGCATTAAATCTGGGAGCTGAGTCTGTTGTAAATGTCAGCTGGCCAATCTTCAGTGCGAGCATATTTGTGCTTCTTGCACTTGTCCTCTCAATGTACCTTATCTTTGAGCACTTAGCTGCATATAATCAGCCAGAGGTTTGTTCTCATATTTCTTCTTAAGTTATTTTTTTTTCTCGCTTTGTGCTTTCATCACACTCTTGTTAGTTGATTGTTCGCTTGTCAATTTGGCCAGGCTAGTAAAATTGATAGCCATGAGTTTGATTATTTAATTTCAGGAGCAGAAGTTTCTTATTGGGCTCATCCTCATGGTTCCTGTTTATTCTCTAGAATCGGTAAGAAAGAAGCAACCTAAATTGTCTTCTTCTTCAATTTACAAATGGTAACTTGAATGCTTGAATGTCATGTATTTGCTTGTACCCCCTATTTATTTACTGAAAATCTTATAATTTGGAAGTTGTTCCTCTTGTAGTATTGGACATAACTGGACAAAGTTTTAAGAAGTGATAGCCTACTTTTCCAGCATATCCTCAAAACTATTGGACGAATGAAGTATCCTAAACTTTGGTTTGCCTGCACTTTATCCAAAATTCAAACCATAGAGTTGATGCACCTTATCATAATGGGAAGGATATGATATCATCACTTTACACATTCTCTAAAAGAGCAGTCAGACCATTTAGCATAAACAAGCATCATTAATTCATTTTAACTAAACATTGGGGCTGCTAAATGCTGCTTTACTTGATCTCTATGAGTATCACCTATCAATTGTTCCACTTTGAAATGTCAAATCCTATGAGCATGAGTTGACTAGCATTGGTTTGGTGTAAAAAATTATCACCTTGAATGGGCATCTGTTAGCTAGCAATCACTCAAAACACAAAGCACTCATGTCATGATTGTTTGTTAATTTATGTTATAGGTGAAAGATCTGTGAAGATCTGTGAACTCTTTATCTTTAATGTTTTCCTGGGCAGTTCTTATCTTTGTTGGATTCCAGTGCTGCATTCAACTGCGAAGCAATTCGGGACTGTTATGAAGCTTTTGCCTTGTATTGCTTTGAGAGATACCTGATAGCCTGCTTAGGTATTGCAATTTTGGATTTTATCTCATTCCTCGAAATCCATGATAGCCTTGAATCATGATAAATTTTTGCACTCCCTTATTTTATCTTGATAAGATTTTGCTGCTTTTAGGTGGGGAAGAGAATACAATTGAATTAATGGAAAGTCAGACCCTAATCACTTCCAGCTCGCCTCTTTTGGAGGAGACATGTGCTTATGGAGTTGTAGAGCATCCTTTTCCTTTAAATTGCTTTTTGAGGGACTGGAATCTTGGTGCTGATTTCTATTATGCTGTGAAGATTGGCATTGTTCAATATGTAGGTTCTTGTTTGTCTAGTTAAAACTTTCCCTCATTATGACAACTGCAACCTTGAGGCACTCACTAAAACATTTACTGTGCAGATGATACTGAAGTTGATCTGTGCACTTTTAGCAATGATTCTTCAAGCGTTTGGGGTTTATGGAGAAGGGAAATTTGAATGGAAATATGGGTAAGAGACCTTATTCATTCAAGCTTACATTAATGATGTTCTGTTTTATCTTATATCTAACCACAAATACCATGTACCTACATGGAACGGTCATAAACAGTTCTTTATTAATACTAATAAAATTTTTGTTGTGTTTTAATTGGGAAGTGTACGTTCATTGTGTCTCTGCTAATCTGTAACATGATTCATTAGGAAAAAAAACTAATATAGTTCATTCTCTTGATCTACTTGTGATCTGAGTGAGATTTTTTTTTTTTTTGCAGGTATCCGTACTTGGCAGTCATTCTTAATTTCAGTCAGACCTGGGCCCTATATTGCCTTGTACAGTTCTATTCTGTTATCAAGGAGAAGTTGGCCCCAATAAAACCACTGGCCAAGTTTCTGACATTCAAGTCAATTGTTTTCCTCACATGGTGGCAAGGTGTTGCTGTTGCATTTCTTTTCTCCATGGGAGCCTTCAAAGGGGCTTTAGCCCAAGAGCTGAAAACACGTATACAAGACTACATTATCTGTATAGAGGTGTGACTGATAATGCATTTATTACCAATAATCTATAACATGGATGCATTCTCTAATATGCCTAATTAGGTATATTAGAGATGTTGATAAACAAGAACTTGATTAGGAAATGACATTAAAGTAGATATTAATTTAGCATTAGTCCTTTTGAATTCATTAGTGTTGTGTCTTCTACCATATAACCATGTCTAACTGCATGCAAGGGTTGACAAGTTTGTTATGCTGATCAATATGACAGAGTCCACAACTGCAAGTGATAAGTGTCTTTTTGGGGCACTCTCACCGTGTGAATATTTTGCAGGTGGAATGAGAAACCCTAATTCATTGTTGAAAGTTATTATTTGCCTTTATGTGAAGCTGAATGACTGAAGTACCTCATCAGAGCCTGTTGTTACACTATTAGAGGCTGAGTACCCTAACAAGCCTTTTATGTGGGAGGACAAAGTAGTGATGCATTCTTAATATATTGCTGTCTTCATGCCCCATGCTATTTTCTCTTTGAAATATCTTGATATTGTCCACTCCGTTTCTTCAAGTTCATGGGATGGTTCTTGTTTTCTAATATCAAATTTATGATACAGATGGGTATTGCAGCCATTGTGCATCTTTATGTCTTCCCTGCTGTACCCTACAAGCGTGGAGAGAGATGTGTTCGTAATGTGGCTGTTATGACTGACTATGCCTCTCTAGGAACACCTCCAGATCCAGAAGAGGTTCAGGATTGTGAGAGGTCGACTAGGGTACGTTTTGGTCGGCATGATGAGAGAGAAAAGCGGTTGAATTTCCCCCAGAGTGTTCGTGATGTGGTCCTTGGAAGCAGTGAGATTGTGAGATAATTTGCTTTTTCTGAAATGATTTGAATTCATTGCTGTCACTAAACCTTTGACGCCTTTTTAGTCACTGCTATCGGTTTCCTTGTTGTACTACCATTCTATCTTCCTAAGCTGCTGACTCTTTACATATTTTCTTTCAGATTGTTGACGACATGAAGTATACAGTTTCTCATGTTGTGGAACCGGTTGAAAGGGGAATTGCAAAAATTAATAAAACTTTTCATAACATTTCTGAAAACGTGAAACGCCACGAGGAACGAAGGAGGAGTTCTAAGGATGACAATTATCTTGTTCCCCTGAATACATGGACAAGGGAATTTTCTGAAGCTCATGATAACCTTCTTGAAGGGAGTGTTAGTGACAGTGGTTTGTCTAATGGAAAGAGACCGCCACATCAACCTAAAGCCTCATCATTTAGATCAAGAACAGGCAGATAATATTATAAGCTATGCTTCACAGAGTAATTTTCAAATGGCATTCTGAGTTCATTGGGGCTTTTTTAACAGCGTCATTATTCTTGGTAAGTTTGTCAAAATCCTAAATTTATTGGCCCATTTTCCCATATATAAAGCAATATTTTGATGATGCTTTATTTCTCGGGCAAATAACTTAGTATGCCAAACCTGGGGATTTTGTAACTCTCAAAATGTACAGAGAACATTCTATAGGTACTACTACCATTAATAGAAACTCGTTAATAGAAACTCGTTCAAGTTTTTGCTGCAGAGCCCCAAAATGTGCAAAGCTTTGGATTTCTGAAAATTTCAATGTGATGATGTGTGGTTATTCACTAGTATGCGATTACATGTTTAGATATCACTGATTCAAGTAACGGATTGGTAGTGCTTGTCTACAGATTTTCTTGGTGCTGTCACTGATAAATGATAGCATGTTATATATCCTTTTTTGATGATTTTGCTTTCTTTGCAAATATACAGTTAACAAGACAGAATCATGTTAGGTAGATATAATGCCTCGTATCTCTTACGCAGCAGTTATTTTTGGCCAACTTGCTTTCTGTGAAATGCATCTGCTCAGTTTCCCGAAGCTTTTACGCAGTTTTAGATAATATTGCCCGAAAGTATAACACCTCCTTTTTTTTTTTTTTTTTGGGGTGCAATGGCAGTGGTGGCGAAGGCAGTCTTTAGCTCTTGCTTAATTTTCGAAGCAGACATATGCACTTAAATTGCTTAGCCTTCATTTTCTTATTGATTTAGTGATTGATTAAGCTTATATGTAGGGATGATCATAGGTGTATATCCGATCCATTAATTCAATTTTTTTTTCATATCCATAAAAAGAACACTATCTATTATCCATTTAGAAATCATTGTATAAATCTTTAATCGGTTTGTACTTAGCTCATATTAGTTTATCTATCAATTTAGTAACCCATTTAATATCCATTAAATATAATTTGTTAAAATATTTCATTTAAGTTCTAATTTTCAAGAATTTTTTTTGGTCCTTAAATTTATTGTTTTGTATTTTAGTGATTTATTTATATTTTTTATTGTCCTTAAAAGTTTTTGAAAAAAATATTTTGGTTTTTAATTTTTAAAGTTTAAGAAAAAATCAAAAAAAATTAATAGGTATTAATAGGATAAAAAGTGGATATATATATTTTGAAACGATATCAATGTATATGTATTTTCTTATTTTAATTAGATATTTTTAATGAATATTTATTGGTTTGGATAGAATGGATTGTCATCTCTGTTATATACACTTTGAGCTTGATGCAATAGCCAAACTTTTTTAAGAAGCAAATATCTCAAGCCAGTGTTGAATCTGCCTTTTAGTGCAATGAAGAATCCTGCATGGAAACACCAAGAAACTTCGGTCAAATTCATATATATTTATAATCTTTGAAAATTTTGATTTGACTACATGAATTATTTGTTGGCAAATAATACGTTTCCCTTGTCATTTGTTCTATGTTGATTGTATGGGACATCACCACGTGAGGGTTTGAAACCATGATACTAAAATGAAAATCAAGAATCTTCTAAACAAGAAGAGGATGATAGTGAAGGTGAAGACAGTGAAGAAAAAGACTCGCGCGCTTTGTAAATTAAGTAGTTTCTATACTGATGGTTCCTGTTAATGACCCTGATATTTTTCATTGCATAATCTGTTGCAATCCCGTAATTATCCGTGTTTTTTAGTAAGCCACATATTTACTAAAAAATAAATTTATGAGAGTCAAATTAATTTTTTTCAAATATAGGTTTATATGAATTTGGCTGAAAGCCATGGTATTTCTATATAATTTAGCCCTAAAGTAATTTAGGCAAAAAAAAAAAAGGCATTCCTTTTTGCTTAGTTGCTTGTTGGGCTCTTAGGTCTCAACCCATGAGCCATGGGAATCGACGACCCATAAAGAAAAGAAAATGGCAAATAACAAAATAAGGAGGACAAGAATGTCATTAGAAGCAATCAGAGGTGGACTAGGGTTTTATGCTTTTACATGGTAGTCACTATATATACAAAGGTTAGCAAAGATCTCTCGGTGGGAGACGTGGGTTCTCCTTTGTATCTGTTAAGTTAACACGCAGCCTCCATCCAAAGTTCTCTCTCAAATTTCTTTCCTGGCATTGTGTGTTAAGAGTTTTTTAATAAACGAAGCTATTTGTTCAGTTATTAGGCAGTCTACTTCCATCTGAAGCTCTCTCTCTCTCTCTCTCTCTCTCTCTAATTTCTTATGTTTCGATTGTCTGAAAAAAAGAAGGAAGGGGCAGTGATGAGGATTTTGAGAAAGTCATGCACCACTCTGATGTTATCTGTGCTGATAAATCTCTCATACCCATATATTTCTGAGCCCTCTTCTCTCTCTTATAATCTAATATGTTTTGGTATTTTGATTTCAATAATTGTGTATCTTTTACTGAAATGTAGTAGTAGTAGTAACTTCTAGTAAAATAGAAGGAGAATTAAGGAACCAGGTGATGGGGGTCTTCTGACCTAGAACCATGATGCGGACAGTACAGCAACTTTTGTTGTTTCTGGTGATAACACTCGGTTTCTGATGGTTCCTTTTTTCTCCTTTAGCTATCTTAGTAATGGTTTTTTTTTTTAATGATACTATTTCTTAATTTTTATTGATATTTTTTTTTCCATAAGGTGAGAGTATAACTGATTTTTCCGACATAATAATAATATGTAATATATTTTAACTGATTTTATGGTGATCTCCAGAGATCAATAAAAAAAGCGCGTAATTATTTATTGTACGTTTCGATGACCGAAAATGTGTGTTCTCCTATCAAATGACTATGCGGACTCCTATGTCCTCTCTGTGTCTAGCCTTTTTGTATATCCTCGCAAGATGATATCTTTAAAGCCTTGCTGCAATTGCAAATATATATCGTAGAGGGATAGCAAACCACGGTTACATACGATGGTTTTTTTCTTTTCAATTTTAAATTATTTGAACTTAAAATAAATAAATAAACAAAATTATGTTTTTATTCGTGAAATGGTATTGATAATGTATTGGTTATTCATAAATCATTTTATAAAAATTAGTTACATTAACAAGAAAAACATAACGGAATGATTAATTTACATTAACCAAATCAACAAGAAAAACATAACAGAGTGATCAATTTACGTTAACTTCTAATAATATAACCAAATTATAGGATTATATGAAATACAGATACTGCGACGATAATGATGCACCCTACGGATACCAAAAAAAAAAAAAAAGAGAGAGCTGTGCTTCATTCGCTCTCCTATACTTGATTTGACAGCGGGAAGAAGTAGGAGTAGGTAATAAGGCAGTTTCCTATATGGACATAAGATGTTTTGCCAAGCTCAAGAACGTTTTAGCTACATCTACAGCCACACAAAAGAGAGAAGATATTCAACACTCAAAGCATATATTTAACATTGAAAAACCATAAAACTACAATATTAATTCAACCCTGTAATTATATTTTTATTGCTAAATAAATTTATTAGTGATTTATGAGTTATATTATTTGACTTTCATGTTTGATGCTATTTTGTAGTTAATTGGAATTTTGAAATGATATTTCTTATTTTGAAATGATTTTCCAAATTCTATTAATAATTTTTGAGTTATACTATTTGACCTGGATAATTGATGCTATGTTGTAATTTATTGGAATTTTGAATGATATTTCTTATTTTTTTAAAAAATAAAACAATGAATATATAGAAGATCTAATCCTCGACGAAAAAAAAGTTCAAAAAACCAAGAATCGTAACATTATTTTTTCTATCAAAAAATAATTGGTTTTTCGCATACTCAGAAACCAAAAATTTCGGTTCCAAAATTAAAAAAGGTGAATAATACTTTGATTCATATCTAATTTTATTTTTTGTGAATTCAATTAACACAAAACCGAACTGAATCTATCAAAACTAAAACCGAATTAATAACCAAATGTTCATCCCTTAGAAACCACCAGTAAGTTATTCATCATGTGGACTGTTTAGTGCATCTCACGGCAAATATTCCACCATGGTCTCTTGAATGATTGAATTTATAGATAAAATAATAATAATAATAAAAAAAAAATCTTGACTTTTCTCTGTTATGACAATGATTCAGGAATTGCGTTTAGGTACTCCTGGCCAAGATAAGGTCCCTTCTTTACCACGAAAATTCAGATTAATAAACAGCTGATATTCATCACCGAGAATTAATATGACAACTTCAGGCGTTGGAGAAGACAAATACCGTACTTACTTGTATGGAGAAGAAGAGAAGAACACCAAATGGAGGTTTGGTTCCCCTCCAAACTATGATGCTGTCAACAAACTCTTTGAAGAAGGCAGGACTAAGGTATTAAAACTGCATGTGTTTGTGTGTGTGTGTGACTGATCATAGCAATTATGCCCGCTGTTAGTTTCTAATCTGTTAACCTGCTTATGTAAGGTTTGGCCATCTGGATCACTTGAAGAAAAAGTGCAGAACCTTGTAAAGACATGGGAAATGGAGATGTTCCACAAGACATGCTTTGATGATTATAAATCAGTTGATCCAAAGAAGTATACTTTTAACCTAAACGGTAATAGAACTTAGAAGTCTTCTTTCCTTGCTGCAAAATTGCAATATATTAGGAACTCAAGCTTATACCTTTTACGTCCATAATTTAATTTTTTTTAAGCGATGCATCTAAATTTGTTTACAATATGAATTCAGGAAGGAAACCTGTTACTTTGGAAGAAAAGCGCAAACTTGGCGGAGGCTACAACAACTTTCTGCAGACCAGCTTACCGGAGAAGTTCCGGGTTTATAACCCTGCAGAGGAAACTGTGGATTCAGCTCATGTGGCTTTTACAACAGCATTCCCTCGCGGGTTTGCTTTGGAGGTTCTCCAAGTTTATTCAGGGCCACCAGCGATTGTGTACAAGTTCAGGCACTGGGGTTATATGGAGGGTCCTTTCAAGGGCCATGCTGCAACTGGGGAATTAGTAGAACTTTATGGAATGTCTATTTTTGAGGTATATCTGATTGTCTCCTCTGACCGTATTCTTTATTCATTTTCTGGTGTTTCTATGTGAAACTAGTCTGTTTTTCTGGCAAACCAGGTGGATGAACATATGAAGGTTGTGAAGGTAGAGTTCTTTATGGACCGCGGAGAATTGCTTGGAGGTCTTATGAAAGGCTCTAGCTTGGATGGTTCAACTGCAGAGGCAGCAGCTTCAACCTGCCCTTTCTTCAGGGGCACAGGGTAGCGAAAAGATAGCAATTGGGATAAAAATGGATGAATCATATGGTTCCCCAGTTAGGGCACTCTAGTTTCCTTTATAATATAAGGAAAAGACACCTTATGAGATGTCACTCCCTTTTCTGTTTGTAATAAATCTTCTGCAGCGTCAATGCGGGATAAGCCGTTCTATCAAATATGCATAATGGATAATTAAATTTCACTTCTCAGAAAAGTAAACAGTTTTACTTTTATCGAATAGATTAAAAAAGAGTATTCAATCAACCAATCCAAAGCACGAAGACCATGCTTTATTTTCGATTGAATCCAGTGTTCAATCTGATATCTGTAACAAATAACCTCAGGGATACACATTTAAAGTTCACTCCTCATTAATCCTGGCATTTCTCTCAAGTACAGGAAACTGCTAAGCTCCAAAGGGTTACTTATTTCCTTTCCAAATAATTAATTTATTTTCAATTAGCATTGCAATTTCTGTTCAAGGACAGGCTACTTACAGAGGCCACCATGTTAATTACAAGAGGAACCGTTGTCTTCCATATGCTAATTAAAGCACTTCCTCATAACATTACATTTATCTGCTTTAATCTATGGATGCAATTAAAGTAACGACTACCTGCATGAACCCATGTTTTCTGAATCTTTTGTTTGAAATTCTTCTAAGCTGTTACACCCTGCCCATGCTTAATAAGCAGGTTGACAGAAGTTTCTCCATGCCCATCACTTCCATTCTGTGACACACTAATTTATATATGGTATTAATATGGCAAATGGAAATAGCTGCAATTGTAATTTGCTAGGACAATCGCTGAAGATTCAGCCACCTCCAAGATTAAGTACAAAGGAAGCAAAGTAAATCAGAATAGATTTGAAAGTTTCAAAATCTAGCATGGAAAATGTGTATTCTACAAGAAGTTTGGATGATTGGCTTAGAGTAAACTTCTTGTATGAACCTGCCAATTTAGCTACTTAAATAAATAGATTCTTATAATTATTACATTACATATCTGGGAATTACTTAATGCAAATACATTCAGATGATGAACTTAATTAGGCTTGAACTTACACACAAGTACTATATGTTAAAAACGACTTGTGTTATCTATCAAGCTTCACTCGCTCTTCTCTACTTGATTTGACAGCTTGAAGAACTTAAATGGAAATGAAGTTCTTTGGTGAAAAATATGCTGGGAGTAGGCAATAAGGAAGTTTCCTATATAGACATAAGATGTTTTGTCAAGCTCAAGAACGCTTCTGTTTCACCTACCACCCGCACCAAAAAAAGGAAAAAGAAAAAGAAAAAAAGGTATATTCAACACTTGAACACATTCAAGTCTCATTACCTCTTATATCACTAAGAGATAAATTCAACGCTCGAACGCATCCAAGTCAAGCAGAAATTAGCTGTTCTTTTTTTTGGCAGCACACTTTAACAAGTCAAAACATGCACCGGCGCTCGATTTTCTTCTGTTTTTTCATTTTTCGTTCCAATCGCCGGAAAACCATATAAATGCCAAAAGCGCATTTGGTTATGACAAAAACATCTTTCGATAGTCTAATTATCCACGGAATTCGATCAGCCTGAGGCAATTGCTTCATGAATGGCGAACTTTCTATGTGTACTTGTTGCTTCAACAAGTTCCAATTACTCCATCGCATTAGCACTTGTATTTGCATGCAACGTTTACAAATTTACTTGCAATGGCCACAAAGAAGAACTATTCTATATCTCCTTTCTGAATCTTTTGTCAGGTTAGTTAGTTCTTTTGCCTATATAAGGTCCCTTTTGTGGAATAAAATTTCAGGTGGGACCGTGGAAGAGCTGCAGATCTACTTGTGAACTGAGAAGATGGCATCTTCGGGTTTTGAGGGAGATAGGTACCGTTATCATTTGCATGTTTAATAATGCAACAAGGACAAGCCATAAAAATTTTAATGCCCTCATAATCAAATGACAATCTCCTACATGTTTGAGGCTAAGCTGGATTCACTCACCTACAGGGAGCGTGAGAGCGCTTCTGTTCTGTTCTTTCCATTTTTTATTTCAAGACACTGCAGACCTAGGATCGGTGCTCATATCTCCAGTCCACTAACCAAGCTAGCCCCATGAGGCAAGTAGGGTTCTTTTCAGGGAACCAAGCTGCTATGGCTTTCTTGAACTCAGCTTCTTTAATTGCATGAAAGAATCACAAACTGTAGGAGCTCGCACAACTTATGCATGGAATTCAGAAGGTTGATTGAATGCTTTGTCCAATAAAAATATATTTCGAACATAGTTCTGTTGGCTGTTTAACACCCAAAAAAAAAAAAAAAAAAAAAAAAAGGCTGCTCATCCAAAAAATGCAAATTGTAGAAATCTAGTTGATTTTGTGACCCAAGTACAACATGAAATTCATTGTAGGATGTCTTATTGTTAAGCCACAAGCCCACAGCCTATCTGACAACATAATTTAAAAGCAGCCAAAAAGTTTCTATCTATTTGTCTTTCTATAATTTCTAGCAAATAAAATTAACAAGAAGAAGGTATACTACCAAGTCAAGCATGTCCTCTGTGAATATTCTGCTGTTGATCCTATATTATGGACTAAGACAACATATTACCATCGATATTATTGATATTTTCTAAGCCCAGGGGAGGTGACCTGGATAAAGAGCTTCTCCACAGTATCTGAATAAACCTTCAATTTCAGAACAACCATTTGGATAAGGAATTGACCGATGGAAGGGATCACGCCCTAGTTTTTTACGCCAGAGTGAACCTTTACAGCCATAAGGGTCTTCTTGAAATTGAGCTCTCACCAATGATTCGCCTTTCAAAGCAGCCCCTTTGGAAGTTGATGAGGCTGGGGTGCCTGAATAAAAGAACCTGGACTCTGGAAAGCCAATTGCAGAGCGATGCAGGTTTGCGAATCTCTCCTTTTTGAAATCATAACTAACGACCTAGAAAATGATTACAATAAAAATTAGAATTGATGTTCCACATCAAAAGAAAAAGGAACTAAATTTCTGCATTCCTATTCCTTTTTTTGTTTTGGTGGTATGAAAAGAAAGAAGCAGCTGGGAAATCTGGATGTGGGTATAAAAGAATATTTGGTTATTTCCTATTTTTGAGGTAGTGATAGGATTTGAACTCATGATCGTCCTTTCCCAATCAATGCCATTACCATTGTGCTATGGGATTATTGGCTTCTTAGGTTGTTTCTTTGGTACTTCCTAGCTCATATATTCTGCACTTGTATCATTCGAGCTCTTAAAGAAAAAGAAGAAACCTTTGAACACCATGTACTTACAGTTATGTTTTGAGGATATTTTCCAGTAAGTTCTCGGAACCGACACACACTAAAGAGAAGATTCTCAAAGCTATCTCTGGCATATTCTTCTGTCAATGCCCTCCACCTCACGCTTTCCTCATTACCTGACAATCAGACATTGTAATGACGGCAAAACCAAAATTAGATGGTTTGAATCCTTCATGTAGTTGTGTAAACCTGGTGTGCTATGCACAACATTTATGAACTGTGAATTCCTAGGACACCCTGGTTTAGACACGAGCACATCAGGCAGCAGCATGATATGGTCAAATTCCAAGGATGATTTTAGCCCTAATAAACATAGACATCTGTAAAAATATGGCCATCGTGAAGCTAAATTCTATGTCAAAAACCAAACCATAAATCATTTACAAAACACAAATTTGGTGTTGAGTTATAAGTTTCCTAGCAGTTCCCTTAGGACACATCAACAACAAGAAATTTGAAGTTTGCCTTGGGCCAAAATTGCCTGCTCTTGTGCAAATCGCAGTTAACACAGAGGTAACGAAATGTATTAAATCCCAGTTTATGAGGCACTAATACTCAAAATAATAATGATAAAACAGCACGTGAACTTAGAGAAGCACAAGAACTCACCAAACCATCCTTTTGATTCAGCAACAGCCCAATAACTCTGTGCTTCACTACGAGGACCTGCATCTTTTCGAGTCTCACCACCACTAAACAAAAGCAAAGCCCCATCATCCTTCGCCACAACTTCAACTCCCTCTTGAATATGAGTCACAAAAGTAGCAGCCTGTCCCGGATGCTTCTGATAAGACTCCAAAAACCAAGAATCCTCCTTGTCAACTTTCCCACAGCTACTACTAGTATAAACCGAATGTCCAGCAACCATTACAAGATTAGTAAGCTTAGCAAACGCATTATCGTACGTCCCCAAATCAAGTTTTCGATAATCATTCACTGTTCGGTACCGGCTCTCATATATAGATAGAACTATGAGAATTGTGACCCCCAAAGACAAGGAAATGAAGAATAAAAGAAATGGGTGCAACTTGTAATAGTAATGAAGGCGATTAGCAAAATATTTGATCATTTTGAAAGGGTGAAATGATAAGTTTTTCGATTTTCGGGACCTTTTAAGGGCAATTCCAGATTCTAAATCAAAATCACCTCTTGGATATGCATTGAAAGACTTAGAAATGTTCATTATCCCACAAAATCAAGCATACCCAGATGGGGATTTAGACATATAAAGCTAAAGTAATGGGATCATCAGCTTTTTAAGCACAATAAAATAACAAGATTGAGGAAAAGAGTAAAATTTGATCAAACAAGCAGTGCATAAATTATACAGCTTGGCAAAGCTAAATCTAGCAAACCCAGATGGGAATTTGAAGATATTAAGGATCAAGACTTTTGCTTCAATTGAACAAGTCAAGCAATAATTTTAACGAGTCAAACGATAGATTTTCCAGCTTCGGATAGGAAAATTAAGCATTACCCAGATCGAAATTTTGACAGAGAAACTCACCAAGAGAAGAAAATGTGAGATTGTAGGATGGCGTTTAATGAAGAGGAAATCCAACAATGGATTTCACAGAGTTCCTCTGGTTGAGATTTTTTTTATTTATTTATTTATTTTTTTTAATTATGTTATGACATGATACTAAACTAAGATTCAGATTTGGAACGACTTAATTGTTTATGATGTTTGAAAAGGTGGTAGAAGCCTAGATCAAATCACCAAGCAGTTTTCTGTTTGAAAAGCCCATGAATAGATTTTGGATTTTATTCCTTCAACTACCTCATTTAAAACTTTAAAGGTCCAACGGCACTTAAAGTTAAAAGGGCCTGCTTCCTAATACCAACAACTAAAAAGTTGCAAGGGACCATTAAAAATAAACTCGCGTGGCGAGAAGCTGGTTCCTTTGGTATCATTGCAGTTTTCGGCCCATGTTTTTTTTGTGCCTTTTTTTTTTATATATATAACAATTTAAAAATTAAAATGGTTTTTTTATTTTTTTATTTATAAGATATTATGTTATTAACATTACTATCATCATACAATCAGAAACACTATTAATATTATTCAATTATCATTATCATGATATTAATTATCATTATAATTAACACAATCATCACTTTCGTTTTATTTTTTTCATTATAATCACCTCTTTTAACATTATCATTATTTTAATTAACTCTACCAATACTTCGTTATTATTTTCATAACCTTTATAAATATATTATTACTATATTTATTACTATCATATCATTTGTATAATTTCTATCTATCATACATGTTGTTATCAGGATATAATTATTTAATCATTATAAATAAATTATGTAGTATTATTATTTTTAATTAATAATATATTATTATATTTCTTAAATTAAATATGTATCGTAACCTCTCTGTTAATATATTATTATATTTTTAATTAACAATGAACATAAAATAGTTTTTGATCTTCTAAAAAACCAAAATTAGGAGATGATACAAAACGGTATTTTAAAAATGCGTACCCTTGGCAATTTTAACAGATTTAAGTTTGGACTTTGGAGAGTTATTAGATAGATCCACACGGTAGATACTAGCACATAAAATTTATAAGATGACAAACTTTAGTGATTTTTATTATTATTTCCTATCGGGATTGTTTGTAAAAATGATAGGACGGCATGCTTGGAATTCGGAAGAGAGTTTCTGTGTCTCCGTATGTTACTACAGCAAGCAATGGAGACAAACCTTGCATTGGAATCCCCGATAAAATAGGCTCTCCTTCGGCGTTTTTAATCCTGCCAACTGCATATTTACCAGAGACAGACAAGCTCATCTGCTCATGGAATTCCAGTATAGTTATTAATTGTACGAGCACCTCTCGATTTTTCTACTTACAGAAGGATTTTTGCAATGAAAAATTAACTTCGTGCGGATGAATTTTGTGTGAATAACTTATAAGGCATGTGTTGTGAATTCACATAAAATGTATGTAGGGTGGGAAAGTATATCACAAGAAAAGGATGGTATCCTCTAATATTTGGCAACAAGGAAATAGTGTGCCATTTTCACAGATCGACCAGCAATTAGATCAGCCTTGAGGAAAATCTATATACTGTTAGAGAAATTAAAAAGGATTTCAATTGCGAAAGCCTACTCATTAAACAGTTGATTCTATGCAGTGTTGTTTTATATGCATTTTAATTAAGGGTTAACATTGATGAAATAGCCAAGACAGGACAAGGACTAGATAAACAGGCATCAATCATATTTATGAATATTTTTTAAGCCCTGCCATATTTATGCGTTGGAGATGTTTTTCTCAGGCAGAGCTTAGCCATTTTGACTTCCTTACTCTCCTCCAAAGCATTTTTTGAAACCAACATCTACATAAAATATGCCAAGTCCGATTAATTCCATAGGTTCGCCTACTCATACTTCTGCATCACACGCAGATCGCAACTATGCATCTGATATAGATCATCAACCTGTAAGGTTTGTTCATACAATTTCTGAGGCAGGCAGGCTTCTACCTTCAGCAAGCCAATGGAACTCGATTGAACTTGACTTTCATCTTGTTCCACAATCAAACTCTTCCTATGATTCACTTCCCTCTCAGTACTCTAAATCCTTCGACTACGAACTTGTTTTAACAGATAAGAAACACTTCAAGCGCTTTGTTTTTGTTTCCATGTTCATAGTTTTTGTTATCCCAGCAATTGTTCTACTGGTGCAGCTTCTGCCTCACAAGAATAAGCACCATGGAAGTTCAAAGAATATGACGCTCGCATTAAACCAAGCTTTGATGTTCTTCGATGCTCAAAAATGTAATTTTTTTTGTCAGACCAAACTATTTTCTGCTGGTGATTATGTGCTATTAATTATTACTTTGTATAATTCAGTGAAGAAATTCGTTTTTCAGCTGGGAATTATCCGAGCAATAGTCCAATCAAATTTCGAGGAAGTTCAGGATTGCAAGATGGGAATATGAGTAATCCACCCGCAGACCTCATTGGTGGCTTTTATGATTCTGGAAACAATATAAAGTTCAGTTTCCCTACAGCTTATACCATTACCCTTTTGAGCTGGACTGTCATTGAATATCATGATAAATACGATAGCATAGGTGAACTTGATCATGTCAAGGACATTATCAGATGGGGCAGCGATTACTTGCTAAAAATTTTTGATCCTCCAAATTCAACTACGGCTCCCATAACACTATATTCTCAGGCAAGGCGTTCTATAAAACTTTGCTGTCCATGTTCCCAGTCTTGAATGAAAAGTAAATAATCCTTCTTTTTTCTTTTTTTTTTTTCCTTATTTTAGGTTGGAAGTAATCATACAAATGGTTATAACGATATAACCTGCTGGGAAAGACCCGAAGACATGAACTATCCGAGACCTGTTTCAGCTTGCAATGAAACAGCTTCTGATCTAGCAGGAGAAATCGCAGCAGCATTATCGGCAGCATCTATAGTATTCAAAGAAGATGTTGATTACTCAAAAAAACTAATCCAGTCAGCAGAGAAGTTATTTGAGGTTGCGACTAAGAATGACACGGGTCACCGTCAAGGAACTTACACTGCGGTTGAAGATTGTGGAGGAGAGGCAAGAATGTATTATAATTCATCTGGTTACGAAGACGAATTAATTTGGGGAGGAACTTGGTTGTTCTTTGCTACTGGAAATACTTCTTATCTTGGATATGCTATTGGTAATTTTAGCGCAGCAGAGGGAGAGGAAGCAACGTCAGAGCAAGGTGTTTTCTATTGGAACAACAAGCTTACTGCTAATGCGGTAATTTTGATCGGACTTTCCTTGAGGTGTGCTACTTGTGTACTTGACTTGTGGCTGCTATAATAACTTTCTAGTAATGATGGCAGGTCTTGCTGACAAGAATTCGATACTTTCATGATCTTGGCTATCCCTATGAGGTCGGTTTAGGATCTTCTTCTAATAAGATTGATCTTCTCATGTGTTCTTATCTTTCTCAGGAAATCTACAACAGGACACCAGGTGAAGTCATGATCAAACACAGTTTCTAACATATATGTGCTTTTCGTTGGATAGATGCACAAATTCATAGCAACCTAGCCATCTCATTGTTCATGATATCCCAAACCTTATCTTGATATAGGTGGCTTGATACTCCTAAGGCCAGATCAAGGTGAACCACTCCAGTTTGCTGCGACAGCATCTTTCCTTAGCAAATTATACAGTGACTACCTTGAACTTCTACGAAGATCAGGTGTAAGTTGCAGCAGTGAGTTTTACTCTCTGGAAATGTTGCGAAAATTCTCCATGTCTCAGGTAAGTATTTATAGTAACAGAATCTTGATTTTGCAGGGCAGGCCTTTCAAATTTTCTCATGTTTCCTTATTTTTCTCAGGTAAATTACATACTAGGAGATAATCCAATGAAGATCAGCTACATGGTTGGCTTTGGAAACAAATATCCAACCCAAGTACACCACAGGGCTGCATCAATCCGTTGGGACGATCAGCATTACTCCTGTCCAGAGGGAGATAGATGGTTATACTCTCCAGACCCAAATCCAAATATTCTTTATGGAGCCATGGTTGCAGGGCCGGACAAATTCGACAATTTTTTGGATGAAAGGGATAAGCAATGGTTTACCGAGCCAACCATAGCGAGTAATGCAGGTTTAGTTGCAGCACTTATAGCGCTTCACGATCCACCACACAAGTCTTCTGATTCAAATGTCCCTAATTTAGGAATTGACCTGACTGGTATCTTTGAAAACCTCCAATTAGTTCCACCAGCTTCTTGAATGTATTACAATTGGTCACTAACTTTCATAGAAGAATGAAGGAAACAAAGAAGATAAATGAAAAGTCAGGATAGCTGATTGTTATTTAAATAAGCTGAGAGTTTGAAGAAATGTAATCGAGGATAAATTTCATTTTTCTTCGCTTTGCTAACTTGTAAATATACTTGTCTAAGTAATAAGAGGAAGGAAGGTGGTGTAAATTTTTCTGTTTAACTTAACGTTCCAAATTGTATTTTGAATTTGTCTGAATTTTGTACCGTGGAAAGAAATTTTCTTCGGAAGAGATTTCTGTGGCTTATGGGTTTACAGCACTTCCTTCAATTTGTCAGTTTGTTGCGTAGGATAGGAAGTCCGTTGCTGGTTCTATGGTCAGGTAGAAGGACGCAGCAAAAGAAAGCTATCATACCAAGATACATTTTCTTGAAGGCATTTTTTCTAGGAATGTTGCTCGAAGCTCAGCTCAAACTCTGAAACTGGCAGCTAAAGCACTAGTGAGTAGTGAGAGAGGCAGAGGAGGAAGAGGCCAGGGTAACTTTTTTTTACAGACTTTTCTAGCTTCAACTTTTGAGACAAAAAATAACTCATGATGTTCATCCAAAAGATTCGTTCCTATGATGACCGGATAGGAGAAATACAAACAAAATGCCTTTGAGGCAAGATGTGGACATTTATTCAAAATAGAGGATGTGGACATTACAGTAAGTTAGTGTTGCAGCATATTTTCCATATAACTCGTTCAGCTATTCACAAAATTCATAGTTGCACGAAAGAAATTAAGTAGAAAACTTGAGGTTATATATAAGACAAAACTCTGTACATTTGCTCCGCTTTCTTGTGCGTGTTTTTCTGCCCATCGTAATATGTTTTCACCTTAAGTAGATTTCAACCTATCCAGTCCATACAATATCTGCAAAATTGGGAGAAAGGAAAAAAAAAAAGAGATCTACGTAACCAGAGAAATAAAAGAGAGACTGTATGTAAAAGTCAGAAAGCATTGATTCGGAGGCTTACCAGAATAGATTGGATCTCTTCTAGAAAAGGCACAAGTAATGAGATCAATGTTTGCATATCCTCTTTGAGCGTGTCATAGGTTTCATCTTTCGGCTTTAGCAGATCAATGAAGGTTTTATTATCAGGCACTAATTTAAGAGCAACCTGCAAAACACTGTTTGTCAGTTCAAGATTGGTTTTATGTAGTCAAATCAGACATATATCCCATATGCTATAAAAGGAATGCTTTAAGTTCTGTGAAATAAGAAATGGAAGTGATAAGGCTTTTATATCGTTACTTTATAAGCAGCTGATGAAATCCATCCATGCCATGGCTTTAAAGTGACTTTGTAAGATTCTTCCACGACTTGTTCCATTTTCTGACCAGGATCCTCCGCTAATCTTTGTAACAAAGCAACCGTAAAATCCAAGGATCTGGGGAGGAAAATGAGTTTCGTTTTTATCTAAATTAATACTGAGCATCTGATGCAATCATAAGCTGATGATGAGACTACCAAGTTTAAACAATGTAGCTCAAAACTTTCTTTTTTGACCCATAAACAAGCAATAAAGAGTAAAGCATGGATGGAATCAAGCATGTCAATCCAGATAATGTTAGGGAAGGGCCAAGTAGTTTTCAGTTTTGGGATGGTCTAAAGTTACGAAGCGAGAAAGCCTAGCTGCATGTGTCTGCCTTTCACAGAAACAGACAAATTTGACATTGTAAAAAACAAGCAATTAAAAAGATTTCGTGATTTCGATTTGTCGGCCATTAAGTTAGCTAATGACTTGATTACATGAATTTTTCCAAGTTATATTCATTAATTACACTGTTGATATAAATGTTACTGACACAATCCACCAAGTTTCAAGCTTTAATTGTTGATTATATTAGTAAATATTGATCAACTGTGTGGCTTTGATAAATAAATAAATAAAAGGACAAACAGCGTGGCTGCGGGCTGGGATTAGATTTGCATTACTTTATAGCTGATTACTGTCTATACCTGGCAAGCCAAACAAAGGCTTTACTGCAGCTGGCACCCTTTCTTGCCTTGCCTTCATCGGCCTCTTTCTTTAAGATCTCAACCAAATTGGAGTACATTGGAGGATCAGAATCACATAGCATCTCCAATCTCTATGAATGAATCAAAGGAGGAATATTAAAAAAAATATATAAATACAATAGAAAACCATTGTTCTAATATCATTCAGCAATAAAAATGACAATTGTTGGACATGGACAGGAATAACCTAGCGTGGTTAAAAAATGAAGCACGGAAGAGCTAGTTTGTTGAAATGTCACGATCAGGGGTGTTTTTGTCAGGATACGTCAAGGCAGAAGGAGGCTAATTATTGAAAAATGGAAAAACGGACACTGAACCAGTGCTTCAATTTTCTTTCTTTCTTTACCTGAATATTCTGATTAACATCTTGTCTCAAAACTGCCATTGTTGGGCCTATCTTATCTTCATAAAGGCAAAAACAGAACAACAGAAAGAAAGTCAAGTCGATTGTACGTCTTGAATTAACAAGCAGCTAGCGATAGAATTAAAAAGGAGAGAAGAAAAGAAACCAATTACCAAGAACCTGAATAACAAGGTTGCAGAGATATAAAAAAGGCCTTGTGGGTATATGAACAGTAGTACTATCATGATTGTCGCCTGTAGGCTTGAGTTTGATCAGCATCGAAAGTTCTTCGATTGAAGACTTTATCTCTGATCCTTTCTCCATTTCTCTTGTCCTTTTCATTTTTAAGATGAATCTTTCCTCCTCTTTCGCTACTAGAGGTCAAGGCACCAAAAGGGTTTCTTCAATGCATAAGATTGCACTTGCAACAAGAGAATTATAACAGAGAAATGGAAGTTTTTTAGAGTTTGGTCTCAGTGACCGTTGTTTGTCAGTGAAATTTTGAAAGACTGATGTATTGTTGTTTGCTTTAAAAGGTTCTGATTGAGGGAGATATATAATAGCCGTAATAGCTTGTTCGGGTTGAGCTCTAATATTTTTTTTAATGATGCTTCAGATAATTTTTTATATATAGATTCATTTATTCTACTACAAGACATCATCGATGTTGACATTGTATTTGACCTTGATGTTATCTATCAGCTGCTTATCCTATTTACTATTTCAAGTGAATATAATCTTGTGATCCTCAAAAAGTTAATATAATCTTGCGTCTATATATCTACTCTCAAATGTAAATTCCATTTCTATCGTATATTTTTGTGGAACGAATTTAAATACATCTTTTGGTCTTTGATCAGCAAAATTCTGATGCTAATATTAAAAATTATTTTAATTTAAAATTTTAATTTATTAGATAAAATCTTAAAATATAATTTATATTATTCTTTAAAATTAATGTGGATCCTTTACATCTGCGCAACAATTATAATTTCCCTTTTAACGAAAAATATTAGTAGAGGGATCACGTTAACAAAATATAAAAAATAAAAATAAAAGGATGAAATATATAATTTACCCTGTTATAGTGTAGGGTGGATTCAGGAAGATAACAGAACTTCAGTTCTCTAAAGGGACCTCTTTTAGAGGACAACGAGACTATTTTCTTAAGTGAAGTTGCTGACTCGTGGGAAATGGACTATTTTCTTTCCACAAAATCATGCAGAAAATACTGGTTATTGCCATACCTTTTTTTTTTTTTATTTGTCATTTTACCTAGAAATGAATTGTAAATTAGTCCTTATAATTTTAAAAAACGAATTAATTAGTCTTTTTTTTTTTTTTTGAAAAACTAGTTATTTAATTTTTTTTATCCATTTTATGTTCTTTTCTAATTTGTTTTGTTTTAAATAAATAGGATGGAAATATTATGAGAAAAGAAGAAATTTTATAAAGACTAATTATTTATTTATTTTCTAAAAAACTAGAAAGAATAGTTTATAATTTACTCTTTTACCGAGTTATAGTCTATTGTGAAACTGAAAGGTAATTGAGAAACACAAAACACAGCATGCGAGCTTTTTTTAATTGGGGGAAGGGGGTTGGGAACTCTTTCTTCTGAGATTTCAACATTTTCTTTTTTCTTTTGTTTTTTTTTTCTGTTGAATAGTATTAAAATTAAAATTTTAATTCATAAACTTTTTTTTAAAAAAAAATTCATTCATAAACTTTATGGTGCGTCGTGTTAAATTTCAAGGGAACAATGTGCATAAAAGAGGACAAGATGACGAAAAAGAGTAAATAAGCGACATTTAATTGTAAGATTTATTTATCTATAAAATGTTTCTTTTTAAATTCTAAGAGAATCACAAAAGGGCTATAAATGTGCTTTTAAAAGTGGATTTTGCCGCTGAAAACTAACTTCAAAAGTCAAGGATGAGTTTGGGCTTGCAGACCAATTGTTGGGTTTTTTTTTTATCTGTTTGATCCATAAACTCTTCTACTAGAAAGTAAATAGAGGTAGTCATTTCTACTTGCACGTAGCATTTTTCTTTTTTCGTTTTTTTCGAGCTTTAAATTCAGGTTGTTCGTTGGTATTTATAGAGTCATACACCACGCCGATCATACGCAGATCTCTCTTCCCCTCTTGCTTACATATAAAATGCCTTGTTAATATATCTAATTAATGGGAATTTTCCCTTGTTTGTTTATTTAGTTGCGTTCATGGATCATAAGATTTCATTTGATATGGTTCTTACATTTTAAATTTTATTTATTTTTCAACAGCTACCAATTCTGGCTGTATAATGCTTTGGGTAAGCCAGTGATGTAGCATTACATGTAGATTGACATTTAAATATTTTCACCTACGTCACCAACAAGCAAGATGTACACATGTTTCTGTTAGGGGTTGAAACAAGGTATATGTGCGCAGACTAAGTCTATGGATTGCATGAGCAGCGACAAGAAATAGGTGATACTAGTGGTTTGCACGCATTACACTACGAATCCGATAGAAAGAAAATTATTTTAAATTATTTTAATTAATATTTTAATATTTTTCATAAATTTTTTACTAAAAAAATTATTCTTCTTTATAGATTGATTTTAAAATTAAAAAATATAATAATTTTAACTAAAATATTAGTCAATAATTAAAAAAATAAAAAATATAATTTTCATAATATTATATTTCAAAAAATAAAATTATAATTAATGAACATATTTTTACAAAATTAACAAATGAAAAAAAAATTCTTATTTAATGCTAATGAGAAGATTAATTTTTAGAATTATTCATGTAACTTATGGGTAGATAGAACAAAAACATTTAAAAATTTTATAATTTTTTCATTATTCTTTATGTAATTATTACTATTTTTTTTATATAAAATTTATGCTTAAAAAAACATAATTTATTCTTCTTTATTCATAGATTCTTAAATAAAAACTTGTAATAATTTCAATCTGAAATATTAATTAAGAATTCAAAAACAAATACTTTACAATTATATTTTTTTATAAGAATAAAACCTTGTAATAATTTCAACTTGAAATATTAATTAAGAATTCAAAAGCAAATACTTTACAATTATATTTTTTTATAAGAATTTATTCAAAAAATAAAGTTACAATTAATGTATAGACTTGCATAGAAATTAACCAATGAAAAAATAAAAAATTATTCTCATTTAATGTTGGTGAGAAGATTATTTTTTTCAAGTATATGCATTACATCTATATATATTTATTTACAAAATAATCAACAAAAATAGCATAAAAAACTATATTTGAATAATTGGTCCTTTAAAAATTTATTTTAATTGTTTTGTTTAAATAAATTGGTTCTATAATATTAAAAAAAAATATTCATAGTAAATAATTTGTATTATGTTGAAAAATGTATAGTTAATTTTTAATTAAATCAACGATTCAATATATATATATATATATATCTTGACTATACCTTATGAACCGAGAAGAATTATTTGAAATACACTTTTAACCTTTAGAATAAAATAATTATATATTTTTATATGTGCAATTATTATTTAAAAATTCTAAAAATTCATGATATATATTATACCAATTTATTTTTAAAAAAACAAAAAAATCATGTTTTAAAATTTTATTCTAAAATTCAAATATAGAGAAAAATAAATTATATTTATTAGTAAATAAAATCTTATATAAAAAAATATTAATTGGATGAGAATTTCATAAAAAATGATAAATTCAAAGAATAAAATTTAAATGATACGAGTAATATAAGCTGAAGTATGTGTTAATTTTAAAATATAAAAAGATAGTGTGTGTGTGTGTGAAAGAAAAATGAAAAGTAAGGATTGAAGAAAAATGTTACAACATGAGGGATGAAAATTAGAAAAAAGTGTTAAATTTGCATATTAATGCTCAAAAACACACAAAAATTACTTAAATTACCATCGAATGAATAGTAATTTTACACATATGAATAGTAAGTGAATTGGAATTTTAGACATATGAATAGTTCGGATTCTCGCCCTACGTTACGGATCGAACTAAACATATTTATTTCGATTAGATAACATATATTATGTTATCTATTAATTAAAATATATTAAATTAAATATAAAATTTCATGTAATTTTATAATTTTTAATCAAATATATATATATATATATATATATATATATATATATATATATATATATATATGCGTTATTCTTTAGTTATACCTTGTGGATTAGGCGATTTGGTCACGGTTTCGGTGGTCGTGGCTTTGATGTTGATAGTGCGACCGATAGTGACGATGTACATGGATGTGGCATTGCTAATGCAAGTGTTCGAGGTTACGGACATAATAGTAGTGCCAACACATCTGCATCTCCTCTAGTAGTGCCCTCACTACTTATGCTTTTGCTAGCGAGTGCCCTTTGTTGTGGATTTCCCAACAACAATTCCCTCAGCTCCAAGAAACTATACTTGGATTTGATGATGGACGAACCATTTAGATCATGAATAACCGATAAGTAATATATTTTATATACGATAATTAGTTTTATATCTTCATATATTATTTATTTATTTTGTTCGACAGATTAGTTCCATTAAGCAAGTGCTATACAAAAATCATCATAATTTTCAAAAGGGATTGGACGTCGCCGACTCCACATAAAAGTTTGTCTTAATAAAGATAAAAGACTTTTATTTTAATGAGTTTATGATAACATATTAATTACTTACTTATTTTTTGTTTAAAGTGTCAATTTAACATGAAAAGTACTAATATTATTTTTTTCATGTGGAAATTCTTTTTCTAGGATAAGTTCATCAACATACTAATTAAGGATGCGTGAAAAAGTTTGACATGGAGGTAGTACAACGACATGCTTAACAAGCTAAAACATAAAAGTAACGGACTCGAGTTTGTTAAACATGAGGTGTGGGAAGCATGACATCAAGATTGAGCCACTCTTAAGTATCAAGCTCGATCTCAACGAGCATCTCGGAACCACAAGTCGAAGACAAATGATGTCGATGCTAACTCATCCAAGCATACTAGAGTCCATCTATTTGAATGAGCACGTTGAAAGTTTGGCAAATCCTATATTATCCATTGTGTTATAAATTAATTTTTACATTTATTGCATCTTGTATTATTTTATCTATTTTTGTAGCATAATAAATTAGATTGTAACCTAAATCCTTAAGAGTTGTTCGTGACCAATTACAAGCGGAAAGATGATTATTCATTGACAAACGGTCATAGATAGTAATAGTAAGGTTTTATATATTTTTTAAATGTACATCTACTAATATAGTTTAAAAAATACATTTATAATTTAATATTATAAGTATTTCAATGACATAGGAACACGTGTAGTCAATGCAAGAAGTAGTTGCTAAGGAGCAACAAAGGGGCGATTCATCGTCTCCAACTATCGACACATCCAAGATATATTTAGATGATGTCGAGGGGAGAAGAAACAGAGAGCATACAGTATCGAATCTTATGCATCCCAGTATTACTTACATCTTGGCGCTAGCTCCTCTTCTCGCCACTTCGCGGTATCTTGGTAGTCATATTCACGAGGTTTCTACCTAGTGTGAAGATATATATTTGGATCATTCGTCGACGTACGCGTAATAGATTGTAATAGTAAGGTTTTTTATTTTTTAAATATACATACATCTACCAATATAGTCTAAAAAATATATTAATGACTTAACATTATAATTATTTCAATGACACAGGAATATGTGCAATCAATGCAAGAAGTAGTTGCTAAGGAGCAACAAAAGGGTGATTCATTGTCTCCAACTATCGATATATCCAAGATATATTTGGATGATGTCATAGGGGAGAAGAAGCGAGAGAGTATACGGTATTAGATCTTATGCTTCCTAGTATTACTCACATTTTGGCATCGGCTCCTCCTTTGCCACTTTGCGATATCTTGATAGTCATATTCAGGAGGTTTCTATCTAATATAAAAATAAGATCAAGGGAATGGAGGTTATCATCCAGCAACAAACTAGTTAAGTTAGCACCATACGAGTTAGTTGCAAACAATAATAGAGTTGTTAAAGAACTTACAGCGAGTCTTACATCTTTCTTGTTGACCCTCGTACAACGCAAGAGTCAATCTGCTCCTTTCAACACCTAACAATCGGAAAGATGATGTAGGAGATGATAATAATGATAACTAGATTTTTAAAAAAACATTTTTTAATATTTATGTACACTTTAGCGCATTTATATATTTATTTTGTTTTAATTTATACTATTTTAATTTTATTAAATAATATATTATATTTTAATAAGATGTTGTTTATTATAATTAAAAATATACGACTATTGATTAAAAAAAATTCCTTCATTTAACGATGGATTTAGTGACGGAATTGCAAGGATTTTAGTAACACCTATTCGTCGCTAATTAACAATAGATATAATTGAAAATAGTGATCGCATGATGACGACTATAAGACTTCATAGACACCTATTTTAGATCAATTTAGTGATGGAAATTCAACAAATTAGAGATGAAAAATCCGACTCTAATAAGCGATAGAAATAAATTTCGATCATTAAGGAAATAATGTCCACCATATTAGCAACAAAATTCAAATTATTTCTAATCATCGTTAATGGTACATAGTGATGAATTTTTAACTTATAGCGAAAGAAAAATCCATCACTATATGTTGAATTTCTAGTAGTGGATACAGCTTTAGCTATGTCACACGCTTATAAAAGAATAAATATATCTATTTTTATGAAAAATAAATTTTTTTTTAATTGATATGCGATCACTAGTTCGACACCTCTTCCAAAACAACTTAAAATTCAAGCAAACGACACATCTAGTATTAATTAAGTTCTAACTAAATCACGTTACCGTGGAAAGTTGGGAAGACATTAGGGAAAATAAAAAAAAGAAAAAAGGTTAGGAACACAATATTTTCATTAATTTTGCTTTATTTTTATTTTTATTCTTACGGGTAGCCTTATGGATGGAATCTTTGATGAAAGAGTAATTGTGACTTAGTCCTTGTATTCTTAAGAAGCTAATAAGTCAATCTTTCAAGTTAAAAAAAAAAAAAAAAATCAATACCTACGCTTTCATATGTGCTGATTACTCAGCCCTTTTATCTATCCATTACCGGCTTGTTACTTGTCAATAAGTTGACAGCCAGGAGGTAAAAGTATTAATTTGTGATTTCTGAAACAAGAGGGACTGAATTATTAGTTCCTTAAAAAATTGTGTTTTGGTTATAATTTGCTCTTGATTAAACCAGATCCTTCTTAACTAATTAGGTGCATCATATGGTTTAAAAATTCCAAACCCTGATGATTCTCTAAATTATTCAGGCTACAACAACCTAAGAAGTATGGAAAACAAAAATATAAATCAAAGACTTTCGTTTCCTAATCACAAAGAGTGGGTGGAGTTTTGGATTTTCATTAAAAAATTTAGAATTCGAATCTCATTTTCTACTTCATCTCGTGGCCAAATTAAACTTGCTTCTCCGATTCTTTTTCAGATTAAGACTAATTTATGTCCATAAAATTTATTGACGGATGAAGGGTTCTAGGTAACAAAAAAGGAAAAAAAAAGAAAAGAAAGGACTTTAGTCTCCTTCATCTTCTCTATTCATGACTGGTGAGAATACGTCAGGGTTGCCTGAGCATGGTTTTAGAACGCAATGCCGATGGAAGCAACACGATAGCAACTAAACTTGGATACCTTAGACAATTACAAGTTGGAAGAGGAGGTGTTGCAGCCTTGCAAGTTCGTAATTGATCGCATTGTATCCTAATCACTTAATCATTCTATTTCTCTAAATTAACTTTTTTTCCCTCATCTTTTGCAAAAGAGAAGTTGGCAAAAAAAAAGTTAAATACGAAGAAAACACTTTGGGAGTTGGGACTGAAATACTTTTCATCCGTAGTGGAAAACAGTAGCAAGTCTGAATAAAATGAACTTTGAAGGAATTTTTCCCCTATAAGAATTGGTCTAATCTTGGATAATTAAAAAAGAAAAACTCTCTGTAACTTGTGAATTGGGCACTGGACCAAAGGTCTACAAGAGTTTCTTTCTCACCAAGGCATGCAGCCACGCTACAACCCAGTTCGCCTGCTGTCACTCATCTAGTGGAGTATGTGATGAGACGTGACAGTGACATGAACTTCCTAATACTAAAATGGATTAAACAACCTCACAAAGCTACAATGGACTAGCATCATGAACCACTCGAGCTCTTATTATAAAAAATAAGCTTTTGTATGTAACCTATGGACAGCAGCTTTTGTTGGATCAAGCATTGATAAATTAAACTAATTAGTAAGTAAGAGACTCGACATCAATATGACATTGTACAACGTGTAAATGCAAATAGATTCTCTCAGGAACTCTCTATTTTTTATCACATGGAAAGAGACCTCTAATTCACTAGTGATAAAAATCCATTTAATTTTAAAAGAAAAATTTTATTTAATTTGTACAAGTTTGTAAATTGCAATTTGATTATTCGATTGTAATTTCATAGTTCTCCATCACTCTCAAAAATTAATTAGTTGCAATCAAGCCAACATATCCAAATTCAACTTAACAAAACCTGACGTAAACTGATCTAAAAATGATTATTATCATCGAATAAAAAAAGAAGAAAAAAACGCTAGCAAGATCTAGCTAGATTGCCTACTCCGTAAAAAAAAGGGAATAAAAAAGCTAGGTTGCCCTATTTGGACCTATCTTACGGATCTTTACCAGAACTATGGGCTTCAGTAAGCCCATTTTTAAATCATCAGCCCACCAAAGACCCAGTTATTTTTTGGGTTTTATAAGCCCCGGTTAGTTCACAAGGAAACAAAATGACTCTTTGCAATCGACATCCAATCACCGAAATCACAATCACACCCTTTCTTTTAAAAACTAAATGACTATCCTACCCTTTTCCACAAAGAAAACTGAAACGGCTTTAACGGTCAAGGAAAAGGGTAAATCCACCATCACCAATTTCAATCGTCAGTGAGACTGTGAGACCCAGCCAGGGCTATGGCTATCACTTCTACTGCTCTGAATCTGGCGTCCATAGCAGGAGGGGCACGGGCATGCTTATTTTCTCATCTCGCCGGCACGCTAGCAAAAACCAACATCAGTACCACTTCATTTGCGTCGTCAAAATGGATATGTTCCTCTAAAATGGTTCTTAATCCTCTGCAACGCGGTTGCGCGAAGAACAAAACTGTGCCTGCAAGGAAGCTTCAAGTTCGTGCCGCAAGAACCGAGTCAGAAGGTGTCTCCTTAGGGTTTAGAGCTCCCAATTTCGAGGTATCGTCCATGTTCATAAATTTGATTCATTATAGGAATGTGAAATCGTTATGGGGTTGTTTGGTTTTAATGATTATATATATATATAGTTGCCAGAACCTCTAACAGGGAAAACTTGGAAACTTGAAGATTTTGAACCATATCCTGCGTTGCTGGTAAGTTCTCCAATATACTGAGCAAACCAAATGCTTTTCTTTCTTGTTGATGAATCAGTGTAGAAATATGTGTGTAATTTACGATGTGTAAAATAGAGGAAAAAGAAACAAATTTATGATTTGAAATTTTTGTTTTCTTTGATATTGTGGTTTCTATGGAAAAGTCACCTTAATTGCTTTCTCTTAGTAGTGGTATTAGATGTTTGGTTAAGTAAACTAGTAAAGTGCAATTTAAAGTTATTGGACGGTATGAAATAGTGAGAATTTATAAAGATTCAATTTTTTTGAATGTTTTATGCATACCTGCATTTTAGTTTTTAATATTTTTTATGGATTGATGGTTCGGGCAAAACTAGAAAATAATATATCGAAATTTAGGTTTTAGATTTTAGTGATGAAAAGAGGTGATTGTGGCCGTGAAGAATGTTATACAAGTATGGAAGGTTGCTGGAGAAGAAACTAGTTAAGTTTGGTTCACTGGGTTATAGAATAGAATCTTGATCATTGTGAAGCATAGCTGGGAATTATACGTTGCGTAGGCTCAAAAAATGCAGGATCATTGTGTTTGATGTTGGAGTTCTATAAGTACAATACAGTGCAGAAGAGAATCAATTTGACCAAAATGGTCGGGGGCCCTCCCACTGTTAGAATTTTGGCTGCGAAACCCTTGGCCTATCAAGCTTAGTGTGATAGTCCCAACTTGGGAAATGAATTTTTCAGTAACCATGTAGTTCTTAGTTAGGATAATTTCCTGACCCGGCTTCTTTTTGAAAGAGAGATTATGATATTGTTTCATCTCACTTAAAATATATGTAATTATTTCAGATGTGTTATTAAGGATTTGGTGGTGCAGGTTATGTTTATCTGCAATCACTGCCCATTTGTTAAACACTTGAAGAAGGATATAGCGAAGCTTACAAATTTCTATATGAAGGTAGCAGGATCCTCTTCATTTCATTGTGCTTCCTTCATTTCTAATTGAAGAGGCACATAACTTGACAAATGATTATTGAAATAACAGATTGAATTCCTTTTGTGTTCTGCTACAGAAAGGACTTGCAGTTGCTGCTATCTCTTCAAACTCTGTAGCTACTCACCCACAGGTCCTCATAAACCCCATCCTTTCAGATTAGAGCTGTGTTGTCGTATGATTTACCCAAAATGGAATGTTCATCTCAGGATGGGCCAGAATTGATGGCAGAGGAAGCAAAAATACTCAGTTACCCCTTCCCTTATTTATATGATGAGGTATGCTAATGCTTGTTTTGACCGGATCCACGCTATTGAGGTGTTCTCTTCCACTTCTATTTTCTATTTTATCCTTTTCCTGTTTGTTATGAAAGAGTGAGACTAAAAAGATGAAAGTTACAGCAACTGGTCATGGAATTGTTTTATGCCTTCATCTAGCCAGCAGCAATTGTCCACTTTATTGTTTTGTATTATTTTCATAGGCAGTTTCTTATTTTCTCAAGACAGAGAAGAAAAAAATGAACACACAATTACTTGAGGTGTATTAGACTTTTGCAATCATAAGAGTGGTAAATTAATTACTTACTAGCTAATCAAGGACGCAACGGAGCTTTTCTTTTTGGTCATTTATCATTTTCATTGGCGCTGATGATGGATTAAAGCAAACCCATATAATATAGTATATGAGTAATTTTTTTGGTTTTCTTTGATTGAGTTGCAAAGCTCCTATATGCAACCGATAATTGAACAAAGGTAGTCATTATTAAGTGCTGAAATCCATTCTTGAGTAATAAACTACCGGCTCTGACATAAATTTTTTTTTAAAAAAATCAATGAATATTACAGCTGAAAGAATGTATATTCTTACAAAAGAGATTGTATTTATGGTGAACTTCATTTGGTACTTTTCTCAGTAACTAGCTTGCTCATGGTACATTTGATTTTACTGTTCATACATACAACATACAAAATGGAAACTATCAAAATGTTTGGACTTAGCTTTTCCCTCTATTCCTTTCGGTGCCTCTGACACATGTGCAAAAGCACACTAACCAACACTTGTGTGTGATCCTGCTTCTAATTGTAGTCTCTTAAGAGGATGGCAACTCATAGAGTTGAGATGGTTTGAATAATGCAGTAGGTCCCATTTTATTGTTCTGGAAGAAATTTCTTAATTAACTAATTGAAATTGATCGGCTGCAGTCGCAAGAAGTAGCACAAGACTTTGGAGCAGTTTGTACACCAGAGTTCTTCCTGTTTAAAAAGGTACTCAGAACCTTCATTAATTGTTTTACTTGGGGTCCTTCTTTCAAGCATGGCACATAATCTCTAAACTTGGTTTTAGAAATCTGTTATATTCTCTTATTTTTCTCTCCCACTCATCCCCAACCACACACCCCTTCCCCCCACCCCCCACCCCGACCCTCCCACTTAACTTTTCCTTCAGGAATGTCAAGTCATTGTCAATTGAGCCATAAGCATCCAGCATCTTAGTGCAAGTAAGAGTGGTACTAAATTAATTTAATGCCATAGGATGGTCGGAGACCATTTGAGCTGGTGTATCATGGCCAATTTGATGACTCCCGACCCAGTAATAATGTGCCTATCACTGGAAGGTTGGTGCCTTTTGTTACAAATGTCATTTGAACTGATGTTATTTAATCATGCAATTTCAGAGAACATAAGGTATCCATGTTTTCAACAATTGTTAATAATTTGGTTTAGGGACCTAAGTCTGGCAATTGACTGTGTTCTTAGTGGTCAACCAGTATCACCTGTTCAGAAACCCAGGTATATGGTATCTTCTTTTTTCTTCTTTGTTAGATGCCTTTAAGCTCTCTTTCTGTAATTTCATGCCTGAAGTCATTGATTCTTGTTGCCAACAGTGTTGGATGCAGCATCAAGTGGCATCCTGGGGCGAAGTAACTTTCAATGTTTGGTTTCATGATCATAATCTACAAGCGTAAATTTTGTTCTCCGGTATGCTATGTCCCCCCTCTGCAATTCATAATCATCGTGATATTGATATCCTATTATCGATTTTTCTACAGGATCATGAATTCTCTTGTTACCACTGCTGTTTCTTTTTTATGCCTCCAGTGTTCTAATTCATCTTTGGAGTCTTTCCAAGTGCAGAAGGCAAGGTTTAGTTAAACATGTGAGTTGTTCAATTGGGATATGTATGTAATATGCTATCATGAATTATGTAGCTTCACATTCTTGTATTATCTGTTTTAAAAAATAGAAACGAAAAAAAAGCAGAGAATGTATATTTTTTGAATCGTAACAATTTTTTTTTTTTAACGGGAAAATTCCATGTCCATTCTTGTGGTTTTTCTGTTGCTTGATGTTGTGCTGCAATAATATGTGCACTTTCTGGAATCTGATACCCTAGTGGATGATAAGATTGGGTGATGAGTATCTAGAAGATTGCACTTTCTGGAATCTGAGACCCTAGTGGATAATAAGATTGGGTGATGAGCATCTAGAAGATTGGAAAACTATGCTGGATATTTGCATTTCTAATTTAAAATACATGAAAACCAACTAGAGTATAAGAAAACATTAAATTGAGGACTCTTATTGAATCATTGCAAGATGAATCAGTTATCATAAGATATCTGTGAAACTCTAATACGAGTATTATGAAAAAAAACTCATTATTTTTCCTTCACTACAATCTTGTTACAAATATCGGCAAGAATTTTGGAGAAGTAGCACGAATATTTAGCATACAATCATGACTCCAACCAACAGAACTTAAATTAGAAAGCACATAAACTGTTGGAAGCATTTTCCTGTGGTTAGGTAATAAGTAAAAAGAGGTGTTTCCAAGTGCTTTCTTAAATGCACGAGGTTTCTCAGGGTTGGTGCTTCGTAACAGTTGGGTCATTAGATGTGACCAATGGGGGCCTAACGTATGCTTGGGCCCAACTTATATCTCTTGATTAGGTTTGTACTTTTTAGTTCTTGCATCACATTTCTGTTTCCTTTAATTTTACTTTCTTTTCTTTTTTAATCTCCCTAGTCAGGTGATCGGTTAATTTGTTAAAAAAAATGCTCCTATCATGTTTTATTATTATTGCAGCTAATATGCAAATAAATAAAAAATGAAATTAGGGACTTATTACTCTTAGTTATTGAGGTTCGAAATGGTTGTTTGAAAAGTTCCATAGAACTAATATAAGTTGGTTGCTTGCGATCTTAGCCATTAGAGCTTGATAGGGTTCTTAAAACTATCTGTGGGCCTGAGATGGTTTGATATCACATGACTAGAAGCAATGTATCCTTTTCCAGAACATGGAGCATGAGATCTCTTTATCTTTACTAAGATTGATGTTGGATAGTCTTATAGGGAGTGGACGAGTGGTGGTCCTTCCGCATCCCCATAATTTCAAGATTTATTTTGACAGATGCCAACCAAGATTGTGTCACTGCCAATGCCATGGGTTTTCCGTGGCCCGGCTCCCAACAAACAACCCAATAGGACCGAAAGCTAAATGTCTCTTCGACGTTGGTCCCAAGTTTGAAAATTGCCTTCGATAACAAGGCCATGCTGATTGAATTATTTGTACTGTAGCACTTTTAGCTATTGTTTGCGTTCTGTGATCTGCTGACTATGGAAGCAGCTTTCTGGTGCTAAGATGGAGTATGGGGCATTGTAGATTTTTAGTTTCTTAAAAAAGTATTTTAGCTATTAGGGAACAAAAAAGAGCAAAGGGACACAGCACCATTTTGGGTAGGATTTTGAGGTCTCGTTGATTCTGATGGCTTTGTTTATTTTTCACTTGTGTGGAATATAGGCTACCACTCTCTTGACATATTTTGGTCTCCTTCATTGTGGGGTAGATGTATGTTCGGACTGAGAGGGAAGTGGAATAAAGAATATCTGAGTGAATATGAAGTGCAAATCAGAAAGATAACTTCTTGAAAGAATTTATCGGTCATTTTCTTTCACTTTTAACTACAGGATGGCAAAACCGCCGAACTGAGATGCAAACCTTCATCTATTGCACTGTAAATTAACTCATTGCCTTGTCTTTACTTTAGACAGGCAGCAATAAGAACAGGGAATGAGCCAACTGCTTTGCTCAGCACTAACTTGAATCAGGTAAAAGAAACAGAATCAGCAGCCCTGGTGCTACTGCATATATCAATCTATACAAATTATTTTGTCGTTTGAAAAATAATCAAAGAACTTTATGCAAGATTTTACAGAACTACGGATTTAGGAAGGTGATCTAATTAGAGGTTCAGATGATCTAGAGAAACTAGAAGAGTGAACTTCTGCTTTTGGATTGGTAGCTGTTTCCTTGCCACGATATATTGGTTTTTCAAAATCCTCATTTTCATGTCTTAGCTCCTTCAACATTGCTGTTACATCTTTCATGGTGGGTCGTTCTTCCGGGGTAGGGTTCACACACAGGAACGCCACCCCAAGCACCTGAAGCATTTCTTGGAGTTGCGTACCTGATCGCAAAAGTAGTTGTGGATCTAGGATTGCTGTCAATTCTGTTCTTCTTTCTCGGAGTGCCTTGCTAACCCATGTGACAATGTGGACACCTTCAGGAATCCGGTTATCAGTAGGTTCTTTCCCTGTTAAGACCTCTAGGAGAACTACACCATAGCTGTACACATCACTTTTCTCTGTGATTCTGAAACTGTATCCATATTCTGCATTCAGATATGGAAGGATGGTTATGTTTTGGGACTTGAAATAAACTAGGGTTCAGAGCTATTGAATGCAGCGCAAATTCAGAACTCGAGACCTTTGAAATATGTTTGGACCGATTTAACATGAGCCCTAGCAAATATGAGGTGACTGGATGAACCCAATTATATTTTTCTATGAATTATTTGAGTTCAAAAGAAAACCATTTCCCAAATTGATGCAAGAATTCTTCTAACGAAATAGTTAGAATTTCTTAAAAAAAAAAAAAAAAAATCAATATGAAGGTTGAGGATGTTACTAGCGCGTTTGAATTTTCTGTGAAGAAATGTTGAAAATGTTAATCAGCTGAACTACTGAAAACTGAAGTGCTTATTATACTCACCTGGGGCAATGTACCCGTAAGAACCTGCAACCGTATTAGAAACTCTTGAACATTCTGCAGAATCAACAAGCTTTGCCAGCCCGAAATCTGCAAGAAAAGCTTCAAATTGTGGTCCAACCAAGATGTTATTAGCCTTGATGTCACGATGTACGATTGGAGGAATACAATCATGATGAAGATAAGCCAAGCCATGAGCTGCCCCAAGTATTATGTTGTATCTTGTATCCCAATCCAAGAATACCTTCTTCTCATGGAGCAATCCAGCCAAACTCCCATTGCTGATGTAGTCAAATAAGAGCAATCTGGTTTTTCCATTATTACAGCATCCAAGAAGCCTCACTATATTTTTATGCCTTATGGATCCAAGAGCTCTAACCTCGGCAGAAAACAAATCTCTCTCTGGAATCTCACAATTATTCAGCGGCCACAACTTTTTCACAGCAATGACCTGTTCCATTGGAGTCTCGACACGATAAACAATGCCTGAAACACCCTTCCCAACAATGTTTGAATCTGAGAGCTTTGTCACAATATCATTTACTGAGAAGTTAAGCTTTTGAAATGGGGTGAAATCCCACTCCAAAATGTCTTCTCCTTTCCTTCCAAAAGCAGCTCCACGAATTCTGACAAACAGAAGTCCACCAAGAAGCACAATCAACAAGGTCACAGTTATGCCGAGAAGGGTGCACACGACAAGGTTTCTGGTGGAGTTCTTGCCATTGTGACTTCCATCCATGTGACACTTGTTTCTGTTAATGCAGAGCTCTTGATTGCCAGCATATGCGGAGGCAGGGAGATCATGGAAGAACTTGGTATCAGGAAGCAAACCTGAAAAGTTGTTGCACGAGGCATTAAGAGAGACAAGATTGTCAAGACTGCCTAACACTTTCAGCATTCCTGTGAGCATGTTGTACGAAAGATCCAGGTTGGCAAGCTTTGAGAGATATGCGAAGCTTTCAGGAATAGAGCCCGTTAGAGAATTCCTACTCAAATTCAATAGGATGTCAAGTCCTTGCAATCGACCTATCTCATCTGGGATTGAACCAGTGAGTCTGTTACTGCCCATATCTAACAGCTGCAGATCCCTACACAGGCCAAGTGACTTTGGAATAGAACCAGTAATGTAGTTTTCACTGATTACCAATTTGTTTAAGGATGTAAGCATGCCTAAGTTCTCAGGTATGGAGCCTGCTATAGAGTTCTTGGAAAGGTCTAAAACGTTTAGACTAACAAGAAACTCGACAGATGTGGGAATGGTTCCATGGAGTCTATTTCTGTGCAAATCAACCAATTCTAGATGAGTGCAGTTACCAATCTCTGGAGGGATTTCTCCAGTAAATTGATTATCTGACAATTCAAGGAAGCTCAAGCTATGTAAGAGACCTATTTCTGGGGGAATCTGACCAGTAAAGTTGTTTGATCCTAATCGTAAACGGATCAAACCAATGCAATTACCAATATCTGGTGGAATTTCACCTGAAAATCCATTTGATATCAGCAGCAATTGAGTTAAGTTCTTGAGATGGAACAGAGAATGTGGAATTGAACCAGTAAGGAAATTGTGCGAAAGATCCAATGCTTGAAGTTTCTCACATCTGGCTAGTTCAGCCGGTATGCTTCCATGGAGCTGGTTCTGCCACGCAAAAAACAGCGAAAGCTCCTTCAATTGGCCAATGGCTGGTGGAATCTCACCAGTGAATATGTTGTTATCTAGTTCGAGCTGCTTCAGACCAGAAAAGTTGCCAACAAAAGGCGGGATTTCTCCTGAAAGGTAATTCTCTGATAAAAGAAGCTCCTCCAATGCAACCAAATTGGCAAGAGATCCAGGAATCTGACCACTTAGAGAATTCATCGAGAGATCAATAACTTCCAAAGCCAAACAATTGCCTAGAGCGTCTGGAATGCTCCCTGTTAGATTGTTCTGCCATAACAACAACTTCTTGAGATTTGTCAACGAAGCCAATTCGTCAGGAATCCTGCCTGAAAGTTGGTTTTCGTACAAATAGAGATGCTCTAATGCTGAGCAGTTGCTGATTTCTGCTGGAATCCTGCCTGTAAGATTAGCTGTGTAGACTGAAAGAGTCTGAAGATGCTTCAGTTCTCCTAAACTACTTGGAATCTCGCCTGAAATCCCAGTATCTGCAAAACCCAAAAAGCGTAGTCCTTTGCAGTTGGATACCTGCATTGGAATTTCTCCATAAATTCCTGGGTTACCGCCTGCACGAAAGGTCTCCAAAGCTAACAACTGACCTATTTCTGCAGGAATCTTTCCAGAGAGCTGGTTATCAAAGAGTTCTAGCTGTCTAAGCCTTGAACAGTTTCCTATTTCTTTTGGAATCTCGCCTTTTAATGAATTTGTATTCAGTGCAAGTAACTGCAATTGAGAAAGTCTCCCAATTTCTGCTGGGATGTTTCCAGTAAAAGAATTGAAACTGAGGTCTAAGGTGCTCAGTGAGGACAAGTTCCCTATCGACCGTGGAATTTCTCCGGTGATGTTTCCATTTGAAAGGACGAGAGTTGTGAGATGGTTAAAGGAGAGGAGCTGGTTAGGGAAGCCGGTAGGAAGGTTGATGGAGGTGATTGTTATTTCTGAGACAAAACCATTGCTAGAACATCTAACATAATACCATTTGCATGGATTTTGGTGGCTTGGATCCCATGTCGAGAAGAAAGTAGACGAAAAAGAAGAATTAAAGGTTGAAAGCCATGAAAGTAGAGAGTGGCCTTCTTGGTTCAAAGCAGAGATGGCTGGAAAGATAGAGATGTTGAGAAACAAGAGAAAAATTGTGATTGCATTGCTTGACATCATGAGGCTGGTTCTCTGTACTACTGTGCTATCTCATTTAATTATAGCACGCCAGTCTCTCAAATTTCTGTTTCTGTTCTTTTATGACAGTGGAATATTGGAATGCCCTTGCTTTATTCCACGTTTACCCACAGTATATACAACTTACTATCCGTACGTGGACCAGAAATCCTCTACTGTTCTATCCATAAATCTGCTTGTTTGCAATTTTGTATTGGAGTATATGGATACAGATACAGTACAATTCTAGGTTGCAGATTAATGTTTTGGGCTTTCATACTTTGTCTTTCTCCAAAAGTTAATTATGTTACCATTCTTAAATCTGATGTGCATATGAGTTTAATTATGTGGGCCAAACTTATCCAGTAGCATTGACAAATTACTTGTAATGCTGCAGTAAGTATGTGATGTGTTAGTATTAGTACTATTGTTGAATTGCATATTTACATTAGTTAAGAATGATTAGTTTGAGGTAATGATATGTACATTAAAAATGGACTGTTGTTTTAAGTTTTTGGGTTCATGAACGCTGGTATCCATCCATAATTAATGTAAGTAAGTCTTCGCAAGAATAAATCTTAAACAATAATTACGAGTGAAATGTGTGAAAACTTGGCTCTATATAGGATTTGACTGTTCATACTTTATTTTGCAAAATTATGGCACATGGTACTGTATGACAATAAGATGCTAAATGATATCTTTATCGAAACATGCTCGACAGATAAATTTGAGGAGTGAAAGTGATGTTATTGTATTATATATGCATTCGTATTCTTTCAAGTTTCTTTCAGAAATTATGGTGAAAATAACTTTTAAGTTAAAAATATCATTTTTACGATTAAGACTACATAACAGTAGTGGTAGCTAGATCATTTTGCTTGCCCGTACCATTTCCAAAATGTTAGTGCTTCAGGACTGATGCTTGTGATGATCCATACATAGGCCAAGGTATGAAATTCATATTTCAAAAGGAAAAAAATAAAAAAATAAAAAATTGCATATTGATGTCTGTTAATATTTCTTTTTACGTGCAGGATGAATGTCTGATGTCAATTTTTCATTTACAGTGATTGTCCATCCTTTTGAGTTAAGATGCACTGCAATCCAGACTGTGAAATGGACAAGCACCAAAAAGGAGGTGGACACCACAACCTATTCTGAAATATAATTATGGTAAGGTCTCCAAATCAGTTTTTATGGGACTAAAAAAAAAAGGTGTTTCTCTATCATGTAAGCCAATGATCTTTCTCGAAGAGATAATAAGAAAGATCCTTGCCTCATTCATAGAGAACCTATGTCTCTTCCGATGCATGAACCTTCTCTTAGACCCAATGAAAAGAGCACAGTTTTCAGTGCCTTTTTTTGTGTACCCTTCTTTGTTGGCACAATATTTGCAACTGCCTCTCTTGTTTGTCAGTTGGGTTTTTAATTTAATTTATGATTTTGTGTGGACAAAATTCCATTAATCTTGGATATAAAGTTTACCCTCCATTTTATTTCCTGTCTTTTAAAGCGTGATGAGTTCTATAATTATGGAAGTACCACCTGGGGATGAATAGAAATTATAGTTTGAGTGGCAATTCTTTTAATCGGAGAGTCGATTCATGTCACCGTCTCACTCATTGAAGTTTGCTATAAGGCGTGCAAGTTGAATGCGATCATCTTATAATTATTGATTGTCTCATCATAATTATGCGATAATGGCGTAAGTATGTGGAATCATACCATAATCTGGAATTATTAACCTATCTTTTTTTGGACCACAGGCTTCAAACTACAGACATTGCATTCTTACTCTCTTATTGCCTTTGATATATGTGTCAAATCAATGTCTGCTTGACAATGACAGTGTCTCTTGAAAATTAAAATTAGTAGTAGTAGAAGAACTGGGATTTTTTAAGTTACTGGGTCTTGGGGTGCCAGTGTACTAGATTACATTTGGAAATTAGACAATCGGATTCTAATCGGATAATGGTTATATATATATATATAAAATTAAGATATTTTAAGTCTCGGACAAAATTGGAGTTCAGAATAAGTTACTAGGACACATCATCAAAAGTGAAATCCTGATGAAAAAAATACCTCTCAGCGTCCTAATTTCAACGGAAAGGGAATTGTTCATTTTAAAATTTCAGGACAATCTGGTTAATTGGGGTAATGTACTTATCATAACCTTTAAAGATGATGACGACGACTGCTTTCTATTACAAATTTACAAGAATGTTGCTTTAGACATTTATTCCATTCAATATTTGCTTGAATCCAACAGAAGAGGAGCGATGGAATGAGAATAAGTTCCTAGAATTTATGGATGCTAAAGGGTTTTAGATTTACAAATAAAAAATAAATCTTCGGAATATTTGTATGTGCCCTTTAATTGTAAAATAACCTAAACAAATCTTTGTTGCCGTCAATTTATGGATAAGTTTCCTACAATAAACACACTAACTTCCAACTACCAAATATTTGTTAGATACGTGGCACATAATTTTGCTCCAAAATAAAGCGATGGCCCAGCAAAGAGACATGAAGGGAGATAATTTAGAAATAAGAGAACAAACAAATAAAATAAAGGAGGAAGAAAATGAATTTTCATTTGGGTGGGTCTTGCATTTGCGTAGATGTCTAGTGACCTGATTTGAAGAAGGAAAGCAAGTTGGATTAGTTAATTGCTTAGGGATAATATGGTCCATGGATTGGAATAAGTTTTTGGTTCAAAAAAATGGCTGGAATAAGTTGAGGAAGGTGGGGCAAGTGATTCCTCCCAACCATAGCTAGTGGTCTGACTATTTTTGCCGTGTTTAATTATTTGGATTGATGCTTTGATACTGACCCATCTTTCTTTTCCAGCGAAATTTACCAGAATTTAAAGAAAGGAAAAGTAGAAATACCAACCATACCATATTAAAGAAGTTTTATATCTTTTAGTATTTTTTTTTTTAATTGACCTATGACGACCCTTAATTTGGAAGAGGCAATAGCAATCTGTTTTTGAAATGAAAAGAAAAAACAAATTAGGAAATAAGAAGACATTATTTTGTTTAGAATGAGGAAATCCTACTCTAGGTAAAATGCTGGAATGCATGCATGATACACATTGAGGTTGAGGAGATACCATTGAACCAAATTCCCGTAACTTATCAATACAACTTGCTAGTGCTTCTAATTTGCATGCTAAAAAAAAGTAAGACAATAATTGAGAATATAGAATGCAGAAGTAAGAAACCTGCGAACAAAATAAAATGTCCCAACCAGTGAAATGCACCAGGGGCCAGGTCTCTGCTACTACTGGTGGAGAAAGCATGGGGGTCTGATCATATCATTTGGAAATTCAAGAGCATAATGGTTTTTCTTGTTCACACACATCCATTATGGTGATGTTGGTGTTGCAACTAGTTAGTGTCATACACCTGGGCCATAATGCAAAGTTGTAGTACAACATATACGACAGTTACAGAATAGGAAGGGAGCTTCTGTTGATCCAAGACACAGATCATGGGAGTTGCAGGCAAGTGGAAACCGTACAAGAGATGTTCTTGCCAATTATAAATGTGTTTTTAGCGTATTGACTTACATTTTCGACTCTTCACCTTTGATCAATATGTGTTTGATGCTATCTTGAAGTTTTTACAAATATTGGGGTATACTCCACAACTTTCTATTACAGGATCACCAAAACAAAATATCATTTTGCTTCATTTGATGTAGACCGAGCCCAAATAGCCCAACCCACCTAAAAAGTAATAATCACAAAATATTCTATTTGCAATTTTTATTTTATTATTTTATTATATTTTTTGAGGGGTGGGGTGGTGGTGGTGTGGGGTCGGCCTATTGAAACGACAGCAATATTTCGCCAGTTGTCGGCCAGATATAGAGTATGATAAAATCCTAGATGTTCAACCGTTCAAAAGAAAAAACCCACCAATTTCAGCATTTACAAAATCATGGAAAATCGGATTGATTCCTTTGAGTCCGAAATGGGCCGGAAGCTTTGCGTAAGCATATTATAGTATTTGTCAAAGGCAAAATCGACTAGCGGCATACAGGCCAACTCAAGGTGAAAAAAAGCCCAACAACGAAATCTTATGGGCTTGACAACTCCTAGTTTAAACCAAATTAACCGTGGCTGCTAGCCTTTTCTTTCCCGGTACGAGGAAGTACAGGCCTCAGGGACTGTTTTCACAGTTTTTTTTTAATGTGATTTTACAAGTTGGAAGAAGAGATTCTGACTAACATCTGGTCCCCCAATACAAATGGTTGAGGTTAAGTACTTGCTTTCGGCATATAGAACAGGGCATAACGACTTTAGTTGTTTAAGGCGCGGCCACTCCTCTTTATAGCATCACAACAGAGTATTTCATCACACTCGTAAAACTTATAATAGCACTATTGGGAGAGCGGTGTTATAAGCTTGGAGATTGGCAACATCATTCCCCTATTAATGTCTGGGTTACATATGGAATATTTTGATTTCATCTCATGTGTAAATTTAAGTTTAAAGTCCGTCAATGGGACAGCCTTGCCCCATCTAGTCCTGTCCAACCATATTGCTCATGAGCAAACGCACCCTATTGGTAATCATGATACGTCCCAATCTTGAGTTTCTCCATTTGCGTCAGCTTCCACACCTATTTTCTCATGCCAGAAAGAAAGGAACAGCGCTCCTTTGCTTCGCTAACAATCTAGGAATGCTGCCAGCTAGATGCCTAAACCCTCTATCAAGCGATAAAATAAAATTGAAATTTACTCCTCTTTCCCTTTATTTACATTGAACCTGTCTCTCCGAGTTAGTACTCCTGCCAGCGCTTACACTGAGCCATGACATCAATGAGACATTACTGTTTAGGAGCCTGCATGAGTTTGAGAAAAACCCTCAATAACAAATTGTCAGTCCAGCCAAGTAATGTTAATGCAAGGCATCTGAGCAACCTAGTAATTACCAATAGTGTCTATTCTCCTATCCCTAAGTCCACATTTCCTCAACTATCATTAGCAACAAAAAGGCAACTAATAAGGAAAGTGTGGTGCAGTTATGATGCACCTGGTTTCTCATGGGATTTCGCTGCCGATGATATTGACATTCTGATCCGAAAGTTCTTCTATGCCATCCATTCGAGAGATGAACTATTATTGGAGGATGTTCTCTCACATGACTGCATATTGGTTCAGGACGTCATTTTCCAGATTGCATTTGTTGGAGAACAGGTTTGTAAATTTTAGTACAACTCCATCTTTTCTCCAATTGTTCGCTTTTTCTTCGATGTCACAATATTGTACTAGATCTTGACCAATAACCGAAATGCTCCATGTTAAAATTTGATGGTAGAAATTTAATGCAAGTGTATCACAGTAATATTCCTGTATGCTAACAGAACATATACATTGACCATTTACAGAGCACCATACAATTTCTTTGCAAGCTAATGAAGGCAATGGGGCGTAATATTCGTTTCAAGATTAATTCGATTGATGATGGGCAAAGCAAGGATGACCGTAAGGGTGCAACTGTCTTTTGGAATCTAGGTGAACGCCACAGCCCACACTCTTTTTAATTCTCAAATTCAGCAGTTCATTTCTACCATTGTTAGATATAATCTTCAGCATTGGTTTTATCTTTTATATTATTCTTTTAACAGAGTGGAACGATGAAGAGATACCTTTCACCAGAGGTTGCACTGTCTTTGAATTTGAGGAGATTGATGAAAAACTCTTAATCAGGTGCAATAATTTGATTGAAAGGTTTTTTTTTTTTTTTTCCATGTTGTAGTCTAATGGTAATTTGCACCAGTTAACTTGGAAGGAAGGAATCCCATCGTTTAAATTGAATTTTTGAATGGTCTTAAGAACAACTGATGTGATCAAATTGATCATAATTTATAATTTTAAAGGAGGTTTCATTTTCATGCAAGTAAGTTTAGCCTGAAAGTTATGTGTACTGTAGATTCTTCTTTTTTTCAAAATAAGGTTCAAGTACTTCCAATAGCTATAGTTTTTCCAGAGATGAACTTATGATTTGCAAATGAACCAAAAGAAAAGGTTACCCTGTATAATTTTGAGATGGATCGGAAAGAGCATTGAGAAATGGAGGAGATCCATTAGTCTCATTTTATATCCATAGAGCCAAGATAAAGCGGGCCGTCCAATTAAAACATAAATAAACAAATGCAGGGCTCCTACCTAACATCTCGATTTGCGTTTTTTTTTCCTTTTAATTTTTATAGTATTTCTAAGTTCTAAGGTTCAAAAAAGTCAAGTAACTACGAACTTCTACATGTTAATTTAACATTTTCAACTGACCAAGGAAGACAATGAACATGTGTAGGAAAATTACGGGAGTGACAGAACCAGGCAAACTCGGTGACTTTATACTGGTATGAATAATATTGATAGTTGATCATTTTCTATATCCTGATTTTTTCTCCCTTTTTTTTTTTTTTTAATATGTATAATGACATGCATATATAAGAGTTTCTTATGTAAATTTGCAGAAACTCTTGGAGGCAGCAAGTACCTTATTTGATAATTTCCCAGATCAAACTAGGAGTAAGCAAAAGTTCTTTGACGAGATTAACTCAAATGATTAACATTTATACTTTCTGGAAAAGTTTATTTCAGTTTATATACTTAAATATTTTATATTTGAGTTTCCTTACATTTATTCCAAATACTAATGACATGTGATAATTGTTTAAATACTCTTAATTTAAAAACATATTGTCAAGAATGCTTAGAAATCTTGATAAATTATAAGTATTAAAATTACGATTCTCTTTTTTTCAATCAGGACAACCTAAGAACAGCAATGATAAATAAAAGAAGAAATAAATAAATGGAAAGGAACTAGTTTTTTTATGCCCATTTTCTGAATGCGAGATGGAAAGTAATTAGTGTAAGAGAACATTTCTAAAAATTGGGAAAAAAAGAATAATAAGACCAATGACTAGTTTCTCGCTATTGGTTTTGCAGAGTTGCTATCAAAATCAAACGGATCGGTGTGATACTGAAGATGCTTGGAGGATATTCAAATTAATTTACCTGGAGATGGATTCATTGACCTTGCTGTGATCTACATGTAGAGGCATAGTTGGGATATCAAATTCGTGGGGAGGGCCAAGTAAACGGACACATGTGCATGAACTGCGGATTGATTTGATGCAACATATACTATAATTGCAGAGTTGCCAGTTCAATAAATTTAATGTAAGAAAAACAAATAAATAAACTAATATGTTATTAAATCACAGTTTTCTAGTTCGTGATAAAATTTATTTGATTGATCTAGATGTGCAAGCGGAACATTTATTTTCTTCAATTTTTATTATCATTTCATTTTTTTAAAAAGTTAATAATACATGCTATTTTTAAATTTAGAATAAATATTTTTCTTCGTAAATTTATATGTAAGTTCAAATGACGAACCTTGCATTATGAACAAATTCGCTAGGATGAGTAGTAAGAATTGTTTCGCCGGTTTTTTGATTAGTTTTGCGAAGCAAGGACGCATAGGATGCTGGGTTTAATTCACTTACAGGTTTGAAAAATTAGATAACCAGAATTTCTGAAGTCGAGATTAACTTCTTGTGGTTTTGTAGTACAGAGGTGTTCATTTTACACTGACATCTTAGCTTCTCTGAAAATTAAAAAGATTGTCAACCAACTGGTCTACTTGGCGTTAATTTGAAATTTGGAATCGACCAATTTCTCAAGAAAAACAACATTAGAAGCAACCCCTACATACGTAGTTAATTAACTAGGAACCAAGAGAAAACGAAGCATCATGCTTTAATATCTTTTAATTTTTTCACTCCGCCCCTTATACAATGACGTCTATGCCATGATCTTTCTTTTCGATCATGGCCCTGTTATGTAACAGTAAAATCATGCTTCTTTAAGGAAGAGCAAAACAAGTGAATAAATAATAAAATAAAAAATCGAAAAAAGTTATATATAGTAAAGTATATATCAAGGTCCTAAAAAAACCTCAAACCCCGAGAGATCCAAAGAACTCCAATTATTATCGCTGATAAAATTGGCCGAAATCTTTAGTCGATCATCCATTGAAAATGAATCAAATTCTGGCAATTGCACCATAGGTTGCCAATTAGGAACATTAGGCAACGCTGCATCATCAGACCACAAAGCATCTTGTACAATTTCATCGCTCAGTAAATTTTGCAAGCCAAATGCATTCATGTCTTGACTTTCTATGATTTCTTGAATTCTCTCTTCTTCAAGTGGTGGTTCCTTCTCTCCTACAAGTACCTGAGATTTCCCTTCAAGTAAATTGGATTCTTGGGTCAGATCAGACCGCTTCAAGTTTTCCATCATCGCATCATTTTGGAAACTGTCAGATGAGGTTGAAGAATTCGATACATTAACCAATTGATCGCTGCCATCATTACGCAATTCTTCAGTACCAATAAACTCTGGCTCATAACTCAAGTCTTGATTCAAGAACTTAGCAAAAACAACAGCTAGATCAATATCGGACCCATTGGCTCCACCTTGTTGAGCCATTGAGTCTTTATTCGAGGAAGAAGCTGATGTCTTATGAGTCCAACTATCATTCACCGACACCACAGCACGTTCATTCTGGGAGACCTTAGAGGACTTGGCTCTGCGATACTTGCGACAACCACCACCCACAGGAACATTTCTTAGCGATCCTCCTTTTGTCCAATACCTTCTACAACCCTTGCAAAAATACCTAGGCTGTGACAAGCTATAGTTATTGTAGTAGCAGAATTTCGTGTTCGAAGAAGCACAACGGGGGCAATTTGGAGCAACTTCGACATTGGATTTCCATTTACTCTCCATTGGCAATGGCCTAGGAGGGCATTGGAACATCATTTGGTCGCTAGCAGAGTACATGTTCGCAAACAGAACTATACAGGAGTATCACTTTTTTTGTTTGATGAGAGATATGGAAAGAAAAGGAGAGATTTGGGGTGATATAAGAGGAAGTGTATCGGTGTGATTTTGTGTGAGAGTTAGTGCAAGGGCATGTGTGGGGACTAGAATTATGGGGTTTGTAGCATGATTTTGATCGATACACGTGGTCGGTTGCGAGCCGTTTGGGCTAAGATAGCTCGGGTTCATATTTGTTCTTGTGTGGTTATGAGTAGGAGTCAGTTGAGTTTCATTGCGGCTCTATTGCTTCACGTGGCATTTCTTCATTGGCTACCTCAAAGATGGTGATTGAGGTTGAGAAGTCAAAGCTTCTAATAACTTGTCATTGTCTTCTTCTTCTTGTGCTGGCTGAAATGACCAAGATGTCCTCGAGGGATTATGACGGGAATTGCTTGTTGGATTGAATCAGATTCGAAAAAATTTGAGAGTGAATTAGATTTAAGCAACTCTCTTTCGGGAATAGAGTGGATCTGTTCAGGCTTGTTAATTTTTTTTATTTTTTTTGTTAAAGGAAAGAAATGATGGCGATAGCCATGATGTACTAATTAACTATGAGACATGAACAATTTATTGTGTAATGGTGAAAAAGGTTGGTTCCGGTCATAAATGGGAGAAATTTCTTTTAAATTATAAGTTTGAGTTTTTTTATTTGTTTTTTTTTTTTACAAAATAGTGCATCTATTTCTAATTAATTATTTTTTATGGTTGAAGTGAAGGTCATTTTAGATATTGTGGATGCAAAAAACAAATACAATTTTACTTTTTTCTTTAAATAATGTTTAAAGCAAATAATTAGTTTATCTATACGTCTATTTTTTTAATAAAAAAAATATTGAAACATTTATAACACATTCTCATTCCATCGCTCTAAAAATTGTCCTTTGTTTCTTGTTTACAAAAGGAATTTTCAAGAAAAAAAAAAAAAGAAAACCTACTTACAGTATCTAAATCTCTTCAAAAAAATTTATATTATTCTAAAAATAACTATTAATACTTATTTCACAAGAGAGACAAACATAAAAAAGAAAAAAAATTAAAAAATTAAATATAAATATAAATACCCTAATTATTTTTTGTTAGTTTGAATATAATTTTTTTTATGTCTATCTTTTTTTCTTAAAAATAGACTTTTCAGTATTTTAAAATTTTTCCCTCCTGCTGCGTTACAAATATCCTTCCACTGTCTATCCATCATAAAACTTGGAGGTTGTGTCCAACCTCATGATTCAGGCTGACGCCTAAATTTGCTTATCCATCTCCACAATTATTTGCTTCTCTATGCACACATGGATGATATGCAAAACACAATTCCTATTGACAAGTCTAGTGATATGTTTGATTAAACCGGCATAAACTCCCCCATTCTCCTTTTTATCTAAGAGGAGAGAAACAATTAATTTAGAGTCCACCTCCAATTGCACTGCCTTATTTCCATTCCTCCAAGCCATTTCCAAACCATATTTCACAGCCCATAGTTCTGCGTTAATGACAATTCCTCATCCACTCTAAATATTGTTAGACTCCCAATTCAAAAAAAAATATATATTCCAATCCATGACGAGTCACGATCAAAAGGAGAAAGACATCCTTTTCTCCTTTGGGTAACAGGAGAAGGAGATCGATGAAAGTGGTTCACCAAAATCAGTTAGTTTTTTAACTTGTAAGATCAGATATGAGCTTAAAAACTCTTGTTCTGGTTGCAAGTCATCCAATTAGGAGACATGTTAATTATTTGTTCATGGAGATAAGAACTAATCTAAGGTAGGGTCTTTTTTTAAGGGAAATTAGTTCAAGACATGGACAGTTCATTAAAAAAAAACAGAGAGAGATGGACAGTTTGGTAATTTAGAAGCGAGAAAGGTTTTTTTAAAAAAACCATGAAATGTCGCCATATTTTGACTTTGCATCATGGACTCGAAACAGTGTACTTCACTCATGGGTATATAACAAAAAGAGAACTAGTGCGAGGAAATGATTTTATTAATTAATCACACTAGATTAGGAGGTAGCGTCAAGGTCGTGCTTTGTTGCGTTGCGATTGCACGTGTACAATCCTGTTACGTGGCTTACCTTCCTCCCCTTTCGATTCCTTGGTTAGGGTTTCTACTTTCTAATTACTTTTCTTATCGTTAACAATCAAATTAATCGATAATCGTGGTCTAACACGTCAATTCTTGATTTTCGTTAATAAATTTTATAATTTCATAGTCAATGTATCTCTTTGGTCTTCTAAACTAATGCTAAGAATAAACATCAGGTACGATGTATGATCATTCGTATCATGAATTAATTATTGAATTACAAAATAGAATTCATTTTTTTTTAATACATTTTATTAGAAATTTGCGTAGATACAAATATTTTTATGGATTTAAAATTTTATGTGTAGTTGATTAGTTGTCAATTAAGTTAAGTCTTAACCAATATATTAATTATTTAATGTTATTTTTTATGGAATTCCATTTAAGGAGAGACCCTTTAACCTGGTATAGTAGTCAACAAGTCTGAGCGATAATAAATAAAATTATCCTTAATCCATCCCCATCACAGTGTAATTAAATAAATTAAAGTCATTAAAATTCTAATCTATTTTATGAAAAAAATAACTAAACACACAATATTAGATTAGCTTAGATAGCATTTTTTTTTAGCAATTAATATTCTTTAGTTTTAAATATTTCACACTCAACTTTTCATCATCGATGAGTTCTAAAAATCAATCCATTAAATGATTGTACCTGACAAAAACAATTACATGATCATCTAGGTGGTTATTAAAAAAAAAAATTAAATATCTTTTTATTCTGATAAATTAACTCTTTGTCTTCTATATATATATATATATGAATTTTTCTTTTTGTATTGTCATGTAATTTATGAGTTTTTCAACTCAACTGTACTAAATTGACAAACCAGAATTATTGTAGAAAATGAAAATTACTGATCAGGCTTGAGGTACATGCATGATATGAACAAATGTCTAATTGAATTTGCTCATAACTATGGGAGGCCGGTGTTGATAGGAAGAAGAGTCGTTCTTCATTTGCGTAATCCAGCTAATTGAACAAAGAAAACATGACAGCTATACTTGCATTTATTGAGTATCATGATGAAATTGAAGAAGGAGATCGAGATTGGGTGGTCTTTACTCTTTCCCATCTTGTTAGAGATTTGCGCTAGCTTCTCACACGATATATAGACTTCTATCAGCACCATTCTTCGAATAAAAACCTCCTGCTACAATGTATGTGGGTTTAGCTTTACCAAGATGTCATTTTCTAAAACACCACGAAGTCTCATTTGATCTACTCCTACAGTGATCACCAACACACAACCCAACAATAGTTCCCACTTTGCATTAAAACTAAGTGGAGTATCACACCCCTTGCCTTATTCCGTTTTCCTCCAAAATTAACAACCAGCAAGAAAACGTCGTCATCACTAATTGTACAGAAATAGATTAAAGGAATATGGATCGATCAGGTATGGGCAACTATCAACTACCCTCGTAGGGTCAGATACCGAGAGAGCATAATTCGAATCACGTGGGAGGTTTTGCATCACTTTCATGACATCCATATGAAAGCTGCAGAGATAATGTATAGGAGGGTTAACAAATTTATTTGCAGCAAAGCTTCCACGACTCATTTTCTTCTGATTTTTGGTATTTATCACTACACGGTCAATGTGTGGCTATATAACCACATCTTAGCTAGCCACAACCAATAATGTGTAGCTATATATATAACCCTAAACATGTATTGAGCATCATGTTGAATGTGTCCCAATAACAATAAGGCCTGGGAAAGTAAAAGACATGTGCATGACATGGTGCTCGCCCGACATAATATATGGTACACTTACTGGTTTGTGACGGTTTTTTGGGACCCATAATTTCTTATAGGGCAATGTATATGAAATTAGCGGTTGCTCTTGAAATCATGGGATAATGAATATTTGTCCAAATATTTGATTTCATAGCAAAGGTAGCTATTTATTGGTTAAAGTTTTTTTCTTGTTTTTCTTTTGAGGAAATTAAGGACGAGATTAGATCGCACAAGAACTTGACAAAATGTTCAGGGAGGTGGGGAGCAAGACACAGGAGAAAAATGGTCAATTAAACTCGAGAAAAGTGGGTTTCGGCCTGAGGTCCATGGGCCTTCAGATGAACCCAGAAAAAGAATTAGCTAGTTCTCAAATTGGATATTTACGTGGCATAAGTTTTTAAGTGAGAGAGAGATTAATGTATGCCATCGTACGATGAGCTTGATTATTGGATCTTTCCTTTGGGCAACGAGCCAAAGCTGAATTATTGGAATGAAATGCTGTAAAGATGAAAGGGAGAAAATGACAGATCACCACACACCTTTATGGGAAAAAAGAAGGTGGTGGTGGTGGTGGCGGCAGAAATTAAAATTGATGTACATAGCTAGCTTAAATGCTGATTGTTCATGAACTTGTTGAGCCAAAATAAATTCCGTCTTGAGCTGGTTCTTGTCAGAAAATGAAAACTCCATTGCAGGCACAATTTTGTAAAAGGAATATCCAACATTGACTGCTTCAATTTGTAAGCTGGGACAGCAAAGTTACCTAGAAGGCAACGTGGAGCACCAATATGCTATTAATTGGACAGTAAATTTGAGTATACGGCGAGAAGAGTGATTTTTTCAATTGTATCTTTATGGTCTTTGAATTATTTAGAAGCTTTAATTGACCGGCGTTAAAAAGTCTCCATAGTCTTACCCACCTCAGTTAACCAAAGTATGCAGCAGAAGAAAACGGGGTTCCAAAATTTGTCCACTGATGTTAACAATTTTTCAAATTTTCGTTATAAATACCGATCAATTCGAACAACCCACATTGCAAAAATTGCTCAGCATTTTCTTTTACTCACAATCTATATAGACCTTTTAGTTTTAGCGTAAATTTAGCATGGCAAAATCAGCCTGCTCTAGGCCCGTCCCTGTTATGGTAATGACACTTCTTGTTGCAACTTTGTTGCTCACGCCCTCCAATGCTACGCTAAATTATGATGCAGCTGCAGAACTTAAACTTGGTTTGTATAGAATCTCTTAAGCAATTTATTTTGTAAAAAGGGTCATTTGCTAGTTAGTTGTACAATAGGATCCTCATAGATTCTTTCATGAGTTTATTTCTCGACTTCAATTCGTTTGCCCAAAAAGCAGTATCATTCCATATCTAGCATGCACACCCACTTTGCAAATAGTTGTTAATTAATAGCTTGGTTGCCTTACAACTTAAATTCCTTTCTTTTTTTCTTATAATTTCTTTTATAGTAATTCCATTGATATAATTGCAACATAATGAAAAACAAAATACTCAACATATCTACTTAACCGCTTGTTTTATTTTTTAATTTTTATTTACTATTTTCCATTTCTACTTTTAGGACGAAGGGGTCTCCTAGCTGAAACCACAGGTCGCGGAGGGTACAATGAACATCCTGATGGCCGAGGAGGAGGATATAACGAGCATCCAACCGGCCGTGGAGGATATAATTAATTAATTAAAATGATAATATCCTGATGATATGAGGTCTATCTATTGCAAAATATATTTTCTGCCATATAAGTTTGATGCTTGAATAAAAGAGACCCTCAGGCTAAGGGTGGGTTCGTTGTAATCATAAGTTGGGTAACGGTATGGATTTGCATATCTATGTTGTAATATGAGTTGTTTCTATTATACATTTGAAGTGTGTTTGATAAACTATAATCCGAGACTCTCGTAAGCAGCAAATTTCAATTTATTGGAGCTCGATCTTTTATTTAATTTAATCGAAGTATTTACTTTTATGCTTTGATTACAAATTTTTTAAAAAAAAAAAATCTCAAAAAATTAACAAAAATCTTACTTGTTCCCAGCAAGAAAAAAGGGATAAAAACAAAACGAACGTAAATTGCGTAATTTGCTGATGTTCACCCTTTCTTTTATTTCGAAGAAGTTTTTAGGAGCGACAAACGAGGCATTGCTCTACTAACTGTGGGTTCTATATATTCAAGGTTGAGATTTTGTGAGTGAGAGCATCCCATATTCAAATCCAACCAACCTAAGTATATACAAAAACGAAGTCTACTTTTAGTATATTCAATCACTATCAATACAATTTTGACACCAACATCGTTACAATTGTCACCCTCGGTTATTATTATCGCCCTATCATTATTATCACCACAATCAACACCTCCTCTACTTTTAGTATAATTAAAATCGTCATTATAAAATATCATCATCATTTTACTATTATCATATTTTTTAAATTATTACTTACCGAGCATCGTAAACTTTTTTCTATAAATGTATTCATAAAATATTTTATGCAAAACAAATGCACCTTAAATTTTAAAATTTTTATACACCATTAACCAATAAGGACCAAACTATATGCAATTAGGAGGTAAATGAAATAATTTTTAAAATTAGGACCAAACAGGTGAGTTACAGCACGTAAAATATTTGCCAATACCCGGCCCTGGTTCACCTGTCCTCCTCTCGGATTTAATGATGTTTTAATCGAGCTTTTTTTTTTTTCTTTTTTCTTTTTTTCTTTTTTAAGTGTTTTATCCTCAATGGGTCCTTTACATACTACTTAGGATTCACAAACCAAGATCCAACAATACTATAAGACGTCCACGTAAGGCCCAATCAGCCAGACCACGAGGCCCAAAATTGGAATGGGCCGAAATAGATGATATACCTTCTAACAATTTCTCCCATGGCTAAGGTATTGCAGTTCTTTCTGTAATTTTGATGATTGTTCATTTAAGGTAACTGATATCCTCCATGACTCAGTGCTTTCCCACGATTGCTATCGTGGTACCCATTCTACGGAAAAACATTGTCAGCGTTTAGAAATGCAGTCTTTTTCGTTTTCCTTTTTTTTCGGTACCATGCTAGATTTTTAGAAGCGAAGCAAGTGATTCTCATCTAAAAAGAAAAGGAAAGAAAAAAGCGAAGTGAGGATCTCAGTTTTCCAGAACAGTCTAACAACTGGATACGTGTGTTGGAATTAAATTTCCACACTGCAAGGGACTAAGGAGAGTTTCCCAATGCTCCATGCAGGAGAGAGGGATTTAAGTCATTTTTCTTAGTTTCATTGTCCTTAATAACGAGTAGGCTAGTAGGCGATATGCAATGATCATCATCATCAGGACAAGCACTTCTGTTCCCCCCAATCTAGCCTTAGATCTTCAATAAACGGAGATTGACAGGAACCTGAAGCTGAGCAGCTGCTTTGTATCTTCAGGAGTAGCCTGTATGTATGATAGTTTAACGAAATGTAACGCACCCATGACATGAATGATGGCACCTTCTGCATACAAAAATTACAAGTTACGATCTGATAATTTACAGAAGTAATAAAGCAATCATCCCTCACAGTTTAACAAGGTAAGTTGGATTGAGGAACCCTTAGGTGTACCACAATCCCGAAACTATTACAGTCACTGTACGAAGTCCTGATGAAACTATTCAGCATGTGATATATATCCTTCCGCAGGTGGCAGCTTTCAACTGCACTATAGAATTACATGCTTTAGGCATACGTTACCTGAAGAAAGAATCCACCAGATAGCATGAAGGTCATAATAACTATGGAAGCCAATGTTGTTGCTTTCTTAACATCCATGAATGCTGCGCCTATAGTAAGTCCAAGACCCTGCAGGTACAAAACTCCCAAGTCCTTAAGTCTCATTGATCTAAAACATTATTAGTAGTTCTTTTTGGAAAGGAAAACTCAAATATTACCTGAGCAGCTATTATGCAAAGAAAAACTGTAAGCATGGTCAAAGAGAATGCAGAAAAGCTCGACTTCAAGCCAACCATGAAATGGACTATCAGAAGGAACACCACAGGCAATATCAGATCCAAAGGAAGATCACTGATGTTTCTGGCAGCAAAGTATGCAGTCAGTCTGTACATGCCAACTGATCTCTCTTTTGCTAGCATTGCCCTTTCTTGTGGGAATGTGAATATTGCACTGAACAGAGGAAAGAAGGCCCAAAATACCGAAATGAAAAATAACAGCCCTGCTTGTTTGTACTATGGATAACAAAGGAAAAAACTTCAGAAATATTCATGTTACAGGGGGAGGGGGAATATGCCATTTCGTTTAACAACATGGCTGAACAAATATACGCAACACTTGCCTGATCATGGCGATGATTAGGAGATGAACCGCCAGAATGCCACCAAAGAAATCCTATAATTATAGCAGTAGCTATTACTTGAGTTACCCTCATAAAGCTAAAGTACTCGTAGCTTCTCTCCTTGAGACCCCTCCTGAAGAGAATTGAAAACTGCTCCCACCAGGTTGCTCCCCATTCCCTGGAATTCAACTTGCTCTGCATCTCAATGCTGCCCTCTATCAGGATAGGCCCTGGAAAGTTTGTTTTCTCCGTGTTTGCAGCTCTTACGTCATAGGCCTTCACAAAATACTGCATGAAAGAAAATTGAGACAAAGATTTAAAAAAATATATTTTTCGTCAGGTGTAAAAAAATATTTAGCTCCGGTTATTGACCTCATGGACTTCAGCCAGGGAAGGCCCTCCATTCATTGCCTCGGGTCGTTTGCCTCCAGGTAAAAACTTGTCCTCCAATTCTGATGGCAGTGTTTTGTCATTTATGACTCCGTTTGCAAGATCAGTTAGAAACTCTGCTGGGCTAATGGCTATAATCGGATAGCAGCCCAATGAAGAAAAATACAACATTGCTTCTGATGCTTTTCCGAAGTACAAGGTACTTCCTTTACCCAAGAGAACGAGCTTATCGAACTTGTTGAAGAGTCTACTAGAAGGCTGATGTATTGTAGTAACAACTGTCTTGCCAGCCTACACAAGATACGTAGTTATACTACCATTTATGCTATTAAAAAGCTCCATTTGTTTAATTTAACGAAGTTTAAGAACCTGTGCAACGTTCTGCAGTATCTGAACAATTCGAAGTGCATTTGTTGAGTCCAAACCAGATGTTGGCTCATCTAAGAACAGAAGTGAAGGGTTGAGCAGGATTTCATTGCCAATGCAGACCCTTTTTCTCTCGCCGCCAGATATCCCTCTCACGAAATTACCACCGATTACTGTATTTTGGCACCTGAAAACAAATGTAATTGATTGTTTTGTTTTCTGAGAAATCATTACATTTATATACTATGTATCTGTTTGGTAATGGCAGTTGCCTACTTGGCCAGATTAAGTTAAGCAATGAGTGATCCAATTAGCCTAGCCGATGTCACTATAATTAATAAATAATAGTGATCAAGACCTTTCGAGTAGCAAAATCGATCGATCTGTATCTCCACATAATTTTCGGACAATAATGTACCAGCATCATGAAAACTACTACTTTTTTACCTTCAGACCCACTTGGTCGAGATCGTGACTGGATCATAGTTTATCCCCACATAAATAGGTAGGTGATCACTTTGGATTATGACTACATAAATTTGTACTTCGTTTCATATAAAATGTAATTGAGAGCGACTGAAGGACAAGTCGAGTGCCACATTAAGGCATAAAAGATTGTGATCCACCAGTAAATCACCTTTCAAGGGCTAGCTCATAAATAACGTTCATGGCCCTTTCTTTCTTCTGCTGCTTGGTTAACTCATTAGGAAGACGAAGTAACGCAGCGTAAGTTAGAGTTTCCTTTACTGTAAGGTGGGGGAAAGCAACATCATCTTGCGTCACGTAGCCAATCCTGTTTCACCCACTTTGTTATTGAATTGAACTTTCAGCACCATTTCACTATATTTTATTTCAGTGTATGCCAAATTAACGTACCTCCTCTTTAGGGACTTGTTATATTTTTGTTCATTGTAAGTGATGGTTCCACTGTTAAGTTTCACCCTTCCGCTGAGAAGATTGAGCAGAGTTGTCTTGCCGCTTCCTGATGGTCCCATCAGAGCAAGAACCTCTCCTGGCTGTACTGAACCAGTGATTCCATGAAGTATGTGCTTCTGTTTTTTGAATGTTTTCTCACCCTTTGTCTCAACGTTGTATTTGACATCCTGGAACTGTAAAAGAATGGAAGACTTGCTTACCTCATTGGATTACATATTAACTCTTCTATGCATCATTCTGTTACCTTGAGAAATATTGGTAAGCTAGGTCCAATTTGAAGTTTCTTCCACTTGCTAGAACCTGAATCATCGCTGTCATCTGGAGGAGATGGACCGCCCAGTTCACTATCCCCTGCAGAAAAAGGTAACCGCTAGTCAGCCTGGTGTCTCTGTCACTATTCATCAGCCTTGGTAAATTTAGCCAGATAATACCAAACAATGCACTTATCATTGCTATCCCCTAATACGTCAATGTCCCTTGCAATAAGATGCAATATTATTTTCATTTACCTCTATACATGACAGAATTATTGTCGTTAGTTGCTTGAAAATAAGAAGAGAATGTACGGAATATTAATATTCGTTGTGTACCAGTGCAAGACAAATTAATATTTAAATGACAAAGTTAGCAAGAAGAAAGTAAGAAAACCTCTGCCAAAATTAAATTGCAATGATTAGGAACCAAAAGCAACGAAAATGCATTTATAGTGATGATTGTTGGTAGTTTTTTGTGGGGAAAATGAAGCATATGTGCTAGATTCTTACTGCAATTTGGACCCTGCAGTCGCTTGACATCTGGGAGTTCTTCTGATGACACAGTGGCTCTGCAGGCAGGTGGGAAAGAATGACATGACTCATTGGAAGATCCCTCGCTAACAATGAAACCTGTCTCGATATCAAAGCTTTTTCTTTGACTAGTTACTTTATCCTCATCTTTACTATTATAGGGAAGAATGGTGCTTGAAGATTTGTAAACAAATCCCCATGTTGGTATCGTAGAGGCATCCTTCCCTGTACTTCCTTGAAATGATGCAGCTTCACGTAAGCTATCAATTCTCTCTGAGTGCTCCAGTTTAAGTTCTTTATTAACCTCCATCTCTACTACTTGAAACGTATTCAACAGAAAAGAAACATCGTTAGCCGCTAAATTTACTTGAATCAAATGTTCCATTCATTAATACAAAATCTAATTTTCCGACTTTCGTGGGAACATAGAAATAAAAGTGCTAAAATGAAACCAACTTAAGTTATTATGATCATTTGTGCCAAGTTTAATTCATTTACTGAATTATGATATTGGTTTTGGCGAAGAAAATTACTATGATGAAGGACAATGATAAATGATTATCTTAACACCTAAAGAAATATTGAAAGTGGATTCAAACGCAAGTGGCAGTTTAGAAGCACAACGAAGGTAGAAATTGAGAGATTACCCCAATACAATGTATTAAGAAGATTAGACTTTAAGAGATTATATAGGCCGAGTCTTTGACAAGTCTAATAATTGTAAATGCCTGCCAACTTGGTCTGTTAGCTACTTGGTATTGTCTTGAGAGACCAAAAATTTGAGTTGGCACTTTCACCCAGAATGCTACTGCTACCAGCTTTGTACTCTAACAATGACCTTTCCTTGATTCAATTTCCTGAATTAAATACCGAAAAGGACTTTGTTGTGTTTTCCTATTGCATAGAAAGCAACTTAGCAACCCTTCATATTAGCTAGCATCTACGGAAAAAAATTCAAAATGGAAGCAGAATAAATTAATCTGAAACCTAAGACAGCAGCTAGAAGCCTAAACCAGAGTTTTCCTACCCGGGTCTCATTTTGCAGCCAATTTCCACTTCAGACAGAACGTCTCATTTTTTTAATTTCAATAAAAAGGTACCCGGATCATTTGGTCGTACTGATTCTCTGGCTACTTGCAAACCATGCTGAGCATACAATACCAAATAAATTAGTTTCATTGGATTTGCAGGCGTGCCCGAAACATGTAATGGTTGACTACGAATAATGCTGAGAATCAAGCCTGAAAAATGTACTTAATCTACACATTTCAAACGAGTCCTTGACTACTAGACTAACCCGGACAATTTCTTAATAATTTTCATCTGGTAAGATAAGTAAAAAACATGTGTATTCTGGCAAATCAGAAGTACTGTGAGAGCCATCAGCTGCTGGAATTAATTGACTGATAATGATAAGGCAGCTAAGCGCGTCATCCACAATGAGCCTTAAGGCGTAAAAAATTGGAGGCATCGCTTCACGTTGAACGGCTCCTTAATTAATTCCCCACCTCGAGTTTCTTGAAGAAAATCCTTTCTCTTCCTGATTAAGACATATTAGCAACAATAAAAACCATGGTGCAAATTGAGATACTAGCCAATGCTATTTTCCTTTTTGATATCAGTTAGTGATGATACAAGTGGGACCTGAACATGATTGTTCGTTTTCATATGCGATTCAAATGCAATGAACTGACATTGGTTAGAAAATTGTTAGACAGATGTAAAAGAAAGCTTTTAGCTGAGCATCTTAGATTTTTGAAGTTCTTATTTAACTACCTCGCCACTACATTTGCATGTGAAGTTAGATGAGACCAAACATTGGGCGGTGCCCTGGATGGTGGGGCAAAATTTTAGTTTGAGAGAACTTTCACATGCCTTTGGGCTGGTTGCATATGCGTACCGATTGAGCACTGTCCGAAACTGGTAATGGAGCCTCTGTTTAGGACACGTTACTTTCGGCTATCACTTGGGCCTTTTAATTGTCTCGTGGCTTGTGAACATGGGCAATATGGAACACGGAATCCAGTGACTTCACCAGGTACGCACTGCAAGACAACAAAATCAGACTTTTTTTCTAGGAGAGATCCAAAGCATTTTAAGCACCTTGTTAGGGGTAAAGCTATTATATTCCTAAAACAAATCGTCTCAGATTGATTGATATTCCTATAGCATTTTAATCACCTTGTTAGGGGTAAAGCTATTATATTCCTAAAACAAATCGTCTCGGATTGATTGATATCATATAATGTAACGCGACTAAAACTGGCATTGTAACTATATTCATAATGACTCCGGAGGGGAAATCAAAGTTGTAGAGAGCGTGGGGCTACGAGATATTGGATATTGGTGGTGGGTGGGGGTCGAGGACATGGCGAGTGCGACACTGCGCTGATGATTTCCCATTTAATCAGAACCTGACAGCTTTCTCCTTAGACAGGTTTCTTTCAAACCATTGAATGGAAGTTGCATATCACTTGGAATTTCCTTTCTTTTCTTTTTTTGGTACCTTTAGCTGGGTGGGTTAGGATCTCTTCCATTTCAACAATCTTTCGTTTTACTCCAGCTGTTGGGTGGATGTATTAAATTATATCCAACCGTTAATAAAAAGCCATGTTATTAAATCTCTCTTTCTTTAAGCCAAAAACCTAAAACAATTGCGATGTTACCACAAAAAATTAACAATTGCTAATTTATTAAACACCAGTTTCAATTTTTAGAACTATTGCCTGCATTGGGTTGTGTTTATACATCTGATTATAGCTTGAACGGCGGAGTTAGTCTTTTGATTCGCAATTCATATGTCCTGGAGAGCCACACCTCCAACCTTTTCATTCATGAAATTGATTTCATCATCTCTTGTCAAAAATCGAGACCATTGGTTGAAATTCTTTTATGAGTGCAAATGGAAAGATAGTAGAAACACATGGCAAAGCAAGATTTGAGTTTTTAAAGATAGTGGAGAGAAAACGGTGTGTTTCGTTTGATCTAAATTTAAAAGAAAAATTTTCTTTTTAAACTTAACAATTACACTGTTTAAGTCAGAGCAGGAAAATGCAGAGTTATTGGTTGCTGTATGATTAAGAGATGTTTTATTGTGAATTTGTTGTTTGGGTATTTAAGGTTTATGTTTTAGCGCTGTAATTTTTTTTCTCCCTAATTAGTTTTCTTCACAGTTTTTGCGGGTCTGATTAACGCATGTTTTAGCTTGTAATTTCGGTTTTGCTATTGGGAGATGTTATCGCCTTCTGCACTAATAGCGCTTCCGCTGCAATTATCTTTATACTGTTGCTTCTCTTCTTTTCTCTCCTCCTCCTTTCTCCAATGTGTCGTCAGAGGAAAAATAAATAAGGAAACAGATGTTAAGTAATGAAGGAGTTCGGGAATTTGGGCCTCCTTTAGCTTGAAGCTCGCTTACTTGTTTGTATCAAAGTACATGGTTTGTTTGGTTCCTTGAAGATGGTTAATTTATGAAGCAAACAGATGGGTTTTTATTTTACTGCTACTATTACTCATTTATTTCTTTCCTTTTTCAAGTTTGTGGACGAAATTGTTTGATTTGATTCAACTATGACCTTCTTCCTAGTCTTAATTCCATCCATCTTAATTTGCTTCTCGTAAATAAAACTATGTTCTTTTATATATATAGAAATTTCTGTATAGTATTAGTATGTAATGAATAGATTTTCCAACTTAATAAAAAAGATACGAGTGGTGAAAATAGATGTTACTTGCCAAGAACTTGAAAAGGATTATAGATCAAGCTCAGCATAAGTTCAAGTTGATGGTAATTTTTTTCTTTTTTTCTGAACATTAGCGAAATTTCATTAATCATGAAACAATACTACAGAGCCACTGAATGTAGTATAGGGTAAAAACGCACTACAGAAATTTAAGGATAATGACTTGGGAAAATAATCTCCGACAATTGTAATATGGCTCCACTAATTATTTAGGCAAGAATTTGGGCCAAAGCTCAGCCTTGGGCTTCAAATTCATGTCAGGCCAGAATCATCTCAGATCTCAATTTTTTAAGCAGAAATTAAATATATTTTAAAATGATAAAACGAATGCTAGTCACTTTTCTTATGATAAATAAGTAATTAATCTTTAAACTTTAAATTGTGAAAATACTAAAAAAAATTATGCTATTAAACTGGAAGTAATTGCTATTTCGCAAGAGAAGTAAGTATTTGAGATCAAACTGTACATTAAAATTGTTAGATGTGTATATAAATAATATATCTTACGACGATGAAAAGTAGAAACAATGAGGTATTCATGTATAAAAATAAAAATAATATGTACTCATAATTTAATAATTCAAACTTTTAAATCGAAATTGCTATTCATCAGTAGCTCTTATGCGAATGAAGATGTATTATTGTTGTTTCGATTAAACTAGCTGTACACGTGTATTATTAGAATATCTTCTATCCAGGAAATTTTCTTCAGAAATTTCTGTTGTCCTATTGTATTTCTTTCTTTTTCCCAAGTAAATTGTTACAATGGCCAGGCAGTCGGCCTGCATTTATCTCCTTGTTTGGATAATTCTTCTTGGTAGGAAAGAAAAGAGATGAAAGAAAATATATTATTGTATATTTACTATAATACTTTTAGGATTATATTTTTATATTTAAATACTTATAATAAATTTGTGACCATCTTTGATCTTCAATAGGAAGCACTTAGTAAACATAATGTTAAACAAAAAAATATCTCTCATGCTAAAATGATTGCCATAAACCTAGTTCATATATTTTTCATTTAAAAAAAAAACATGACAAAATAATTAAAATATGCATAGTTTATGGTACAATAAATAAATTTTATATTAATAGAAGTTATTTTATTCTTTGTAGATATTGATATCTCAAAAACTACAAAATAAACTTCTTACACATTCGAGCATTCCAAGTCAAATGGTTTTAACTCCAAGTCAAGGAGCGTCGTGAACAATATTGATAATTAATTATGTTCAAGCTATGACTTTACAAATGCGACCCTATAAAACGAACAAAAACCTAACCCAAAAAACCAAATAAACAAACTCCATGAAAGTTTAGATACATGATATCATTGCAAAAAGTAGGACACTTATACGCAGTATAGGCTTGATCCAGCAAGGGTAAAAATGAGAAAGCAAAAAAAAAAAAAAAAGGTCAGCTTCAGGTTTCCTCCCAAACTTAGGAGGAAAATGGGTCCCACAGAAAAAACATTTATTTATTATTATTATTTTCTTTTCTCTGCGTTCCTCTACAATTCAAACGGGAGAAAACTTTCATTTTCATCCTATATTCTTTCCTCTCTCATGCTTTCATCTCTATCCAAACAGAGGATTAATTTCTATAGCCTTAGTTAGCAGCCCACCAACCGTAACTCACTTACTGGGCCTGGTATTATATTGAAAGCAAAACTCAAAAACTTAGTAGTGTTATGATATACTGTGTCATGTCAAATTATCTAAGATACTATATGCATATGGGTATATACGTATTTAATAAAGAATAGGCATTTCTGGAAAGGGGTAACCAACCATGGGTTGGCCTACTAGACTGAAAATTGCTTTGGATATGCAAAAAGTCTTGCATTCCTTCACAAGGATTGTAAATTTTACCTGTCATTCTCCCCCCATCCAACCCTTTAATCTCTTTTGTACACAAACTTGTCCCAAATTCCCAAAACACCTATTTATACCTATTTACATGTTATTAAGTGTTATATGCATTCTTCCTTCTCCAAAGAAAAAAATAAGTACATGCACCCTTAATATAGAGGTCATCCCAAGATCATTCTTTATGACATCAAGGCAGCTAATATACCTTTGGATCAGGCAAAGGTACTAACGGTTCATCGAGTTCATACACTCCATAGGATCTGATTTCTTAGGTAGTCAAATTTAATTAGTTTGTTATAATTGTTGCACGTACTATGTATCCGATATGGTTACTCTCTGGTCTTTTTCAGTATCTTCATTTGAATATTGTTTCTATCTTAGATGTTGAGTTTGTTTTCTCCTTTTTCTCTTTCTGTTTAGTTTGTAGATTTTAAACTAGCAAAGTTCTCCTCTAATGCCAATACTTTGTCGCCAATTAGGTGGTTGGCGTTTTTAGACAAGGCCACATTCTTTGCTTGCACTGTCAGGATATATTTATTTGATTTGGAATTACAAATGATATTGATGTTTATAACTGGAACCCAACATCAGACATGCTTGTTGCTTTCTTTACTCTCTTTCTCTTTAGATGATCTCTATAGCAAGATAATGAATTTTTCTATCATTAAACAGGAAAAAACAAATTGTTAGTTATTCATTATTAGCAAAAGATAAACAAAGAGAGAAGAGTCAATTAATTTGCAGAGCGTACAATTTATTTTAGGAAATCATAGACCAAGTTCAAAACATTGTGCTTTTTATTTTTCATTACGCAAATCAAGATGGTCAGCCATTGGATGTAGAGGAAAATGTGTTTTTTAAAAAGAGATGCTTACTAACCTCTTGGAACAGAATGTGAATCTTGGAGAAGGGAAAATCTGCAATTTGATTGATCTGGCAAGTGAATATATTAGTATGGATATGAATATATCATGCGAAATTTTAAGTAAGCCTGCATGTTTGTACAGTTAGTGTACCGGTTACATCATAATCATATGGCCACGTGAAAGTCTGAGCTTTTAATCCTTTTGGGTCAAGTAGCTGCCAACTTCATGTTATCATTCTTATTATGACTTCTCATTGATACTCAAGCTATTTAGAAGGCAGTAATTTTATTTTTTTCCATATCCCTTTTCATTGTTTTGGTGTTCTCCTTTTTTCTTTTGAGCAGACAAAATTTCTGAATACGGTTGATTCAATTTCTACATTTAGGGAGGCTTAATGCGTTTTGACACCTATTTCTTGGGATCCACAACAGAACGAGAGTGAATAACCAAGCTTTGTTTTGGGTTTCAATTGAGATACACTACAACTGAGTAGTCCCTGGTAGGTGTATTATGCATCTCGTGGAAGTTATAATTCATCTGATGCGAGTGTTGATTGAAACTATGCTAATAGAATTTGACAATGAAACTTTCCATACAATAGAAACAGAAATTTTTTTGAATCATGATTAGTTGAACATGAGCCTGTTACTAATGACAATGTTAGTTTGGACATACATGAAGGATAGAAATCTACATTATTTTAACATGGAAATTTGTAAAGTGGGACATAGGTTCTGCTTTTTTAATGCATTGATCAGTTTCTTTTTTAGGAATACTGAATAAAGTTGGATATAGGTGCTGCGTTTTTTTTTTTTTTTTTTTGACCTTTTTCGTTTTTTAGTGAACAAGAGAATCTACATTGTTTGATTAACTTGGAAATTTTTAAATTCAATTGTTTTCAATAATTAATTGAAGTTAGGGTATGAATGTGTAATTTGGTTGGCATTTTGAAGGATGAGCGTTTAGACTTTATATGCATATATATATATATATAATGGGTATGATGAATTGATCCAATAATTCAATTCTTTCTTTCTACTCCGTGCATGGATGATGAGCATTAATAATGTGATTGTGAACTAATTTCCAAGCATTACAATTGTCCATGGGATGAGGAATGTTAAATGAAAGCCTCCTCCTGACCATTGCTTGAAGCTAAAACTGATGCTGCCATGCAGACTCATGGTGCGACAGGTCTGGGAGCAATTGTGCACAACATGATATTTAATTTTACAGTTCAGATCGCAATAATTGAGAGAAGGAGTTATTTTCACTTATGAGTGTTGTGTTTTTTACTTTTTCTTTAATTACCTTGAAATACTGGAATTTGAACAGCATTGTTGTAAGTATACAAAATCAAAAAGACCTTTGAAAAATGTTATTATAAAATAACCATAGCATTATTATTGTTTGATCAAATTAGAGTGTTGTGAGGAACAATTGGCAAACAAATACACATCCAATAGCGGCAGAGCCTCACCTGAAAGTTTGGGGGCTAACTTACTGAGTTACTGTAATAATGTACAGCCGGATTTTTTTCGGTTCATACAGTGAATTGTATTATGTTGATACTGCTAAAAAAAAAAATGAAATACCCAATCATGTGTGAAAAATGAATGTTATTTGCCATTTAATGTGAACTTTAGATAAAAATAGGTAATGTATGCGTTCGTGTCTTTTTTTTCCTTCTATTTAATAAATCATAACTTCAAAAATAACATAATGTTGGGTTTTATTGATAAAAATTCAATTTTCGGTATTTTGTTTGAAAAGGAGGCTTCGGTTTCCTGTAAAAAAAAAAAAAAAAAGAAAAAGAAAAACAACAAAACAAAAACAAATAATGCTTGACTTCCTCTTAAAGAGTTGGGCTTTTTTGTTTTATACTGATGGTACGCTTTATGGGCTTAAGCTATTGTACCGCTGTTTCTATTAGTTCCACCATCCCTTGAAAACCCTCCTTTTCTTCCTTATCAAGAGATCCCTAACACCAGTGAGATCTGCCATCTTTACCATCCCAACGTCACAGGGTTGAGGAGGCCATGGCACTTATATAGGTGGTGATTTAAAATGTATTTTTTTTTTAAAAAAAAATGGACAATTGGATAACAGGGACGGAGCCTTTAAGGAACTAGGAGGGGCCGTAAGCCGCCGCCGGCCCCAACCTCCTCCTTCTGGTAGTAATGTAGAGCGAACATGGAGTAAATTATAAATTAGTCCCTATTTTTGTTTTAAAAATTAATTATTTAATTATCTTATTGGTATTAATCACATTTAATTTAATATTATTTTATTTCAAAAAAATCATTTTTTCAAATAAATTTTTACTTATTTTTTAAAATCAAAATAAATTGAAAAATAATAATTAAGTAACAAGAAAATTTAAAAACTAATTAAATAATTAGTTTTTTGAAGTTAATTAATTCTTTTTTTAAAATTAGAAGAATTAATTTATAATTTACACTGTGAACATGATGCACAATATTATAACAGTCGAAACGATACCAATAAAACATTAATTAATGAACCTTTGAATTGAACTAATTATTATTGTATAAACATGCACATACAGTAGCTTTTGCCTTTTCAGAGCAATAAAAAGCATGCTGTAACTTGCAAAAGTCGGTCGGCCGGAAAGGATTTAAACTTCCATTTTTTACTATATATATATATATATATATATATATATATATATATATATATATGTTGTTGAATCTTTTATTATTTTTCTATTTAAGGACTATATCTTAGGTGTTACCTATTTAAATTACTAATCTATCCCAAGCACTTGATATTGTGATGAATATATCCTCATAATTTAATTATGATATATTAAATAAATAAATATCCTAAACTTTACTCTTTATTTTCTGTGATTTGTTAAAAAAAAGAAAAAAAGACTTTCCTAAACGGTAGAAAATAAAATTTAATATTTTGACGAATATATCCTTGCTATTTGCAATACATTTTTTCAAAAAAAAAAAATCTAAACTTAATTAATTACTTTACATGAATTGATAAAAAAAATGAAAATAACCAATCGAAATCTTATAAGGAGTGAATGTATTACGAAGATTTATCTTTAAAAGTGGTTTTATAGGTTTTTTTTATAATGGGGCAAATTCTTTTAACGTGTTAAAATATTCATTTTATATGTGATAGTATTATATTAGTTTTTAATCCTGGTCTATTGCATAACAACAACGACAACAATAATAAAAATTAAGTTAAGGTAATAATTTATTGCAAATGCTTTAGCATTCTCTCAAGAAAGCAACAACACAAAAGGTATCCTTTCCGAAAAATCATGTATTGCTAAATATAAAAATTCTATATTCTTGCGAATTTTCCTTTTCAGAATTTACTTTCTCAAAAGGGTAATTTTAAAGGGAAAAAAATTGTATTTTGTTAATCAAACGCCGCCACCTTAAGAGTATATCCCCCCATAAGGCCATAATGCATTACGAAAAAAAGATTCCTTCGCCAAATAATTTTTCCACTAAGCTACCCCACAGTACCTCCCCATGCATGTTTGCTTCTTTACAGACACACACATATACATATATATGGTCTTGTAGAAAAAAATATAGGTTTAATTAGTCAATGTGAACTGTTTCTATTCGAACTATCATCCACAGTAAACGATTTTATAGATATTGTAAAAATAATTTGTATTTCTAGTCATGCTTTTATAATGGAATACAGAAGAAAAAAATGCTCATAAAAACTGGAAAATTGCTACTGTAAATTACTAAAGAAGCACTTTTTTTTCCTTGAAAGTCAAACATGTTCAGTTGCCAACCGCAAGACCTAATTAAGAGATACTATGAGCGCAGGACATATTTGTTCATGAAATTTTATTCGTTAAATTGTTTCCACTTTCCAAGGTCGTTTTATTGTCCAAATTTCTTTCTTGCAAGCAGAGCAATGAGTAAAAACTAAGGAATCGGAATTGCATTGAAAAGGGATTTCTTTCTGGAGACAGTACAAGATAGCATGCTAAATCCAAAGGTGTTTGGAACATTCTTTTGGTCATATGGATGAAAATAAATAGTTTATGACAGCTACGTGTCATCTAAATTGTGATTGTTCTTAGGTTAATTGCATAACATGTCAACCACTCTAGGAGACGAGAATAGTTAGACATGGTATTTATGGCCACCTAATACAAGACCTGGTGCTCCCGAGGACCCACTGACCTTTCGTTAACGCTTGACTCGAAGTCAATTAACAATTTAAAATCCCCATATCCTCGTTTCCTTAAATTTCAATGCAGCTCAAGATTTGATTCTAACTCAGTCAAGCTTTGAAGGTTATGTTGCCAGGCTTGACCTGCGTTTAGGCTAACTGAACTAAAAGTCTGCAAATTTGCTAACCGCGTCAAGCTTGACCTACTCCGATTATGTTCGTTTTTCTCTCTTTTGTTGCTAGATTCCTACTCTCTGGTGCCACCAAAGGAACAAAATTTTCCACTCACGATTTTGATTGAAGTAAACCTATAATTTATTTTTTAGAATAGAAGCTAAAACGATCAAGGTAGATAGGTTCGCGGGCAGTGGGGATCCAACAACTTTTTTTATGAGATTGCTCGTAATCATCTCTTAATGATTGTTTTAAAAAAAGTTATCTTGATAGATTCAGATAGACGGTTTAATTTATTCTTATACAATTGATTAAGTTTTTAATGTGTTATTATTTTTTTTCAATTGTGTTTATTTTTATATAATAATCAATTCTTTAATGAATATTTCTGCCAAGATTTTTTACATTCAAATTTATAGAATTGTAATTTATTTTTTTCAAAAATATTCTTAATTACACAAAACAAAAATACATAACAAACTAACACCTGAACTTGAAAGCTTATTAATAGAATAAGAGTACATATGCACCATTCACATGCAAAGTTAAAGAAGAAGAAAAAAGGAAAAACAAAAAAAGAAAGAGTTAAAATACAAGCTTCGTAGTGA